CTACAAAACCTGCAATTTGGTTTTTTTTGAAATGCTTGTTTAATTGTCCGACTCTAAAGGTCGTGACAAACGATGAAACCGCAGAAATTCCACGTAATTCTCTAATCGATCTTGCCTTAAACTTAACCTTGGAGGCTGCCATCACGCACGGCATAAATTTCTCTTTGTTAATACCCTATATGCCGTGACCACAGCGTCTGGACTTAAATTATACCAAACGTCACCATCATTGAAATGTAACCTTTTTTTGGCGGCATTAAAGTCGTTTAACTTTTATCATTCATTTAATATTTTTGAGGTACACCTTCCGGTTCGATCCCCTGTCAATAGGACAATTCAATTAATTAAAGTTCATCTGCAAAAGGGCAAGGTAAAGCTCCAATGAATTATCATTATGAGGAAATGGCTATATCTTATATTCCCCGATCAGAATTGAACCGGAATCCAGGTCCTACGGGGTTTGACACTTTTCCGGGTCAAACTGACACTTTTCCGGGTCAAACTGACACTTTTTCCGGATCAAATTGACACTTTTACGAGTCAAACTGACACTTTTCCGAGTCAAAATGACACTTTTCCGAGTTCAAATGAAACTTTTCCGTGTCTAAAAAAAATTTCGGGTCAAATTGACCCGGAAAAGAATAAAATAAAGTATCATTTGACCCGGAAAAGTGTCATTTTGATTCAGAGAAGTGTCATAATTATTGACCCCGAAAAGTGTCAATTCAAATAGGATCCGGATTCCGGGTGAAATCTTGCCCGGGACCTTCTAGAGTGATAGCTTCAAGGAATGATAGTACCATACTTTATATGTATGACAACGTATATAAACCAATCTGGGCGATCTATACCAATTATATCACGGAGGCCCCCATCAATGGCGGAAGCACCGTGCTAGCTATTGTTCAGATAAGCCGTCACGGGGCAATTGCGTTGTATACGAGCGTGCACAATGGTTTCTCCATTGAGGGGGGCCTCGATTGTGAGTGTATATATGACCACGTGCCGGATTCGTCTATCCGCAAAGTACCGATAAAAATGACAATTCATTTCAGTAAATTCAAACAAAGTTTTAGGAATTTAATTGGTGTTAAAATGCTATTATAGGCTTAAGTAATCTTCAGTGATCGACCTCTTCGTTTTCAAAAGGCATCAAACATTAGAAATGATATACTACATGTTTACAATTATTCGGCCCAGGATCCTTTACGTGACTCGACGACAAAAATTAGTTTGTTTCAAAATTGCCTACTGCATTGTGCATCGGATATCGTGCCAGATAGAAAACAAACGTCAACCAATTTTAGTTACCGCTGCGCGAACTAAACTTAATTTTTATTATTTTTTATGTTTTCTCCAGGAGATAATGCCAAATACTAAATTTCAGTGTTTACTGATTACTGCCTAACTGCTCATCTGAATTGGTGGTGTCAATTCGTAGGAATATATATGCCTATTGAAGTTCCGTGGAATGACACGAACTTCTCCAAATGTCGTCTCACATCGCAACATTGAAACATTTTAGTAGGCCCACGGAATTAGTGAGTTTTTCCATGCTGTTTTGCATAATCAGTTCTTTTGGTCGTAAAAAAGACATTTTGGCATTGAGAATAAGGTCGCATTTTTTCGTCTTCCAGCAAAAGTTTGTTTGTTTATTAATATGGTTGTAACTTGGTAGGTACCTAGACCGGGATGTGCTATAGGTGAAAATGGAAGTGATGTCAAGTCAAGTGACGTCGCATTAAATGTGCAAGTTCAAATGTCTATATAAACAGAACTGTATGTCCAATTTTGTTGTAACTTGTTAGGTATATAGACCGCAATGTTTTATAAATGAAATGTTAAGTGACATCATGATGACGTCATCACATGTCACAGAGTCATTGCAAACAGCCGAAACAGCTGTGTTTGTCCACGTGACAAATACTTTTCTAGTTTGTTTATTGCTCTTATTTTTCAATGTTAGTTTGTGTTTATGCAATCCTTGAACGACTTTAAACCTTATTAACCGATCGCCTTACGTAAACTCGCAAGTAATGAAAATACACTTATACCACTAAAACTAGTTTAAGTAAAACTGTTTTATCTCTAATAAGGTTAATCCAATACTGCAGATGGCCTTCGGATACCAATTAGCCTACGCGAAACAATTCATTTCAAGGACCTATATGTCGATATGACTTGGGAAAAAAATATAAATCGGGTGGCATTTGAAGGCGAACGTGGCGTGAGAAAATCGAATTATTAATTGGGCAAGTCAGGAAGTAATTTAATCTTCTCGTGCTTGACGTCAACATAACCTGTAATTAACGGTTTAATAAGCGGGTGACTTACTTTTACATGCCGAATTACTCGAGGAGGGTCACAGTAGATTGGCGAAGCAGTATTTTAACCTTTTTTATTTTATGTTATTGTTTACCTAATTTGGTTATGAAAGTTTGTTTCTAAAAAACTTCCGCACAGTCGTACGCCAAAAGGAAATAAGGTTGAATGAAACGACAGTTGATTAAATTGTCAGCGCTAGTCAGCTCTGGGAACAGCAAAAGCTGCTATACAAACATGTCGGGGAGTCAAGTTGGCCTAGCGGTACTTCACTCGCCTTCCACCGCTGTGACCCGGGTTCGATTCCTGGTTCGATTCCTGACCCGGGTTCGATGCCAATTCAATATGTGGATTCGGTTTTCAGTCCCTGCTTGATTCCGTGAGTTTTCCTCAGAATATTTTCCTGGGGTTTTCCTCCCACCTCTAAAACTGTCATTTCTTCACACTGTCTTCTCTTTACTGGGTCCCATGGGAGACCAGTGGATTCCACAAATAATGGGTCACCCAATTAAAATAGAAAATAACACAAAATAAACCACAGCAAAAGTGCATCCACGAAGGGTGCTTTACAGTTTATCCACACGATACGCACTTAACAATTGTGCAAGATTCATGCCTTCACAAATAATTTAATTAGTGTCTTAATTCAGTGAACTATACGCTAATCACAATTGAAATATCCAGCAAGTTCAATAGTAAGTCTTAACGGAAGATGAACAATGATAAAAGAATGCACTTTTCGTAGTTAACTGAGCGAGCTTGCTGAGTCACGTTAGACTGGATAACATGTGATTGACAGGCGATGGCGCGATTAAAATCTATAATTAGATAATTTAATCAGTTTTTAAAATGGAAAATTGCCCCGACCAAGGCTATAAAAGCCACTCTTGGAAAAGGGCTGGACAGAGGAAAATATGATAAAAAGAAAAATTATAATCAGGAATTAGCTGAAGGTGGGAGTTGATATTCCTCTTAAAAGAGGCTAGATCATAGAATGGAGGGAAACAGCCACTAGGCAAGGAGTTCCAAAGAGATACAGAACGTGGGAAAAAGCTATTACAGTAGCTCTTTGTTCTCGGCACAGCTAGAGTGTAATAATAATAATGATAAAATTGCACTTATTATGCGCATATACCATAATAATGTTCAAATGCGCATTACAAAATCTGAACTAACATAATTCACACGCGTCCCTATGTGATTTGTTTTCGTTTTGCTGAAAGAACACTTACCTTCTTGTGATCCGTGGACAGAACTTTAAAATAGTGGTTGTGTTTAAAATTCCGTAACTTTAAAAGTACATGAGTGATTTGAATGATTCTTGTACTAAACGAAAGCTTATGAATTCGGCTTTCAAATCATAGATTTTCAAAGTACTACATGCAGAACTTGACCAAGTCCCGACATTTGGGTTTCGTTATTTTTGACTCACCCTGTATAGTTGTCGCATTTCAGTACAGAGAAGGGGCATATATTCTACCAAAAATGTTAAGGTGCACGAGTGAATACATATACCAGTGCTCAGCATGTAAGTCTCAATGCCGAACCACTAGAAAATCTCAAAGGCAAACAATGTATTGGAAATTCCATGGAATCATAATCTTATTGGAGTCCGCTCATTTCGTAATTTCATTAGATTGTCTATTACATGTAGTTCTTTTCTGTGGCGTTCCTGGTTTGATGGGGATTTTTCGATCACAGTAATGAATTCACATTCACAATGCCTACCTCGGACGATGAATGGTGATGTTTACCTTTCCATCTGGAGATGACAACATCACCGTATCTCCGCTTTTTCCACTGCATAGGGATTTTCTAAGTTTTATTGTTATTTGTTTATACGACTTTTGATAAAGTTTGATGTGTTTTGTTAAATATCAACTTATATTCAAACTGTATCATTATTGTGTGGAAATTGCAAATAAATCAATTCTAATCAAATCAAATCACAGTCTGGCTACGAGAGAGTCCGAATGTACCCAAAATCAGGAAAACAGAAATGCATCGGCGAGCAATCGGCCCATTCCGCTTCCTCGAAAATATTCATACTTTGGTTTTAATTGGCCAGTTGTACCACAATAATAATATTAATAATAATGTGTATTTATAAAGCGCACGTATCCACAGTATTTGTGCTCAAGGTGCTACATCATTATTACCCTGCTCATTGGGCCAATGAACATTCCAACGACAATCTCAGCTCCCTGGGGAGTATACAGCTCGATGTTGCCATTTCGGCACAAAGCAGCTAAAATCAACCACAATAACCACCTCTGCCCTCACAGGTGCCCATTAACTCCTGGGTGGAGACAAGCAATGAGTGACAAAGTGCCTTGCCCAAGGGCACACGCACCATAGCCGCAGGCTGGACTCGAACCCACAACCTTTAGATTTACCCGCAGAACACGAATTCAATGCTCCAGACCACGAGGCCACAGCACCCCACTAACGAGTGTAACAAATGGGATACCATCGACGGGCAAAGAGGTGATGGAGGGACCCAAAATGGCATGCCAATTCCTGTATAGCATCTCCTTCGGTTTAGACACTTAAGACTTCTAAACGATTCAGGAGTGAGCGGTAAGGCGAAGTCGGAGACGATGCCTTGATTTCGGACATTTGTATTTTTACATTGTGGTAGATAATAGAGTATAGCTTTGTTTCTTACCTGTTTGCAGTGCAATGGAGGAAAAGGAACCGATGTTATGTACCGTGAGCTCTACAACAAAACCACTACCAAGATCATGGTACTAGGAGCTGGATGCTCTATCGTCACCCAACCTACTGCGCAGGCGTCACACCACTGGAACCTAATTCAGGTATTGGGTTATGTAATACATATAAGATGGTTCTTCATATCGAAAAGACAGCTTGTCGTCAAGATAATATAAGTTGTCAGATTGACGACAGCTCGTCATTCTAGCAAGATATAGCATCATCATAACAAAACGGGACGTCATTCCGACGAGATAGTTTGCTATCCTGACAGGATTGTTTGTCATCATGTCAAGATAGTTTGACAAATTGCTTCTTTTTATGTTCCTTTCAGCTGTCCTACTCCTCAGCATCCCCGCTGTTGTCCAACCGAAACCTCTTCCCGAAGTTCTTCAGAGCCTTCCCCCCGGAGACCGTCTTCAACGTGGTCAAGTTCGCCATGCTGAAACACTTCGGCTGGAAACGGGTGGCCACATTGCACCAGACTATCGATCTGTTCTCTCTGGTAAGTGCATGTTTTTAGCTGCGGCAAGCAGCTCAAGAAAATTGTGTATCTCCGTTGGTTAGTAACAAACTTCAGCACATGCCTTTTTTGGCAATCAATCACCTTGTCCCTTAGTCCCTCGCAACAACACGTGCTTCAGGTGTTCACTACCAGCTACCAATTTATTGCAGTCGTGGAAAATTGGGTCACGAGGTCACTCATTTCGCATTGGGGCTAGCACTGTACTGCACTTGGGGGTTCCACATGCTATAAAACGCTCCATGCACCAACTGACGTTCAACAAAATAATGGGAATCCTTTTCCATTGACAGTCACGACCACGTGAGTAGTTGTGCACTATAAGAACAGACTTTCACATCATGTACATGACTTATTGGCTACAGCGACTTCTGAGATCATTTCGAGCTTTTTTAAACCGTTGCTCATTGAGTATATTAAAATTTACCTATTAGCCACATCAGCAAAGATTCAAAATGGACTTCTATTTACAATATCACCACTTATAGCGGCTTCTGGAGCCCGTGCAATAACATTTGACTCCTGGCTTCATTATATTACCAAAATAAATCGATAAAAGATATGCCTAGAATTAAGGTAAAATAGCGACCTCCAAAGAACATTTTGCCAGACTTTAATAATCTGAGAAAGTCTTAAATGTTATTCGTGATAGTTAAGGTGTATCAGAAATTTGCTTCTTTCAGCCGACAGTTGCTTTCCTAGACCACGCCGAAGAAAACGGAATCGAGATCATCACGTCTGAGAGTTTCGCCGACAGTCCGGCCATCCAGGTGTCGAATCTCAAGGTAAGTCATGAATTATTATTATTACTTTTTGTATTATTTATTTATTTCTGGTTATAGAACCAAGCATTCCTCAAAAGTACCCTAGGCACTGTAGCTCGCAAGCCTGAAGAAACCTGCAGCGAGAAGACAATGAGAAGAAATTACAGTTTAAGAGGTGGGAGGAAAACCCCACAAGAATTTCTGGGGAAAACCCACAGAATCAGGCAGGGACTGAAAGCCCAAAACGCCTTTTGACCCAGGCGGGATTCGAACCCGGGTCACAGCGGTGGAAGGCGAGGAAAGTATACCGCTGTGGAACTTGAGTCCCCCTAATAAAAACGTTGTACTTTCATGATTATATTACGTTTTAAATAGTGCAACAATAAGGAATTAATAATAGTGAAATAATAAGGATTTATATTTAACACATTAAACTATGTGACCGTGTACTCTGCCGAATGTATGCTATAGTTAGCATATCACTTGTTTGCCCTTTTTCTCAGAAACAAGGTGCGAGGATAATCATTGGTAACTTCTACGAGACCAAAGCGAGACAGGTGTTTTGCCAGGCTTACAAAGAAGGGATGTACGGAAAGAAATACGTGTGGATCATCACCGGTAAGCACACAAGCTATCAATTCTCTATCCGTTTGGGCACAAATTACGGGCGGTCATTTTTATCTAGCTCACCCGTACAGATGTTAACCAAACCATGGCCATATTGTGAACTTCGGCTCATCACCGAATCGGCTTGAGACTCTAACTGACCTATTTTAAACTAATGGTTTTCGAGGTGCTGGCTCAATATGGGTTCTTTTTTTCTGTTGTGTAGAACGTCAAATTGTATCCTTCACTGTCAAATTATTGGTGACGTCTTTTTCGTGATTCGAACACCAAATGCTTACAGAATGGTTTCGCCGGCTGGACACGAACCTGAAGCTTCAAACAAAGCTGTAATTTGAGAATTTGGACCATGAACCACTCTTCCATCAATACTTTGGCAACGTCTTCTGTCCATTCGAGTTACTTTTCCCAAAGAACACTACTTAGCTGAGGGAAGTAGAACAAGGACAATCCACCGTGAATTAAATGATGCGACATGCTTGTTTCCCCTGAAAATAGCGGACAATGATTAAAATATCAAGGCCTACAGTCATGTGTGTGACTGCCGTTTCCTGCTTTTAGGTCCAATTGAGATGTTTTTGTTGGAAATAGTCACGCCGCAATATCTGGAACACGCAATCGTGCTGAAATGTGAGCTGGGCCGATTATGGGTATAGAAAAGTGAGGGACATGCTTTTTAAATCGAATCATGCATCAGATAAAACAAATCACGGTGGATGTGTGGAAAAACTCATGCATGCTTAATTATATCCCTTTCCGGGAGGATGACCTAGTAGTTAGCGGTACTCATGATCAGAGGGTCAGGTGTTCGAATCCAGCCACTGACCATATGTTGTGTCTTTGGGCAAGCCACTTCACCCCACTTGCCTCTCTCCGCCCAGGAGTATCAATGGGTGCCGGCATTATCTGGGGAGTAACCTGCGATGGACTGGCATCCCATCCAGGGGGAATAGAAATGTTCTCAGTCGTTTCATGCTACTGAAACCGGAGATTAACGCCGGCCTGATGGGCCACGTTGGCTCGTGACAGAATTTACTTTTTACTCTCCGCGGCCAGAGACGAACCCGAAGCTTAAAACGAAGCCGTAATTTGAGAAAATGGACCGTAAACCACTCCGTACCATCAATACTTTGGCATCGTCTTTACCATAAAGTAAACTTTTCCGACGAACATATCTCAGCTGAGACAAGTATTACAAGAACCAGGAATGAGACTGTCAATTCAAAAAGTCTGGACATCGAATAAATCACTGAAAAAAATACGTATCTTTCTGTACCTTTTATCTCTCAGATTAAAAAACTCTGACTTCAGAACAAAAGTCTGACAAATCTCATACCTGAAGGACCAACCACAGTGACTTCGTTGTATGCGATGTACATTGTTGGTTTTTTTTTAAATTTTGTTTTCCCTGAAAACAGTGGTCATCATGTTTGATATTGAGGCCTAGATTAATGCCTGTGGCCACGGCATTTGTGTTTTTATATCTGGCCATGAGAATAGTTTCGGTATAAATAGTCACGCTGCAATCTCGAATACGCAGTCGTGGCGATTCGTGACCTGATTCGATTATGGCTATACATAATAGAAATAAGAGGAAATTGACCTTCAGGAAATACTATTAAATTGCATCCTTCGATGCAAATTACTTGAAGGCAAAACTGGAGAAGATTTGGTCTTTCTCTGCAAAAGAATTTGTGCTGTTTTAATCTACAATTCATCTATTTGGCACTGTCGTCTTCAAATGTTATTAATATTGTCAACAAACACACTCAATGAAAACCTATACAGGGTGAGTAAAAAAAAAGGAAACCCAAATGTCGGGACTATTGTTTTATTGAAGTTCTGCATGTAGCACTTTTAAAATATAGGACATGCAAGCCCAATTCATAAGCTTTCTTTTAGTACAAGAATCATTCACATCACGCATGTACTTTTCAAGTTAAGGAATTGTAAACACAACCACCGTTTTAAAGTTCTTTCCAAGGATCACAAAAAAAGGTGTGCGTTCTTTCAGCAAAACGAAAACAATTCAACCCATCCCTATGTGATTTGTTTTCGTTTTGCTGAAAGAACACTGAACTTTTTTGGTGATCCGTGGACGGAACCTTAAAACGGTGGTTGTGTTTAAAATTCTGTAACTGGAAAAGTACATAAGTGATTTGAATGATTCTTGTACTAAACGAAAGCTTATGAATTGGGCTTTCATATCCTATATTTTGAAAGTGTTAGATGTAGAACTTCACTAAAACAATGGTCCCAACATTTGGGTTTCGGTTTTTTCTCACTCTGTATAGGGTGGTCCCAAACAAACGGAACCTCATACCTAAAGATTCAAACCACATTTGATTTATGTCAAGTCAAATCCGACAACAATTTCCAAAGAGTCCACGGGGGAAGGGATATACTGAAGTAGTTTGGTGATGCATTACGCTTCGCTCGTAAATCGTTACCTTGCAAATCATAACAGGAAATAGTGTTACAGTTAACATAAAAGCATCGGAATCTTTATTCCTCAAAATATATGGAACGGATATTTTCTTCAATATATCGTCATGAAGGGAGGATTGAGTTTCTCTTTGTTTCGAAATTGCCGTTGTCAAATAAGTCTATCGATGCTGTAATGTATAGTGAAACTTTTGAATAACATTCAGTTTAACGTTTTCTGTTAATAAAACACGTACGCAGTTGGATATGTGTTTGTCAAATATAGCGCCACTGCCGAGCTAGACAAATTGGTTCTTTCGGAATCTGTGATTAACGACACCCAAATTTTCTGACGTACAAAAATGTGATATAAATTATGGTTATTTGTAATTCGGGTAACGCCTTGTTGAACGTAGCTGACAAAAAAATATAAATAGTTATATCTTACTTCATATACCTTTAAGTACTTTAGGAAACAAATTTCTGCAATGCAGTCATTTTCAACAGCCATTTATCCCTAACCAAAAAAAGAGGAAAAAAAAGATAATCGTAGAAGCAAACAAAAAGCAAAAGAAACACAATAAAGTAATACTGCGTCGGGAACTAAAACATTCCAGTATTTTGTTTTGAAAAAAAAAGATTTTAAGCAATCCTTGGTTTGTCTGGAACCAAGTCCTTCTGCTTACAAGGAGCGTGGAGATACAAAGAGTAAATGGCTTCTAAAATAAGCCTGGAATTCAGATTAAAACAAAAAAAAACTGAGTCATATATCGCAAGAGTCACTGTTTAGTAATAAGCCTTTTAAAAGAATCTTACACTGCTGTGGGTTGGGCTTAGGGTTAACCCCCTAACCCTTACCCCAACCTAAACAATTACCCTAACTAACCCTCTCCTTAACCGTCACCCTTACCCTAAACCTAACCCTATGATTCTAGCTCTAACGCTAACCCTATTCCTAAACCTAACCCTAACACTTGTTAAGGTGTCCAACTGAGTGATATACCAAAATGGAGAAAATTATGTGCTTCCAACTGCATTTTTAGAAACAACGTGACAAGTTTGTCCTTAGGACTTATTTCGTGGGATCAGATTACATGCGCACATCTCAGATGGTCTGTGTTGATTCAATTGTCGTTAATGGCAGGCTGGTACAGTCACCAATGGTGGTTATCAGAAGATGACGAGAACAGACACGATTGCACCAAGGAGCAGATGGCGGAGGCCGTGCAGGGCTACTTTACGACCGACGCGCTGCCGCTCAGCCTGGCTAAGGAGCCCGGAGTAGCAGGCATTGTGAGTACAGGCTAAGATGGCCAGTCCTTGAGGTTGCAAGGGGTGGATCAGCTGTGGATCAAGGGGGGGGGGAGTAAGCTATCGGGAAGGGGATTGGTGGTTTAGCAGGAATGTGCTAAATGTGTGCATGATTTTCCTATATTTGCAGCCTACTGGTTGTAGACCACCATTGACTCACGCAGCTCTAATAAATACCTTTACTTCGAACTTGTCAGTTTTTAACCAAACTTTGTCAAAAGTAGCAGTAGCCCAGCCCCAAGATGTCACATGACCAAACTGGGGTAGAAGATCATCATGGTGTCACTGGGGTCAAAAACCTGATTTTTTTAAAACTCAAAACACTACTCCTTCCAGAAATTACAAGGCCCAATCACGTGACTCATGCATGAACACAAATTCGTTGCCGATCGAGCTTGTTTTTTTTCCCACTCAATTTAGACGACAGCGCAATTTGAAGCGGAATACAAGGAGTATGTCGGCGGGGAACCAGAGACGTTGTCCGGGTACCAGGAAGCCCCGTATGGTTTCGACAGCGTGTGGACGATAGCGCTAGCCCTGCAGGAGGCGGAGACCAGACTGCAGGATTTGGGTAAGTTATGGCTACGGCTGTTATTGCTATAAGCAGGATACGGTGAATAGCCAAAGCCGCTTTAGATATATATATTTTTTAAACAACGGCTTTTCTCTAACATTCAACTTTGCACACATGAGGTGATACCAAAAAAGTTGTGCAAGCAGATATCGTTAATTTTCTCAAAAAGTACCTGACATGAGTGTTTCATTTTGATGGAGCATATTAATTATACTCTTGTGTATAATCAGTGACAACGTCATGGAAACCCATTCATGCAAACCAGAGCTGTAACAGATTATAAAAGGATATGTGGTTTTTCAACCGTTCCAATGGGAACTGGAAATCGCTCAACCGGCACTCTGCAATGGGTCTTTTTATTAGCTGTGTAAATCACATTGGAACGGGTGAAAAACACATTGCCATTTCTAATCTGTTGTATCTCTGGTGTGCATGAATGAATTTTCATCAAATGTTCGCTGTGATTATACACACCGAGTACAGGCAATATACCTCATCAACATGAAATGATGTTGGGTACCTTTTGAGTAATTTAAAGATTTCTGCTTGCACAACTTTTTTGGGGTCGCCCTGTACTCTTGAAGAACCCCGTCCCACACGCGGGTTTATACGCAAACATGGGCATGTGGCAAGTGCGAAACCTGAAACTGACGAATATATAACTGTCAGGAAATTCCTATCTTGCCAAGAAAAGGATTTAGCACATGGCAACGTCAATAGGCAAAGGATACGGAATGGATGTGCATTTGGCATGTGCATACAGTCATTGTGCATGATGTCGGATTGAACAGGTGGAAATGTGTAACCTAAAACTGATCAGTAAAGTGCGAAGAAAATGTTGCGAGGCAACGCTTAAAAGGAGTATACATAATGTAGGCGCAGGAAAAGGATGGGCGTGCATTTTTGTATTCTTTGCATGAAGTAATTTACATAAACGTGGAGTGTATTCAGCGTTAATTATGCGAGTACAAAGTTCGTTTGTTTTGAAAACGAAAATGGCACCTTAAAGACAGAATTCGCTTGCTTTGTTAGTTCATTATTTCCAATGTCTTTGTTCTTTTTCATTCTTTATTTTTTAAAAGTTTTTTTGAAGTTGTCTTGTCTGAATATAAATATATAATTAAATAATTATGATTAAGATACATAAAATGAAAACATTAATGATAGTTTGTTTGTTTGCTTTTAACTCAAATCTCAAAGAGCATAGTTTGCTTACATAACAAAACTGGAAAGCACTCAGAGAGCGCAAACCTCCGCCAAGGCTAAACAATTCCCCGCCATTACACACAGCAGCAAGCACAAATGTGGTTTCTAAAATAAATTCGTAAACTCATATATTTTGTATTTAACATGTACATGCCTGTGTTGGTCTACCTTTCCACTCCCCAATGTATAAATGGTCTAGTCCATTGCCCAGTTTGGTTTGATTAGGTGGGTGATAAGGCATACAGGGTCACCTGGTCAGTGCCACGCACACGAAGCTGGTCACGCAGGGTGCAACATGTTCCATATGATGGGTAAAATAAATCCTGGGAAAAAAATCCTACACCCACAAGCAGATCCGGATTACTTCCAAAATCTAATCGATTTTACTTGTGCCAATTCAGGGCTTAGGGTGCCGCCTTGTTCCTCCCTAGCTCTTTGCTTTTACATGGTGCCTGGCCCTCCGGGCTTATTACAGGGAAGGAAGTGTGTAGACCGGGACCGCCGAGATCCCAGAAGTGTCCCATAAGGGGTTGGCATGGACCACCCCTTGAGTTATCCTGTTCACAGACAAACCAACGCCGGTGAGAACATAAACTTAAACAAATAAAGCATCGTGTACCTATTGTGACAAATGGAAAGTGACTGAGCATTACACAGATCGTTAAACCGACAGATACATAAGAAGCCAACATAAGTCTTGAAACTAAAAGCATCGTTACATTGTACAGTCTCTCAAAATCACGAAAACTGACGATAAAAATCGCCATGAGGAATACATTACACTACAAGGCTGGGTTAGTTTTTTTCTACCTTGACATAGATAACAGCAAGCCGACGACTGTGTTTTGGTATAGTGCCCTGCTTTATGGGTGTAAGTCTGATGTCACTCGATACCACTGCTCTAAAATTTGAAACTTGATCTGTTCAAAGAGCTTGCAAGTCAATCTGTGATTATAGAGCGCCAGTCTCGGTAAAATCTGGGGGAAAATATAACCTCTCCGTACTCACGAGAACGAAATGGAACACGCGATACCTTAATGCCAGCTACGAAGTCAGACAAATAATTAAGCGACATAGCAATCAACCAAAAATTCTGACCTCTTTTAGGAAGCGAGGATATTCGCTTTCTCGACTACCGGATGCCGGCCTTGTCTTCGCGAATTTAACCGGCAATAACTGCACCTGATCCCGCGTTTTCAAAACGTCACTATTTATCAAGAGCGAGATCTCTCGAGGATTGATGGCCGGACAAGTTTTCATTAGGGCCTGCGCGATATATTAAACAAATTTCGGTCTGTACAATGTGCTACAGTATACAGCCGACTTGAAGTTACGTATCGCGTTTTACGGTCGAGAACACGGCTTCCTGTGATGAGGTGAAATTGACTTTCGAAACTAATTTTGTCAAAATTACTGTAGTTAATTGCCTAGCCACGGAGTTCCGCCCCATCTGCACGGATTGGATTCCATAGTGAATAATTAAGCAGCAGTGTTGAAGCCAAGATCCTTGTGATGGATCACAGATGATCACAGGAAATCATAGGTCCGTCACAAGTCCAGCACAATACACAACTGTGACAAATGCAGTCCTTTGTTAATACTCTTCATTCGCCTGTTTCTTAATCTTGTGACTGTAATTGTAATTTGACTTGTGATTTACTTGTGACTGGACTTGTGACCGGACTTGTGAATGGACTGGTGACTGGACTTGTGATTTACATGTGACTGGACTTGTGATGAACTTGTGACCGGGCTTGTGATGTACTTGTGAACGGACTTGTGATTTGTTTGTGACTGGACTTGCGATTGGATTGTGATCTACTTGTGACCAGACTTGTGATTTACTTATGACTGGACTTAACTTGTGATGTACTTGTGACTGGACTTGTGATGTACTTGTGACTGGACTTGTGATGCACTTGTGACCGGACTTGTGGTGTACTTATGATTCATCACAAGTTCCTCGACCAACACTCTTAGTAGTTCGTTATCTTTACCTAATAGATCATTGTTATATTTCTAATAGTTCCTCCCAAGACGATTGCAAACTTCTCATACGATGACGATGAGATGGCAAAAATATTCTTCGAGGTTATCAACGCTACAAACTTCGAAGGCGTCTCGGTAAGACATTGCTGTTTTATCTAATGAGGCAATTTAGCAATAGTAGAAATCACTGCTATCTTCAGTAGATAGCATCATTCCTACGCTGAATATGTATAGGTAAAACTTAATTGTATTTATAAGGTAAAATACATTATTATGCTGCCGATATAAGATCTTCAATGTGCTGACATAAATATCCACTATCATTAACTCATATATTTTATTCAGAAAAAAAGTTTGATCGCACCAGCGCTTGGCCAAAATTCTAATTCACGTAAGAGACAAAGAACTATACTTCTGAACACAAGAGCTACCGCAATTTCGTTAAATTTGTATATAAAAAGAAAGAACTTATCAAATTGATTTTATTAATTTTGATAATGCATGTTGGATTCAAATGACGAGTAACCAAATTTCAAAAAAAAAATGCTAGACATAAACCTTCATGGAATCATACTTCTAAATAAAGGGAAAAGTAAAGTACAGTCTGTCACGAGCCAATGTGGCCTATCAGGCCGGCGTTTATCTCCGGTTTCAGTAGCATGAAACGACTGAGAATATTTCTACTCCCCCTGGATGGAATGCCAGTCCATCACAGGTACTCCAAGCTAATGCCGGTACCACTTACACTCCTGGGTGGAGAGAGGCATGTGGAGGTGAAGTGGCTTGCCCAAGGACACAGCATATGGCCAGCAGCTGGATTCGAACCCCTAGCCCTTTGATCATGAGTCACGAACCCTAACCACTAGGCAACACTCCCCAAATAGAGGGAAAACACATGTTTTATTTGGCTTTTATTTGGCAAAACTGCAGTACATGTAGTACATTCGCCTGTACGTTTCATTAATTCCTCCAGGGACCTGTGCAATTCACATACGATGGCGACCGCAAGGGATTAATGCAAGTTGAACAGAACCAAGGTACGGTCATCAGCACTGAAATTAACATGAATTACCAATAATGGATTCATTAAGTCCCGTGATTCTAAACGATCATTACCAAGGTCAAGCTGGTAGTTTCGATGAAGACTAATCGCCAAGATGCTGTTTTTAATGTGTGTTTTTTCCTCTTCAGATGGGGCTGAAGTGAGAGTGGGGATTTATCATCCCACAGCCGAGGATGAGAATAAGCTTCGGTGGACAAATGACCCTCGCATCGTCTGGCAAGGTAAATAATTGGCCATGCTTCCCATTTTTTTTTAGAAGGAATGTGATTTAGTAGATGAAGAAAAGCACTTTAAAGTCTTTCAAGACGAGTATTTTGAATGGCCTTTTAAGCAATTCAGATTAGGGGCTCTTCATCTATTTTAGTTCATAACTTCAATAACCTATAGGTCATATTCACTGCAGATATTTCACAATACATTGTCGTCTTGCGAATGAGTTACAAAGTCGGCCTACCTGAACACTCCAAAAACGTAGTTTTTGAATATAATTATAGGCAATATTTAAGCGCCAACAATCACTAATACAAAATGTATATACAAATACCTACACCTCTTCTATTTAAAACAAAGATTTTTCTGGGGGTGTCATTAACAGAGAACGTTACCATTAAACATCATCAATTACAGAGAATAACAGAGAATTTCAGAGAACTTCAGAGAATTTCAGAGTATTTCAGATATCAGAAAATTCACCATTTTTGTTCCAGTTTACCACCAAAAGGGTCGCACGTCACTGCATGCAGAATCCATCATTGAACTTTGCCGTAACATGAACTTTGACCTCTGAACTTTGACCCTTGTATTTCTGACTCGCAGGTGGCAAGCCACCTGCAGATTCGATCCTTGAGGAGGAGCTGCCTCAGACCATCTCGCAGGACCTCTTCATCGGGATGGCGATCCTCGCTGCCGCGGGGATCGTGTTGGCGATAGGCTTCCTGGCATTCAACGTGCGTTTCAGGAACAGACGGTAAACTCCAGTTTCTGTTTCTGTTACTTTTTCCCCACAAATTCAACTCATACCAATTGACCCCTTGCATAGAGCGCCCTCAACGAGGACAGGTTTTTATTTAAAATATCGGTTCTCGCTGCCGCAGGGATCGTGTTGGCGATAGGATTCCTGGCATTCAACGTGTGCTGCTGAAACAGACGGTAAACCCTTGTTTCTTTTTCTTTTTTCCCCACAAACTCATACCAAGTGATCCCTTGCACAGAGCGCCCTCAATGAGGACAGGTGTTTATTTTAAACCAGTGATTGTCTACTCTCGCTGCCGCAGTGTGCTGACGATAGGGCTCTTTTTGTTTTGGATTTCAACGTGCGTTTTAAGTCAGGTTACTTTTTCTATTACTTCTATCAAACAAATTTAACTCATACGAATCGGCGCCTTGTGCTGTGCGCCCTCAACGAGGACAGTTGCTTATTTAATATCAATCAATGTCGACCTTCCGGCTGCCGCTGGGACCATGTTGGCGATGAGTGGTTCTGACTTCGAATGATCGCTTCAGAAGATAACTTTAGTTAAACTCTAGTTTCCTTTTCTCAGTGTTTTTATCCATCAAATCTACTCATACGAATCGGCCCCTCGCACACAGCGCCCTCAACGAGGACAGGTGTGTTTATTTTAAACCAGTGACATTGACATTACAACGTGCATGAGTATGCAGTTCCAACAGATTTATATCGGTGAAGGGCACAGCCAATAAATGAGAAATAAATTTGATTACGTCCGTTGACCAACACAAAAACCTCAGTGAACAGATGTTGCAAAAAATAGCTGATTATTTTGGAGAATAATCAAATTTATTATTATGTTATCTCCCACACACACACACACAAAACACCTTGGAAATCAATGAAGAAAAGTTAATTTTCTATGGACATTTAGAATACCACTGTATTAATTGGCCATGAAAAAGGTCAGGTAAGTTTGAAACACTGCTGCCATTATGTTACACCATAAAAGAAACCTATTTTCTTTCTCAATATTTTTTTGACGAAGATCGACAAATCTGGAACACTGACAGACCTGAAGGTCACGTAGCAATAAGCTAATGGAATGTAGTCAGGAAAAGGCTAACGGGAATCTAATAATGATTCCAGACGTTGGTATTTGTTTATTTTCGTTCCTAACATCCTTCGGTAACATTTCGTTACTGTTTCGTACGCTAAGAAATCAAATTAAGCATTTTCTGCCAAAAGGCCATGGCAAATTGGCAATGCTTTTTTCGTCCTTGTTTTATTGGATTAAGAGTTTAATTGGGTCCCGCATCATTCAGTGCCGGCCTGGGTTGGCTCAATTGTTGGGTCTGGGACCTTTCCCGGTAGAGAGCATTCAATTACATTACCGTACGAGCGTCTTCAGGTCAAAGGTCAATGCTGCCATATCTGGAGAGTGAAATGTGGCGCAGGGGATTGCTTATAAAAAGTCGTTGGTTATTGGTCGAGTAGTCAACCTAATTAGAACAAGAAGACACGATTTACAGATTTCAAGCAATGGCCATTCCTGTATTTGTCTTCACAATTCAATTAGAAATAATTCATTGAAAGGCTGAACAAAGACATTGACTGGAGCGGGGTTTGAACCGTTCCGGTGCTCTTACTAACTGAGCTATCCAGCCCTTATGTTGGCGGTTCCCCAATTCGTCAATGGCTTTGTTCAAAGTTGCGTCAGGTTGCAACATTCTTTCCGAAAATGTTCTCGTACATACAAAGCTGCTCCTTGTTTAATTATTTCTTTTTTTTCTGAAACAGATTTATCAAGATGTCCAGTCCGAAGATTAACAATCTCATTCTATTGGGAGGGATGCTGATGTATGTGTCAATCTTCTTCAACGGACTGGACACAAGCAGGGTGCCGTTTGACTCGTACGTCTGGATGTGCAAGGTAAAGTTCTAGGTACAAAAGGAAAACAATGTGCAAAAGGCGTTCGTGTTTATGGAATAAGATTTCATGGGGACAATGTATGAGATGATTTGTTTATGTAAAGACGTGAAATCTGCATGGTAAAGACTCCATTACAAGACGTTCTGCGGCAGCACTGCGTATCTCTTTTGCATGTGTGGTTGTGAGTTATCTTACAACTGATTTCTTGCAACTTATTTCTTGGCATTGATTTCTTTGCACTTTATGCGAACGCAAGTGTTAGACGTATCGTTCTTGAACGTGCATGCACGCTGTTGGTGTTTTAACATCGCATAATCACGTTTTTATAATGCCGACAAGAGTTAACGAAACGATATTCATCTGTTATTGCTATAATGTGTACCGCAAAAATGCAAAACTGTCTAGAGTTTGTCACACATCGATATCAAAGGAGTCGTTCATATTTCGCGTTGAACAGCTCATCACAATCAATTTACATCGTAATCAACATCGTGCGCACCTGATGGATTCACCCCACGCGTGTTGTATAATGCAGTAATGAACATGGGCATTACATGCGGCGCAAACCGTAATTGGATTCTCATTTCTAGTACTCAGATACTTCCGAGTGAACTTCGCTCAGCGAGAGCTTTTTAAGCGCATTAGCGTCCCTTCTGGGTACTTTTGTTCTCTCAGATGTACACAAATATTGTTGCACTTTTTTATAATTTGTATTTTCAGGCCAATACTTGGTGCCTCGGCATCGGCTTCTCTTTGGCTTTTGGCGCAATGTTCAGCAAAACCTGGCGAGTGCATAAGATTTTTACCAGCAAAACCATGATGAAAACGGTAAAAATTTCATACTATATTACTCCAGAAAAAAATATTACTACTGAATATTTTGTAACAATTCTAGCTCATAACACTGCCTTGTCCATTGCAGGGATCTACTATATCTACATGTCGCAGTGACTCTTCCAAAAAAAGTGAAAAGCTTCCAAAAACGTGAGCAGCTCCCGGGTGACAGGCAGGGCGGTTTGGATGGTGCAGTGACTAATGTTTAAATCACTGATTAGAAACCATTTTCCTGGTAATGCGACACCTAAATTTATATTATCTTCTGTGATTAGTGATCCTTTTTTCTTCTTTGAACTACAGATAATAAAAGACTACCAGCTCTATGTGATGGTGGCTGTTCTAGTTTTGATCGTCACTCTGGTTTTGGTTATCTGGGAGATCGTGGATCCACTACAGACGGTAGTAAGAAAAGCAGCCAGACAGGTAATTGTTGGTCTATCAGTTTGATCAACCATTACCAATCCATCAATCCACTGATCAACTAGTTTATATCACCATCATTCCGTTGATCAACTACTAGACACTTCCATTAATCCACGTATGTCTTGATCAACCATTATATATTACCAGCGTTCCGTTGATCAACTAGTTGACATTTCACTCCATTGACTGTGGATCAACCAGTAGACATTGTTGCCAATCCACCAATCCCTTAATCAACCACAAACACTTCCACTCATCAGCCAATGCGTTAATAAACCAGTGGACTCAGTCACCAATATCCACCAATATCCAATACACGGTCGTTGTGTTCAACAAGCAGACATGAATTCCAACTATCAGTATTAACTAGTAGACACCAACACCACTAATCACAATTCCGTTGATCAACTATTAACTTGACCCTGTATCCGTGATATAAACAGCAGACGCTGCCAGTAATCCACACATCTTTAATCAACTAGGAAAGACATTTCGACCACTCTATCAGTTACTTAATCAACCAGCATCCACAATTCAGAAATCAGTTATTCGTAAGCCTAGACACTTTCAACGATCCGCCATTCACTTGTTGATCCAGTAGACAGACACCAAAACTATTATATATCCACCAATGAGTGCATCAACTAGTAGGCATTTCCACTGATCCACCAATCAGTTGATCAACAGTTACCATCAAGCAACCATCCAACCAACCCACTGATCTGTTATGATCAAGTTGGTAAATGATCAACAGTAACGCACGCACTCCAATCATCCTATCAACCAATGTTCATTACAAGCGTTAGGCTTTGATTGACATAATACATTGAAATAGTTATTAAAAAAAAAAAACATTTTCTTTTATCATAAACAGCAAACAGATGACCTGGATGTGGTCATCATTCCTGTCCACGTGACCTGTGAGTCCACATGGCAGGTGTATTGGGTCGGGACTCTCATCTGCATCGAGGGTTTACTGCTTGTCTTCGGCGCCTTCCTGGCCTGGGAAACCAGAAAGGTGACGGTCCCAGCCTTAAACGATTCCAAATACATAGGTAAGTTTCTCTTTGATGATGTATGCAACTGACATCAAAATCTAAAAGACCATTAAGAGAAACTGGCTAGGTTCACATTTAATCAATATTCGATCGAACAAAATATATACATAATACTAAATTCCGAAGGTCGCAGGTTCGTTTTTATCTTCAACCTCATAAATATCAAATCAACTATTACACGCCATAGTAGTTTACAATTAATTAAATTGTTGCCAGTCTTTTATTTCTGAACTTATCAGATTAGACTCAAATATAACTCAGGCTTTCCCTTGTATTACATCCAAGATCATTGAACAACTTTACGCAGAACGGGGAAAATGGGAATCAAATATCGTTCAGTATATCATTATGAAAGAATACAATGTGCTTCGCCACATTGTAATATAAAACTCCATTTTGACAATAACATACCGGGAAATGTTTCCATTTATAGGCAACATTGGTAATTATCCTTGTTTCTTATTATATAACAGTACGCGTAATTTTTAATCCTAGGAGGGTTTAATAGGGGCAATGTCATGAATAATTCATGTTTATCCATGAGAACGGACAATGACATCAACAGCATTGTTGTTAGTTACTCAACTAGTTACAATACATTAAAGCATTTTAAAGAACGGTTATCGTCGAGCTACCACACAGTAGCCTAGTGGATAGCGAGATGAGCTATGGATACAAAGATCCCTGGTTCGCATCCACGTCGTCGCTGCACTTTTTCATCAGCTATTTTTCTTCTCCAAATTTATCACCGAGATAATTTTAAATTAAGGGGAAAATAGAACGAGAACCAAAGTCTTGCAATGATTCAAAGGAAAAACTGAATTATTCATGACATTGCCCCTAACCCTCCTAGGAAAAAAAATAACGCTAACAGTACTGACGAAGAACACCAATATCTGAGACATTGTACGAGTTCTCTGTCACATAGCGCTGATCGCTGGTCTTTTTGGTCAATTAGACAAAGGAACACGACGCCAAATTAGTAGGAAAATGTTATTAAACAAAATGTTCTTGTCCATAGGAATGAGCGTTTACAACACCGTGATCCTATCGTTCATTGTGGTTCCTGTTTCACTCATCTTGGACGAGGTGAACGCTCGTTACGTCATCATGTCTATCTTCAACGTGTTCGCTACGACACTTACGCTGTGTCTGGTATTCGTTCCAAAGGTAAAGATTAGAAAAATGGTAAAATAATGTTTTTTTTCTGAAAAAAAAAACACAAGATGATGAAATAAACACACAGAGACTACATGTGTATACAACTTTTACATTGAAAGGGCTCATCAGTGTAATTTTTTAATGTAATCCTTGAAAATGCACGTTTGTGTCACATTTAACCTTTTTTTTCAATTTTCCGTTTTGCCATTTTCAAGGGTATTTTGGTGCCTTTTTGGTTTTTATGCTAAGGCAAATTTGTCAGCCAATGATCACATTTTCTCACAAATAGTTTCAACGAACAAATTTTAGGGATAACTATTTGAACAGAAAACACTTAAACTGAACAAAGTCTTCCTTAAATGGCATCACAGCAACAGCGCCCGCAGTTGTCCAGAAAAGCTTGGAAATTTTTAAATAGAAGTACTCTTTTCTAAGTGCACTAAAATTAACCCAAAAGGGAATGTCAAATAGTGTAAATACATTACAATTTAAAGGGCGCTTTACTCAATCTGGAAAAGTCACTTAATAAGCAAAGTGCAGTTGCTTTTAAATAAATATACGTTGAATTCGAAGTAATGGTAAACCGACAATGGGTGTTGTTAAAGTGCCCCGCCCGTTCATAATTCACGAAGAGGTCTTTTTTCTTCTGTTTCTTCTCATTTTTCTTTTCTATTTTTTCTCAGCTGAAGGTTCGGAACGATATTCACCCGAAGGGCAGCATGCTGTCCACCATGAAGAGCGGCGAAGAAGGGGAGAGTGACTCGGACAAACGAATACGCATTCTCAATGATATGATTCAAAGGTTACAATCATCGCTCGTTAAGGTAAAGCATAACGGGTTCCCAGTTACATCAAAAATAACTGTCATACCAATTTATAGATATCCGATATTTGCCATTAATTATTCTCCAAACTTCCAGTTTCAACTTTGGTGCATTTAACAGTAAACAATAGCCGCTCATTCTTGCACGTACACAACTCCCCTCTCTATAGTGACGATGTGTAGTGAGTAACACTATGGATCATAATCTATCGGGTACAGCTTTGAAAAGGTCTGTAAACTGGCCTCATATATATTGGTACAAATGACAGGTTAAAATGATTGCTGCACAACCTGTACTAATGGTCTACCAATCTGGGTAGGGTTTTTGATAGTTTGTGATAGTTTGAAGTATAGGAGGGTTAAATATAGGTGATTTTTACATGGTCATGTTTACATAATGATGTGAATCACGGAAAACATGCTCGGATCAACGTGTAGTCTGTCGGTGTCGTTAGGCATGACGTCACAGCTCTAACGACATTGCTGACTTCACAGGCGGTCTTAGAATTGTTCACGTTCTGAAAGTACTAGGTTGGACTTCCTTGCTTTGTTCTTGACGTCACAAGTGACGTCACAGGTGACGTCACATGTAATTATAACAGGGGGTCTACAACAATGTATTTAACCCATTCTCTACGTTCTACAGTTGTCCTTTACTTTGTTCTTAACATCACCTGTGACGTCACAAGTCTGCGTTTTTTTACCCACTCTGGACATTCTCTACCCTTTTATCCATCTTTGTGTTTCTTATAACAGAAGGACGACATTATAAAGGAACTGGAGACAGCTGGAGTCAGCGGCCAGACCAAACATCACAGGGACTCAGCAGATGAGGGAATCAACACGGCAGGAACGTCTCAGGAAGATCCGGCTACCAGCTAGCTAGCTCGGATTTACGATGTGTACAGTGTATATAGTGTTGCACGATTGTCAATTACATGTAAATAATCGATTACCTGCACAACGCTATCAACTAATCGCACAAAGCTTTATAATAGAGATTTACTTCTTAATGTTGATTGTGCTTAATGATAAATCGCAATTCATCAAGGTTAATCGATTTTATCGATTAATCACGATCAATCGAGATGAATCAAAAATTGATCGATTAATATTATTTGCTCTTTCTTTAACTTAGCAATTACTTTTAAATCGATTGCCATATTATATTCTTCAAATTCAAAATGCTTAATGTATTAAAAGAGTTAATACATACAATGAAAAGTTTTGATTAAGAAAACCATTCGATTCATATCACTGGTGTTCAAATAGAGTTGACTCTAGTTAATAGAATCACTGTTAATACAAATTCTGGTTATAGCAAACATAAAGCCATGGTCCCGACTGTGTATGTGCATAAAGAATGGGACCGGCACTCTACTTAATACAAAATTCTGATATAACAAACATTTTGGCTATAGATCCGGCTGAGTTGTATTAACGAGAGTCAACTTTTCTTCTAAACATTTCCTCATATGCAACCCTGCTTAATTATAACTTGACAGATTAAACCTTGAAAAAGCTGTACTTTTATTTTAATTTATTGACCGACCTCTGAATTTAAGCAGCGATTGTACTCAAAATAAAGATATTTGCGCCACAGTCAGATCACTACAGTATGCGGCGTAACACAAAATACGATATTCATACGACGAACGAAAAGTCGGATGAAATCATGTTGCAAAGATGCCAGTCATGATTATCAGAAGTAAATGCGAGCGAATACCTCAGACAGGACTGGACAAACTGTGGCAGACAGAAAGACGGACATGACGACACAATAACGGACAAAACACGGACTGACAGACTACGAAGAGCCATATAACTGGGGGTGGGGATAAAAAAAATGTTGCATTTCACTGCCTATAATGATCAATAAAGAATTACTCGAAATTAAGTTTTATTTTATTACATGTAGTTCAACAATTTACTATAGTGGATTTTGTAAACAGGTGTTTTTTTTCGCACTTTCCCCATCGTTTTTACACATAATAACAGGTAGTTATCATTCACAACGTGTGTTTCTTATACACAATGTTGGAATAACGTTGCTTTTACTTATTCATTTATTATTCAATGGTTATCAATGTTTAGATGTTGAGTCTTGGTTTGTTTTATTCGCACGAACTGAATTTGTTTTGTTTTCCCTTGTGTGTTTTTCCAAATGTTATGGTTGAGATGTTGATAAAATTTATTATGTAAACGGATTAAAGGGAGAAAACATGCACCAAAACTGTACAAATAATTCAATGACTGGCAAATGATGTCTTATTTATTATGTTCATTAAACATGGTTTATTTTTGTGTAATTTTAGGTTTAATCCACTACCTCACAATTCAATATCTGTATATATTTCTACAGTTGTTGGAGCGCTGTTATGTTGCATTACTATACTGTGATGAAGCGGGAATAGTGAGAAGAAAAAAAATAAAGAATACAGCAGGTATTTTAACTTGGTTTTTTCTGAAGTGTCACTTTCTCCAAACATAACAGGTGTGTATATCACCTACAAATTTGTCACACGAAAGAGTGATTGTTTCACATTATGGTTAATTTACATGGTCTTATGTCAGGGCAGTTACATGCTCACGATATAAAAGTGCCCTATTTAGGTGACTATTGGTTATTCTTTATAATGTTTGATATCTTAAAACACTTTTCGTGTTAGACTTTCATTTCAGCAAGTGTTACATGTGAGTCAAAAAAAAACTAAAAAATAAAATTGTTGTTCCTGATATGACAATTGTTTGCTTATGTATACTTTAAGAGGTTTTAACATCATTTTGTAATTTACTGTTTCTTTTACATATGTGTACATGTTATGAGCGTAAAACAAAATGAAGATGCAAGATAAAATGAAATTATATAACAAAGTAATAACGTAAACAGCATCAAAACGTTGATGTTTAACACTCATCAAGGCCTCCACAAACCTTTAATGTGTCGTCATCATACGTCATCCTTCTTTGCTGTTTGTTGGGATTTCTGGGCTTTTCGTTTGGTCGCTTTGATCAGACACTGGCTCACGACCGGGAAAATCCTCACGCTGCCCTCAATGCACTTTTGCAAACACTGCCAATATTGTGGGGAAAGAAAATATGTATAATTTTTATCAGTTTTGTACACGATTATATTGGTGTGCATATAAATTTTGAAAGTAAAACTTGACATCAGAATTTCATGGGAAGTGTGCAGTTTTGCAGTTTATCTTTGTGCACAATCATTTTAATCATAGTTTTGAGATGATCACTTTGGTTTTAAAATGTTCACGGTTTTAACACATTTTTGCCATTTTTATTATACATGTATCATATTATCAGTTCAAATTTAATAAATGGAAAACTGTTTAAATAATGTGCCTTGCTCTAATACTTTTAAAAGACTTCAAAAATTATCATAAAGGGCAAATGTTATCTAATTTGACATGAAATTGTTGTTGGCAGATTTGTAGTTAAGTCAATACAAGTCAAATCACAAGTCAATTCACATGATAAATCACATGCCAATCGCAAGTAAATCACATGCCAATCACAAGTAAATCACATGCCAAACATAAGTAAATCACATGCCAATCGCAAGTAAATCACATGCCAATCACAAGTAAATCACATGCCAAACATAAGTAAATCACATGCCAATCGCAAGTAAATCACATGCCAAACATAAGTAAATCACATGCCAATCGCAAGTAAATCACATGCCAATCGCAAGTAAATCACATGCCAAACATAAGTAAATCACATGCCGATCACAAGTAAATCACATGCCAAACATAAGTAAATCACATGCCAATCACAAGTAAATCACATGCCAAACATAAGTAAATCACATGCCAATCACAAGTAAATCACATGCCAAACATAAGTAAATCACATGGCGATCACAAGTAAATCTCCACTGGCTTCCGATTTAATTTAATATCATGTACAAACTTATGCTTCTCGCTTATCGCTCACTACACAACATCTCCCCTCGGTATTTAACTACGCTACTAGCTCCTCACCAATCCGGTCGTTCTGGTCTCCAGTCTGCTAACCAACACCTTTTAGCTGTACCCAGATCGTACCGATCCTGGGGGGACAGATCTTTTAGTATAGCTGCACCACGTCTTTGGAATAGTCTACCCATTAGCATCCGATCTAGCACATCTCTCAGCTCATTCAAAACGGCTCTGAAAACACACTACTATAATCTAGCCTACACCACCACATAATAAGCTCTTCTGCTTGTCAGACTAGGGAGTAATACATTGTTTTTTTGTTCTTGTTTGTTTTATCGTGTTTTTTCTGTTCTATTGTAGCGCCATGAGCGCCTTTGTTAGGTGGATGTGTGCACTTTATAAGTACCCATTGGCAATCACATGCCAATCACAAAATCACTGCAAGTCACTCACAAGACAATAACAAGTAATAGGGCATGAACAATGACTAAGGGTGTTTATGCCAAAGTACATCTGAATAGATTTGAATAGATAAATAACTTGTTATTGTCTTATACAACCCTGGATGTCACAGACTTACCTTTGCAGCAACTTCAGGTTCTATCTCCCCAGTCTGCTGAATTGCCGATAACTGATTGAGTGAGGGTAGGTAAGCGGCTGTAACCGAGCCATGATTGCTAGCATCCCCGTCAACCGATCGACTGTAGAAGTCTTCGGTGATGGTGGGATCCAGCACAGACGTTGTCTCACCAGCCTGACGCTAAGACAGGAGAAAATTAAACAGAAAATCTTCAAAGAAAAGAACACAGAGCTTAAAGGGAAAATACAACATTTGCAAACATCAAAAAATAAAACTACCAAATCATTTTGAAATACCTTGCTGGACTGTTAGTGAATGACAGTGTAAAGCATCCTGTAAAATCATGGCACCTGGTATACTGTCATTTTCAAGAAAAGTGGTATTTTTGTATCAATTTCCAACGCTGGTCGGCCGACCAGCGTTGGAAAAAAACTGGCTTTTTTTCAAATACTGGCCCCAATTGACCATCGCACTTGTTTGCAATCGATTACACACCTATGAACGGGTACAAGCCAGCTAGACTGGTTCCCTGACCTTACAATTCCCCAATGTATGTAAACTCTGTTTCTTCTTATATGGAGTCAGGGAACCAGACTACAGGAAAATGATTGTTTTTCTTGGTTTTTATAGCATTTTCGAACCCAAAACCTCAAAAAAGTCAGTGTAACTATATTTGCTATATATTTCCAACCCCCCAATTCCATCCATTTCTGAAAATTACAGCAAAAGCACATGATGTATATTCCCTTTAAAAAGGAAGACTAATTTATCAGGAAAAAACTATCTTAGTACTCTACCAATTGAGCTATCCAGCACTTTGTTTCTGATGGTGAATACAGTATCTTTGTTTATGGGATGCTGATCGAAGGCCACAAGAATGACTGCACCACAAATTTTGTCTGCCCATTATTGTTTAGTTATACTACGAACTGTGAAAGTCAACATAGTCTAAAGAGTGCACAACTTTTAGTACAGGGCAAATAGGGGAAGTACAGTTTCAATTGTAGCTATGCAGACAGGGTTGAAGAACTAGAATAGCTCCTATGGACACAATTTTGTATCAGCAAAAGAGTCGAGAAAAGGGAAGTATCAGTCTGGCGACTTGGAAAATCACAAGCAAACTAACAGCTGCCTCCTTCATTTTTTCAAAAGCCCCCGGAAGAAAAACTCTATTATTTTTTTGAGCTCAGCCTAAAACTCACCAATGAACATCCGATGACGACATCATACATTTCGATCCCAGCATCGGCCACAGCTACTGAGGCACATGTCAGGGCAGCAGCAAATGCTACAAAACATTGAAGGAATAAAAGAGAATAACCAATTATATGTTTTGCTGAATATTTGAAGAAAAATATATAAAAACATATTCCTGGCAATATCTGGACACAAATTTCTTTTCTTTTTTTTAATTTCTTTTCACTTATAATCAGTTGATTAAAATTTGTCTATGAAACAGAAACCATGTAAAAAACTTTATAGAAACAACTACACGTACCACTTCCGTCATTTTGTAGAACCGTCACAAAAATATCTAGCTGTGACTTCGGAAACTTGTGCTGTAACGAGTGGAAAAAAAATTAGCTTTTAGTTATTGAGTTCGTAAAATGTTGAAGTTTAAAAAAGGAGTAAGGCCAAATAAAAAAAACATGTTTAGCCTCATGCCTTGTTGAAGAAAAGGAAGGCGGCCTTTTTTTTCCCTCCGAAATGGCCGCCTGACCGGGCTACTTTTCAAAATGACGACCAGCTTTTTTTTTCTAAATGGCCGTCACTTGGACTCAGGAAATGACATACCAGCTTTATATGGGCTAGATGCAAGAGACAAAAAGGCCAAAATGATGTCACTGTTTAAAAATTTAATGATGTCAACTGTTTAAGCAGGCATGCAACTGGGAAATCATAGAAAAAAGAGGAAATTCAAATTTTTCCCAGACTTTGTACAGTGTTTTTCTATTTTCAATGGCACACATGGGAAGTAAAAAAAGAGGAAATCAGCTGATCCGAGAAAGTTGCATGCCTGTTTAAATCTTTTTTTGTTTTAATTAAAAGAAAAAAAAGGCAGCTTCCAAAAAGGAAGTGGGCGGGGACGCTAAACATGTTTTTTTATTTTTTATTTGGCCTAATAGTACCCAGGGGACAATTTCACGAGATTGGCAAGTACAGAACATGTTATTGGTGATGATTTCATATATTGGGAGGATTGGGAGGGGGGAGATTTAGGGGGGAGGGGGGTTGATGATGGGGCTTCAAGAGCTAACCAGGGGGAGGGGGTATCGTCTCAGTTCCCCCAGGCCCATCGCTAGCCCTGAGCATCGGGGGGTGGGGGGTGGGGGTGGGGATGTATTAAAGTACCACCTAGGAGGCCCACTACCATAACAAATACAAAGATACATATGTATGGTTTTTGCTGTTGGGGGGGCCAATTGCTCGCCAAGAGGGGCCCAGCACCACCAGGCCCCCCTCCCCCCCCCCCCCCCCCCCCCCCCCCCCTGGCGACGAGCCTGTCCCCCTTTCTGAATCTGCCAGTCTAACTTACCAAGCAGATAGCAGGTTGCAGAGCCTGCGCAATCACCAAACCCATCTGTTTCTCTTCGCTGTCCGTTTGATGCTGCCGTCTGCCCGGACACGAGAACGTCGCGTACTTGAACTCGCAGCGCAGCGACCCCTGCATGCTGAACCCCTCACGGCGTTGCACCTCGTGCGGACCGTACACTGCGCAGATGACCTTCGTGTTGCACGCCTCTATGTAGGCGGAGCCTCGGGCCTGGCTCACTACCCCAGCCTTGAGAACTGTGTGACAAAGTGTAACGCAAATAAAAACAGTGTGATCATGCTTCCTCCATGGTGTGATTAAGATCGCAAGACAGGACTGCATGTTTTAACATGTTTAATGCCTTCTATCTGTATTGAAGCAATTTGATTTGAAAAACATTTATTTAAACTTCATTTGTTTTCATTTAATACAGTTAATCATAATTTCGAAATAAAAAAATTGTTCAATATTTACTTGGAGGGTTTTATTTTAATTCAATAAAAAATGGGGAAAAAATGTTGCAAGCTGATGCCACTTTTTTCTATCGAAGTGGCTATCGTTACGGCAGCCGTTGTTTAGTGCCCTCTACGATACTTTTTTGATACGCACGCAGGTATATAATTATTTGTTTCCCCACGTTTTAGCGAGCAGTGTGACAGCTCAGACGATAGAGGGTAGGATTTTGCACCGCAAGGTTGCGGGTTCGCATCTCAGTTTTGCACTCGAATTTTTTCCTTTTCTAACCTGAGGCTTTGGAGGATTTTTTTTAAAAGGGAAATAAAGTTTGAATTTCATAACGTTTAAATTCACTTGTTTTCCTTCTAATTTTATATTTTCTTCTCATGTTTTTATAAAAGTTGCAGTACTACCGTAACGATAGAAAATGGGAAATGCGTTACTGCTGCCGTAACGATAGCCACTGCGTTTTTCTATATCACCTCAATAAAGGTCAGTCATTGCAAAAATGATTAGTTTTGAATCTGGGAGAAACATTGCAAATATAGGAAATACTTAGAAAATGTTCTTGACTCTTCATTGACTTTGTACACAACCGCTGAATTGGCGTCAGGTTGCAACATATATTCCAAAAATGAAATAATGTTGCATCCGTACGCCACTTTATCATCATGCATATTTATCTGAATGAAGTTCAGTCATTGCAAAAATGTTGAAAAGATATGAATCTGGGACTGAAAAACATTTCCAAACATGTTAATTGTGTTACTGTTAGAAAATACTTTGAAAATGAACTTGATTTTCCATAGATTTTGTACACAACCGACAGTGACCATAGAAGTGGCATAGTATGTACGTCTACTCTACATTATTTCTGTTAATAATAGCTTAATTCAATTTTTCTTACAGATTGGCCTGATCTCATCCAAACTCCTGTTGTCTGCCCTTTTTCCATTTTCTTGAAGCTGTGGAAGGCAATGAAAAGAAATAGGGTGAATTTAATAAGTTGGCATGATAATTGATATTGAAAAAAAATATGGTTGCATGAATTTGAATGCAGTATGCGAGACTGACTGAGTACTATACGCAAGCCAAATTCTATCTACTTGAACCTTCCTAAAATTGTTTCAAAGTGTCAAACTCAAGTCAAAGTCAAGACCACGAACATGACGAATACTAGAAAGAAAACAGACTTTTTAATACTAAAAATAGGGTAATCCTTACTTTTAGGACACCTCTATTTTGTACGAGTTCTGTTCAAAACTGACTTTTGCAGATGACTGTCCAGTACCAAAGTGACTTTTGCAGGCTAAAGAAGTCTTTTTTCTTCAGACAAACTCATGTTAGTTATAATTTTGAAAGCACTTTCAAAGAAAATGTGACTTTCCTACCTTTTTTTGCAGTTCGCCATCTTGCTTTTTAAATTTATTTTCTGTTTGTCATCGTCGTCTTTAACCCCTCATAAATCAAAACCCTGCCCTCTTTCTACAAAATTAAACCTGCTGATATTCAAGAGGTGTCATTGCCAAATGTTCAAATGTGTCAATAAATATCATAATGTCACTTTTGAATGTCATAGTCAGCTGTTTTGGTGAGTCTTTTAACCTTATAGGAAAGGGGTCCTAAAAGTAAGGATTACCAAAAAAATAGGCCTACCAGTTGTTTCTTCGTTGATGATTTACAGTAGAGCTGGGGTTGGAACGTCTCTTGAGGACACGGAATGCGTTTAAAGTCGCCTGGCATTGTGACAAATTAATAATAAAATAGGCCTACTGTTTGGAACTTAACTTCTGCAGTTTTACACGGAGACATACACGGTACATACACACGTGCGGAGGCTGACATCTTGATATAGCGCCCTCAAGAGTTATGTTCTTTCTTTACAAGTGCGTTGACCTCAAGACGAACATTAAAATGGGAGTGGGTTTTCTTTCTTTTTTTTCCTTTTTTTTGGGGGGGGTGTTTCTGGGGAACCCTTGCAGAACTCGTAGTTTGAAATAAAGGGAGGATTCAACAGGAAAAACAACATGTCTTTTTAACTTTTGCATTTTTTTTCTAGGAGAAGAAATCCCGTTTGGGGAATTTTGAATAGGTGCCTTAAATTAAACGACTCAGAGAGCGTTGTGTATTTTTAAGGCGGTTTTATTGCTTAATTTCGTTAAGTTAGGACAATAAAGTAAAAAGTTGGAGGAAAAAAACCAATAAAGACCATTCCTCCAAAACTTCGATCCTGGTCTTAAAACAAGTCAATCCCATCACGGTCACATATTGAGTGCGCCCTCAAGACTAAAAAGCACACGCGGTGTGCAATTCCATGTAAACCGGAAAAAAATAACAAGTCAGCGCTGGTGCACGAGTCTAACACGTGAATTTTAATAACAAAGGCCCGACCCATTGAACCATGTCCACAGGTGATACTGAATTCGCTGTGCTATATTTTGCTTTGGTCAATGCAAAGTCGGCATTCTGTACTTGTACAAACATCCACTGTGATCAAAGTATGTTAACAAAATTGTTGCGCCTAGCTTTCATTTAACCACATGATATGGACTAAATTTATCCTAGTCTGTGAGATCGTGGGTTCGTGTTGAATGCTTCGTGGACTTAACGTAATTAATCACTGCATCAAAAGACAATTTGCTGGTTATGTGAACGCCACGTCCATTTGGCTTCTGTGTGTGTGTATATACCGCATGACTCACCTGAAATCACGCACCATTGGACTGCCGTGCACTAAAGCTGCATTAGATGTCACCGAAAACCAGTTCATAGGGTGGAACTTGGATGCTTTTATCCTGGTAAGTCTGCGATGTTTTTATCAGATCATTTTATGATTCGAGTACAAGGTCATTATTGTTTTTTACAGAGTAGATAGGCCTAGGAGAATGAAATTATTTTGGTATGCGTAAAACATGCATGAATGACAAGGCTTTATGTGGGGGCTACTCCCATATTGTCGTCATCATGTTCAAAAAGTGTTTTTGATGAACAACTTGTACGTAAGGAACAGTTTCGAACATGTTGACGTCATAGACTGGCAAAATTCCACATGTTACCTGGTACGATAAAAAAAAATGGTGCCGTTTTTGGTCCTCTACATGTATTTGACATACATGTACATGTACATGTGCTTCACTTTAATCCCAGACTATAATACCATAGCGGAAATACAACCATAATCACTGAATAAACAGAACCTATAACTTTAATACATATACATTATTTACTGTATTTAATACAATACAGAAGGAAATGGTCGTGTTCCCTGACCAACGTTTCAGCCATGTTATGAATTACGTGTACATGTACAAGAACAACATGTGTATTATGAATACATTGTAATATGCACTGTGCGTGCATATCATATCATTGTGTATACATGACAAAACTATCATGTGAAACTTGTTGCTATTATGTGGTTAGTTTTAAGTTTCACTTATGCAGGCCCTGCATAAATACAAATTTATCTATTAATTTAACTGTCTTCCTCATTTTCAATGACCGATAAAAAAAAATGCCTCATACGGGCGATTGTCTTTACGGTTTTAGTTAATAAATGAATGCATTTGTAATGTAAAATCAAGTTTGAAATTCTACTCGGAAAAAAATCAAAGCACATTAGGAACAGACTTTTCCAAAGTTCAAGAACATCTTCAGATAATGTTGAGCATTCGTTCTTTTCGTGATTAGTTTATCGCATTCCAAAGTTCGCTGCTATGGTTTTTGTAGAGTGGCTAGCCCTTGCAACTTCAAAAAAAACTGCCAGTTTTGAGTGCAACATTCAAATGCAGATAGCAAACATAGGAGCCACTTGTTGACCCTGACAAAAAAAAAGGTTTCTTCCTGGAGTTAAGAACACCCAATGATCGCGTATTAAGGCGTTAAGCCACACGGCGATAATTCTCGCTTCGCATATCAGGCATGAAGAATAGTTTTTCTATTGTTAAGGCTTTTGTCATTTAAAAGTCTGGTCAAGGTCGTCGCCCGATGTGACATAGCTAAACTTATTCTAAGTAGTATAACTGAATAAACACTATACGGTGTGTGCGTTCTAATACTGCAGGACCTATAACTACCACCGCTTTTTTTTTTTACCGCAAGTTTGAAACGTTTCATAATTCAAAAGAAAAGCAACCAAATGCAAATGCACTTATCGCAGACACAGCTTTTTTTTTCTTTGGTTAAAAACCTGCCCTGTCATGGAAAATAGTTATTTAATAACACTGATCGTTCGATCAGAACGCATAATTCACGCAAAGGGAGTTTTAACATAATGGATAATGCAACAACGACGTCATTGCAGCGCCTGACCCACGATATATGGCTATCCATCATCTCTTTGGTAACAGGAGTAGGCCTACCTCAGACGTTGAGAATTTAAACCATTCCTTAGTAACATGGACACGCAATACTACACTTTCAACTTAATCTCATGTCAATAACATTTAATATTTTAAAAAGTTCCAACTACGTGATTTCTTCGGCCGAATCGTGGAAGCACGTTATTAATTAAGTAAAAAGTGGTTGTTGTTGTTGTTGTTGTTTTTTGTTTTTTTTATATTTCGATACATGTTAAATAATTCAGGCCTAACTGTCATTTAAAAAAAAAGGTTTGTCTTTCATTTTTTTTTTTTAGCACTGAATATCAAGTGCTGCCCCGAGCAATGCAGCATGATGTCATACAACACTGTTATCGTTTTGTTCTTCACTTTTTGGGTAAAAATGCTTTGTTCTGGGTAAATATTTTCTCTTCGGGAATTCTATATCGTACGCACAGCACGAAGCAGTTTAATTACTTGAGATGGCTTTTTTTCCTCAAAACAAGGGACACACCCTTCTCAAATTATAAGCGTCTCCAATTTATGATGGAGAATGCATGCGATTAAGGATAATATCTTTGACAGACTTGTTGGCATCATGTATATTCCCGAACAGAATACTGCTATGCACGTAATATGGCGGAAATTATGCCCTAACTTGTACCTTCATTTACTATGTATAACAATCTATCAGATGCATTGACATATGACCATCAAGCACAAACTATTTTATTCTGTTTCATCAAGTTTTTTCCAGGTCTTTTTTTTATTTGGTAAAAAAACTGAAACTCCAGACCCTACTTTTCTGTTTTTGGCTTTCTTTTTAAGGAATAGTTTTGTTTGAAAACGACGCTATAATTAAACATGTAAGCAATTTCACTTTTGTCTGGTGTGAGTGGGTTTCCGCTGCTTTCTTTCCTTTTTTAGACTTGGGGCCAACAATTTACTGACACACGTATACATGTACGTCACTACCTTGTTTGCTCACACATTCTTTGGAAGTGCCCTACCGCAACAACAATGCTTGCACACAAAAGTCTTTTGTGTGATGTCATTTTATTCGTTGAACCGTGAACTCCGATTTGGGGCTCTCGCAAGGTTAGAGTTAAAGTATAGGCCTAAGGACACTTCGTATAACACAGTAAACTCTCATTACCTCAAAGTCGGATAACTTGAAACTCTGTTCATACAGCGCGTGTCAATAAAAATGAAGCAGTCAATCCATAAATATTAAAAAAAAAAAAAAAAAAAAATACAAACACTCTTTTTTTGAAAAACTTATCTATAGTCTGAAGGTGTTAGTAAATACGTAATGGTCTTTATCCAATCTCATTTGGACAACCTAGTCCAAAGGTATTTAAATTTAATTACTTGAAATCCAAGTTGGGCCACTTTCCAGATTATCTGGTATCTGATGAAAGGCATTCACATACCAAGAAGGTATTGTGAGCAATAAGAAAGCGGCCCTGACCGATTTGATAGTCTGAATTGCATGTCTGTCTGTATAGTAAGCATTGCCGTATTACTTTTTAACTAACGGTCCAAATCACACAGAACAAAATTCCTGTCAAGGGTAAAGAAACACTCTATCATCTCATGGTAATATTTTTACCAAAAAAAAAACAATTTGTTTCCTCAGAAACCACTGAGGTTTGACTTTCGTGATTTCATTTTGTATACTCGTTTCTACTAGGCTTGTGGTCCTATGGTTGTATGGTATCTGATATTTTATGATGGGGTTTTCCCGACGGCCAGTAATATTTGCATGTCGTGTTTGAATGACGATAACATGCACCATAGCTCTGTCATCGTCTGGTACCTATCAATAGTATCATAAAGATGTAAAACAATAATGTAGATAACAATGGCTTCATCCTATTAGCCTTGCTTATCACCAGGATTGTTTTGTACTGGCAATCCACTATAGGTGACGTATCTCTGAAGACTTAACGGGCCCCGTCAGTGTATTGTTTATTTAATCCAATCCTTGAAAATACTCCTTTGTGTCCCATTTAACCTTATTTTCAATTTTAGTTTTGCCATTGTCAAAGGTGGTGCTGGTTTTTGTGCTGATGCGAATTTACTAATTCACGAGCACACTTTGACGTCATTTCAGGCAGAAACCTCAATGTTACAGCTACTACTACTAGCACAAAAAAGTTGCCAGAAATTTTGGGTATTTTGCTGTCATACATTTTCTTGTCTTTAGGGATTCGTCGCTGTGTCAGTACATGGCAGTAATCCAATGAGCAAACCTTTCTCTCAAATGTTTTAAATGTTGCACCCTCAGTTGTCCGGAAAAGCATAGGCATTTTTTTTAAGTTTAAGGAAGTGCACTTTTAAATAAAATAACTAGGGATGTGAAATACTTTTCACTGCACATTCATTGTCAACGTTATTTTCATAATAGTAATGCACACTCAGTGCCGTTCGACAACTGCAAGAAAAACATACTACAAGTTTAGTGTTCGGGGTGGGGGCTAACTCACAATAGTACAGATGTTTTGTTTAGCCACTCGTCCACAAAGCTCGCCGATTTTTTATAGATATTTACTGTATTTTGTGGAACGCTACTCAGTCATACAAGAAATACCTTTGACAGTAACTTTCTTTCTTTATATATTGGCCATGTTTGCACAAAATGAAAAAAAAATCCTGGTATTAATTTTGAAGCACCAAATGTCGATATGATGAGTACATGAACAATAAATATCACAAGAACATATTATTTTTGAAGTGATACTCGTGTAGCCAAAAAAATGATTCTCACAGACAGAATATGAAGCCGACAAGTGCACAATAACCTATTAATAAATAACTGCAGTAAGGCCAAAACAAAAAAGTCTCCGGGTCTGGTATGCGCGCGCGTCGCCGTAGCCATGCGCGTCGAAAAAATGAAAAAGTTTTTTTTTTCAATGAAAGATGATGTCTCAAAACCGCCAAACTCACTGGTTTGACTGGATTCCTGCTGCTGCACAATTTTAACGTGTTTTTAGATGGGGTTATGATCGAGAATAAGCTTTATGTGGCCTCTCTGGACTCCCATATATTTGCACTAAGTTTAGTCGGGCACCATTTGCAGTCATCAGCCGACATTTGAAGCAAAAAAGTCAGGTAAAAAAAAAAAAAAAGCCGCGTCGCCGCACCACTTTTTGGACAAGCTCCATACCAGAAACCGGAGACTTATTTTTTTTGGCCTAATGCGATTGTCCTGGACTTTGTATCGCACGTCATGATTCGCATGAATCAGAACATCGAATGGGCCGTGGCAGCCTGCACCGTGACATTATTTAATATATCAGTTCAGCAGTAGAGAATTGTGCTATTATTTCGATACAGGAGTGCAGTGCTTAGGCAGCTGTTTGCATGTGATGAGCATGCCGCATTTCCGTTGGATTGGAACATACCGGTAACGATTTTGGTGATATTATTTTCATTGGTTGTCACATACAAGTGCCTGGTAAGGTCGCTGCTATTCTCGTGTGCTTGATGTCATAAGTGGAATTTGTGGTGAATACGGTTTTTTGTTTCCAACCATAACGTTTCGCCAAATGAAATCTATCATCTTGTGAACTTTGCATTTGAAGATTTATTTGGGTGATGCTGGATGGAACGGTTGCAGTAGATAGTAACAAGTATGTTTTCAAATTGATTCGTCTTATCGCTAGATATATAAGAAATAATTCTATGTTATATATTTGGTTATTTGTGTGTACACTGAATATGTCTCGTATATGCACATGGAAACCTGGGTACCGCGAGGGCCGTTTCGTTGTTCACAGCTCCGTGTAAAAAAAAAGGAAATATTCACTGCAGCATGCAGTTTACGTTTTTGTGATAATCAATTAATATTTATCGTCTCATCAAGTAGCTGATTGGTGAAGTAATTCTAGGATTTGCTGGCGGTGGTTAAATATTAACAAAGAAATGCTTTTTGCAAGGGTAGGACCCCCTATTTGAAATGTTTGTATCCGAACTGAATACATTTTGTTATGAAAACGAATGAAACTGCTGCAAACTGCTTACTGACTGGATTGACCTGAAACGTACAAATAAAAAAATCACAATTAAACGGTCTGATAGTTTGTCATGCTAAATATTATCCTTTGTTTCATGACTACAGTTATGTTTTGTTTTGTTGATTTCTTTCGTATTTTTATTTTATGAATCACGAACTAACATGTAGGTATAATTTCAATCTTTGCACATATTTTTTTCAGAGAGAATTGAGTTAGCCACTGACCGATCACTGAAGAAAAACCCCACCGTCCATAAGCCCCCGTTGCCCCACCGTGACTCGCCGGAATGGCGCTGAAACCCGTGGACGATCTCGCCACGCTCGAGTCGCTGGACGAGAAGGCGATCTTGGAAGAACTCAAGAGAAGATATGCAAATGACATCATCTATGTAAGAATTTGTGTGTTTTGGCAAATTCTATTTATTGTCAACTGAGAATTCGCATACTTCATCGTTAGTAATTGGTTGAACAATTAATGGGCAGTAACTTAGAATAGATACACCTATAATTTAGGCTAAAATTGCACCTATGTATCAATATGCACCTATAATTGCACCTATACCCCTATATACATGTACACCTATAATTAAGACTTAAATTTCACCTACTTCTCTATAAAACATTTATAGTTCAGGCTAAATATGCACCTATACACATATACACCTATAATTATATACACCTATAGTTTTGACTATATACACCTAAAGTTTAGCCTAAAATTGCACCTATACACCTATATTCACCTATAATTTAGGCTAAAAATACAATTCCTTTCATTTCAGAACGTACTTGATTTTGTCTTTTCTTCTGCTCACGCGTGCAATCATCAGTAACATATCAATCTAATTTCCATCACAAAAAAATCACCTGGTTAATATGCACAGTGAAAAACCAATCTTATTATGGAAAAGAGATGTCCGCCAGAGGCTTTTCAGCCGACTCTGTGAAACTAAGGCAGTTGAACATTCTGCCCCTCAACCGTTTGACACAATGGATGCTATTGCATATGGCACACTACATCCCGTTTCAATTTCGTTTTGCCGATAGCTCTCAATGGGATATTCTATATTCCCATGGAAGTATTTCGCGTCAAGCTTTGTGCACGCGCTATCGTATAAACAAAACCATATATCCGCACGCAATTAAGGTGTTACAATCAAACCTCAACGGCACGTTAACTTTGAATCAGGCTGAACAGGCCAAGATAACGTTTCCCTTCTATTAAAGCAGAATAAAACGGAGTCGTGTCCGTTTCGTATTGAAATAAATCTGATTTGTTTTGTAGAATGAATACGTTCATTTGGAATACACAGAAATCTTTATATTGAGAAAGGCATGCAAATTGTTGACGTCAGTAAGCTGTTCCGGCTTGACCAAAATATTTTCTTATAAAATTGTCCACTTTTTATGGAAGCAAAACAAATGCAAAAGAAATTTGATCCCGTAGAATAAATATATGACAAAGGGGGTTTGGGTTGTACCGCTGTTTATTTTTTTTTTTAAATATCACATTTCATCATTTCATCATTCTTTGATGAACTGACGAACCGCAAGTCAACGCATTTAAATTAATGCATGATAAATATTTTATCACAGATTAATGGCCAATAACATTATTTTTCCACAGACGTACATCGGCGATATTCTGATTGCTATCAACCCCTACAAGCCTCTGTCGATATATTCCTATCAGGTAAGACAATAATGAGACATTGCCAACGGAGAAAAACTCTCTTGTTCAGAATCGTCCAATTGTTCCTTTTAATGAGCTGTGGTCTTGCGTAATAAAACAAAATCATCCAATTAACTGTTTTGAAGCATCACTCGAGGGATGACATAAATCAGCATGGCATTGCGCCTGGACATCCGTTCAGTCATTAAAAGGCACAGTAGCCTTGATTGCTTTAATAAGTTGTTTACCACATTTGGTCTGCCAGAAATCGTGCATGCGCGATTGCTTCATCTCTTACCGAAGCAGACAGAGTAGATTTTTTTTCAATTCAAGATGCTTTTACGAAACCTTTTCATCTACGACACTTTTTTGCAGTTGAAGCCAAGCAGTACTTCTTTATAATCAAATCGACGCCCGTTTTGTCTTTAACTTATGAATCGTAGGCCTACTACTACATTCCTCTCATTAAAAAAAAGCTATAGAAACGTGTTTTCGATGTTCATAAATTTATAGCCATGGCCTTGCAATTTTGAATACACTCTTATCCCAGATATCATGTTCGTACACAATACGCATAGTTTAACTCACGAAGCAACAATAGCTTTCAGTCCATTTTCAATACCAACATTCAAGAATTGTCCATTTGTTAATCTGCTTCCTTTTTTCGTACACGCACATGGTTCCTTGTGGGGAAAGCAAGCACAAACATAACAGAGTAACACTAAGAACAACAGACAAGTCAGTCTTTAGAAAAGTCAACCTTGAGAAAACTACATAGAGTTTGAGATTTCAATAGAAACAAAGGAGAGCAAAAGAAGGGAACAATGATCTTCCTAACAAGTGTAATGTGCTATATACACCCCGAGGACAGACAGACAAAGGGAGAACAACATATCTTTTTTGTCCTCGAGAGTTCATCTTTTGTTGAAAACGGTCCATCGTGAGTGTGCGTACTTATTAGTCTACACTGCAAAAACTGCGGTGTAAAAAAAAAAGACCATTGGTATCTATAGGCCTATAGGACCATCTGGTGTTAAATTGTACTGGTGTTGTCCCATATAGATACCGAATGGTGTTAAATTAACACCACTGCTTTTGCAGTGTATGTGAGTGTTATATTGTAGGGACAAAGGGAAACACAAAGCATTGTCCTCGAGAGTATAGTAATACGCGACTGTGTGTAAGGCTGCCGAGTTCGCACATGATGATTTTTCTCATTGAAGAAGCAAAATAATGTTTATTTCTTGTAATCGATTTCTACTCTTCCCAGACATCATGTTCATACACCAACCTACAGTACAGGCAGGCACTCCCGCCCCATATCTTCGCCATAGCCGACAAGGCCTACAGCAGCATGAAGCGACTGGGCATGCGCCAATGTTGCGTCATCAGCGGCGAATCAGGGGCCGGGAAGACCGAGAGCGCTAAGTATCTGATTGGTCACGTGATCAGCCACTGCAGCAGCAACAAGAAAAACCTGCAGGAGAAAATTCTACAAGTAAAGAAATTAATCAGTTCTTGCAATTGTCATTATTATTAGATTCCATTCTAGCACTGTATCAAATTGTAGATTGCAAATGTACATTACAATGTATTCATTTGATTGTTCTGAAGCTGTTTGAAACCATTTATTACAAAACTCGAGCTTTAAATAAATAAAGTGAAATAAGATAAAATCATTTTCGGTTTATTTTCTCTACTAATTTTTTCTGACAAGGCTGAATAATTTAGGGATTTTTAAAACTCAGAAAATAAATCATGACGACAATCAGATGTTTTCCTGCAACAGATGCTGTCTTAGCCTTAGAAAGTAAATATCTTTTAAAATAAACAAAGAAAGTTACATGAATCTGCGATGTGTAATTTTTAAAATTGTTCTTTGTAATGTTTTTCTTAGGTTAATCCTCTCTTGGAAGCGTTTGGCAATGCACGGACAGTCATGAACGACAACTCCAGTCGGTTCGGCAAGTTTCTGGAACTGAAGTTTTCCCACGATGGAAGAATCGTTGGAGGTAATGGGAACCTAGATATAATACAAACGATAATTTTCATTTCAGTAATGAAAGACGGATTATAATGGTATTTAGATTATTTCGTTAATTGTTTCTTCGTTGGTTCATCTCCTAAATACTCCGCGTGGGAGTTTATACAGAAGACCAGAAACACCGGGGCAAACCCCTTCTCTTAGCGATAAGTGTCACTGGGTTCTTTTACGTGCATTGCATTACACAACACATGGGACCAACGGCTTAACGTCCCATCCGAAGGACGAAGCAAAATGGTTAAGGGCCTTGCTTAAGGGCACACGTGTCCAGCCGACGGGCTTGAACCCACGCCAGTGTTGCCTCTGAAACACCAGAGCATGAGTCCGGTGTTCTTAACCGCTAGGCCATGACACTCCATGTCGTGGGTAATGGCAGCAAACAGTGGAGGAAACAGTGGAGGAAACTTGTGGGCGTGGCTTGCAAGCAATTTGATAATTGCTTTTTTTTGCAGCCACCATTGACCAGTATCTCCTGGAGAAATCCCGCGTGGTGAGCCAAGGCAAAGGCGAGCGAAACTTCCACATCTTCTACTACATGTTTGCAGGACTGACGGAACAGCAGCTGTTGAATCTACTGCTGTCACCCCCTGAAAAGCACAGGTAAACCACACTGCCTTCTTTTGCACACTGAAACTAATTGCATTGGAAACGTTCAATCTTCGTTATGTTCATATATGGAACGTCTTATGTTACTTGAAAAAAATAATTTAAATTACCTGTTTAATTAACATTTCTTGGCAATTGCGACTGACATTTAAATAACGATAGTTACTCAGCAGCCGAAAAAAAATGACCGACAAAATAACTCTCGTATGATGACGCAATATCTAATACCAATCACAAGACAATATTATGAAATATTTCCCCGTGATTATAATATACCCCGTTAATATTTACCGGTATATAGTGATCAGGTCTATAGATCAAAATTTCCAAGTGGACTGCTGCATTGTTATTTTACGTTATACTGTTTTGCACTGCATACCAGGTGCTTGAATAATAATCAATTAATATTCTTGTGCTTGAATAATAATTTATGGATTTTGTTTTTATTTAATTGTAGAATAATAAATGCTGTTTCGGGTCAAGGAGTATATGAGAGCGAAGAAGAGTTCTTGTTTAATCAGAAGATGTACGATGAGCTGCAGGATATCATGGAGCTGGTCGGATTCACACAGGAGGTGGGTTTGGATATTCCTTCTTATTTTTTTAATATACATTTGAAAACAATATTTGAAAATTAAAAGTTAAAACAAAACTAAAAGAATGGAAACGTTATGCCATAAAATATCTGAAGGGTATTTGAATAATTAGTTTCCAGCGATCCGATTGCTAATGCTGGGTTTAATAATCATACAGCATAATCCTTCTCAGTTGTACAGAATATCTCAGATGATATTTCCCGAAGAGTCGGCAGTTATTCGTTAAAATATCTCAAGAATATCCCTCTTTAGCAGCAATTACATTCACCAACTGAGGTAGCTATGTATTGTTACGTCTGACATATAAGTATCCTGTGTAATATTACAGGGTAATATTACCTAAATTATCAGCGATTATTTGTTACATCAATATTTCAAGAACATCCCTTATTTGTGGAGAACTACCTCACAAATATCGTTTGTTATATTACAGGATATCTGGATGATATTCACCATACTGTCAGCGATTATCCAAATAGCAGATATCGATTTTGATCTTGATGACGAGACAGGTGGTTCGTACATCGTGGACGAATACATACTCAAAGTCGGTGCGTGTTTCACATGAGTTTGCATAATACATGTATTAAGCTTTAATGAAATTTTCTTCGATTTTTTAAGGCTGTTTATAAAATCCTTCCAGTGCAAAATCTGTCTTTGGTGTTTTCCAAACCTCGGCTTTGCCTCTAGTATCGGCTTCAGGCTGGCTATACATGTTAGGCCCCAGGGTTGAATGTATACAGATAAAGGTACATGTAGCTCCATTTTCTACTACAGAAACATGAAATTGCCCATTTTGAGGTGAATCTATGGAAAATGTTTCTCTGGTTTCCAAACAGGCAAAGCTGGAAACAAGGCCGAAATTTGATAAACGACCCGAAGTTTAGTAATTTGATGCAAAACAAAGACATTTTTCGTTTGCTTCCAATTTAGTAGCCAATGCTGGAGACAGATCCAAAGTTTCGAAAATGACCCCTGTTTGTAATAGAGAATTTCATGACGGGGATCAAAGATAATGGAAAAAAGTGAACTTTGACCTTACATTTTTGCATAATTAATAACTAATGAAGCAATCAGTTTTTGTGAAACGAATTTTTTTTTGTTTTTTTATTAGTGTGCAATCTTCTCGGACTGGACGTAGTTGAAATGGCGACAGCACTCGTGTCCAACGTATCATACACAAGAGGTAAGTTGATTTTTAGTGAGAGAAGGCCTATAACTTTTTAAATAGTCCACCACAAAAAGCAAATCGGAACTTTACAAATTTCAACTTCAACTGTTTTTCTGGAAACCTTTTTTTGGTATTTTTGGTATAACCTGGTATTTTTATTGTTGCTATCATTAAACAAAAAGTCGAATTATTAATATAAACAATAACAAGGAAATATACACAATAAGTTTAAGAATAACTTGTGAAGATAAGTATGTTTTTATCATTTATGTAGGTGAACAGATTTTGACATTGAAGACAGTAGCCCAAGCAAACGATGGCCGTGACGCGTTGGCCAAGGCGCTGTACAGCAAGCTGTTCACGTGGATTGTAAGGCAGGTCAATACGCTGATAGCGCCGGATCCACATCTACAGGGGTGAGTTTGGGGTCATATATCACAAAGTAATCACGAGCCAAATCGCAAGTCAATCACAAGTCCATCAGAAATAATCGCAAGGGATCCACAAGTCAATCACAAGCCAATCAAAATTCAATAACATGCCAATCAGAAGTTTTATCAAAAGTCAAAATCATCACAAGATAAATACAGGTCAAATCACAGGTCAAATCACAAGCCAATCACAAGTCAATTGCAACTTCATCACAAGTCAATCACAATTCAACAACAAGTCAATCACAACTCTAATCACAAATTCACAAGTCTAATCACAAAATCACAAGTCCAATCATAAATCAATCGCAAGTCAATTGGATGTCAATCAGAAGAAAACCACGTATCAATCGCAAGTCTAATCATATGTCAAATCACAAATCAATTGCAAGTCAAATGGATGTCAATCAGAAGTAAATCGCATGTCAATCAGAGGACAATCACAAATCACTCGAAAGTCTCTAATCACAAGTGAAGCACGAATCGGTTGCAACCGATTCGTGCTTCACTTGTGATCACAAGTCGATCACAAGACAATCACTAGTCATCGTAAAGAGGTTCTTTTCAGAACCTCACAAATTCACAAAAGATATTTTTACATGGTGCAACGGCAAACTTAAATCCTACTGCTACCTTCACCATGCAAACCTTCAAATTCTAACTAGGTCTGTCTTTGTTTTTCAGAGGAACGGAAGGCTACGAGATTGGCATCCTGGACATCTACGGTTTTGAGAGCTTCGAGACTAACAGCTTCGAGCAACTCTGCATCAACGTGACCAACGAGCAGCTCCAATTCTACTTCAACCAGCGCATCTTCGCCTGGGAGCTGGCCGAGTACGCGAGTGAAGGAATCTCGCACGCCAAGATCAAATTCCAGGACAACCAGCCGGTTCTGGATCTCTTCCTTGCTGTGAGTATACATAATCTCACGATGCTATCACGATGCTGTCACGATACCGTCACGATGCTATCACGATGCTATCTCGATGCTATCACGATGCTGTCACGGTGCTGTCACGGTGCTGTCATGATGCCATCACGATACCGTCACGATGCCGTCACGATATCATCACTTCAATGGCGACAGCATTGTGCAAGCTATTGTTCAGATAATTTGTCGGGGGAAGATACGAACATTTATCTACTTTCAATTCCTTCAATTCTGTTGCAGAGGCCGCTCGGACTCTTCTCCATTCTGGACGAGGAGAGCCGCTTCCCTCAAGCCACTGACGTCACATTCGTCAGCAAGCTCATCAGCAACCACGGCAAGAACAGTAACTTCCTGAAGGAGAAGAAATCCCGCGGACAAACCAAGTTCGGCATCAACCACTACGCTGGAGAAGTAAGTTTTACCCATGGAAATAGAGATGTAGTTTGTAATACTTTGGCAATATTTCTTATGTACTCCTTGTAATTTATGATATGTAAAGAACTAAGGAGAATACGCATACAGAGTATTGAGGCGAACATCAATGTAATATGAAACTGATAAGATTTTAAGAATAGGCCTACTGAAAATTTGGGGAAAAAAAATATGGTAAACAAATGCATAAACATTACTGATTACATGTTTTGACTACACTGCTATACTCAGGGATGAGATTGTCAATTTAAAAAAAGGACTACAAATTGATGAAATGTCAGAAAAATGCATATCTCCCTATATACTAATAATGTCTTTCTCTCATATTCGAAAAGTCTGATTTCAGACAAAATCTGAAATATCTTATGCCTGTTATAACATTTTGAAATTGAAGTGATTTTATATTTCACTCAATTGGGTCAACATAACATTTCGTACCCCCCCCCAAAAAAAATGATAAACAAATTTTCATAATTTTTTTTTCATTTCTTCAAATCTATCAAATTTCGGAATAAATGTAAATTTCTTTCGAAACTTTGATGTAAGAATATAGACCCTTGTATAAAACAGGGTTGTGAGTGTCCTCTGATAAAACAAAATCTGAAAACACCTAAAAACAGTGTAAAAAAGCTGAACTTTGGAAATCTCCTGTACTTTTATACACAGCAAGTGAGGGGGGAAAAAAGCTGAAATCCAAAACAAAAAAAGCTGAAATCGGCTTTAAAGCTGAAATTTCACACCCCTGATAAAAGCAATGATATTCTACTTGTCTGAGCTAAGCCATAAATACTTGTTTAAAAATACTTCAAATATCAATTTTCATTGAAAAACAAAATAAAGGCTTCTTTAAATTTGTTTCTACCAGTTGTGGTATGACGCCAGCGGTTTCCTGGAGAAGAACCGGGACACGTTCAGCGCGAATCTGACGGAGAGCATGCTACACAGCCAGAACGGACTGCTCAGATATCTGTTCAGTGCCAGCGAAGCAGAACTATCGGAATCGTAAGTTCAACAAGTAACAATAGTATTCTTACTATTAAAATTTATTTCCAAAGAAAACCTTTATAGTTCGATCAATTCAAATTCTTGAACAGGTGATTACTTTTATGAGAAACGTAAGTTCAAAAATAGGCCTACTAAAGAATCATTCTCCAAACATCAATTTAATTGAGTGAACATAGACTTTAAACTATGAAGTATAAGAAACGTATGTTATATGTGTGCGTTGTATTCTGTTTCCTTTTGTGGTTTATTAGATGAGAAACGCAAATATTGTAATATCAACTAAAATAGTGATGGACTTGTTTATATATGTTTCGTCAATGAAAATTGCTGAACCCATTATAAGCGCACGTGCATAAAATCCGATATGCTTAAAAGTAGTCACAACCAGAACTACCCATGTGAATATGTAAGTTAACTTGCAAACACTTCAAGAACCACAGTAATTTGAAATTAAATTTATACTCCGTTAGAAAACAGTCGGGCCCATTCGCAGTGTCACAGAGTCAAAAGGACATCCTTCTATGCAAGCCGCCGCCAAAAATCATCCACGACGGGACGGTCAGTCTGTCTCGCGCCGCCACCAAGAAACTCAAGAAACAGTAAGTTGTTTATACCATTATCGGTACCAGACTTAAAACCATATTCAATGAGATGTGATGTAGTTCATCATCAGATTGAAATTATACTTTAGAAGTCAAATTTCCTGAAACTGTTTAAATGTATTTTTGTAAGTATTGGTGTTATACATTATTACATAATAAATGTTACGAAAAAAATTATATAAAAATCAATTATATTGTACATTGTATATATAAGTATGTTATATAAAGAGCCATTTTAGATGCGATATTATGTTTTCTGATTATTTATACAGAATGAAAGATGGGAAGGCTCAAAGTGACAAAGGAAAGCGAAGACCAACACTGCCCTCTATCGGCTTGCATTTCAAGGTAAAGTCTTCGGTTTAGGCAAACTATACGACATGCATCGAATTTCCATTTTACTTTTCAAAATACGGATACCCAGGAAGATGCAGTACATTATTCTCTAAAATCTCGTTCTAGAAGTTTATAAATTCGCAAGCATCATCATACAAAAATCACACAGTATAAATATAATATATTTGTACATTTTTCGTTAAATTGATGTCCACCAGTTCTGCTGAAGGCGATCAGATCATAATGATCGAAATGTTGAATAACAACCCAGTGATTTTTCCCCAAACCATCTTTTTAAATTGATAAACATTTCCACACGGCTATTACAAAACTTACTCCCAACTCATCAAAAGCTCCAAATCTTAAAATCTAAATTTCTCTATCTGTCTTCCTCTTTTCTTCCAGCGATCCTTGACCGATCTGATGGCCAAGATCTTAGGGGCCGAACCCCAGTTTGTCCGGTGCATCAAGCCCAACAGCCAGAGCCGTAACGATTTCTACGAGGACCGGCTAGTCCAGCGGCAGCTGCAGTACACGGGGGTGCTGGAGACGATCAAGATACGGCGCATGGGCTTCCCGTCGCGGCTGAACTTCGCGGACTTCATCAGAAGGTATAATAGTAAGGCTTTTGAATCTTACATTCACGACGACATTACACTATTAAGAAATAAATACGAAGCTTTTAATTGGTGGAAAGTGTAATTCTAGACATCCGAGAAACCTGCTTAAAAATATGAGCTGACGTAAAACTAAACTTTAATGTACAATATTACAACTGCAATAATAATGAAATACGAAGTTTAATGTCAAGCTTTCGTAATGTTTAGTAGAATCTAACTTTTTAATACTGGAAGACCCACATTAAAATGATTTTTGACTGACGAGTGGATCATTAAACTCGAGAATCTCACTATTCGAACACAGATTCTAGCTGTCACAAACCAAAAATAGAAATGATTCTTCAAGTTCATCCTCGGACAAAAATATCCCAACCTTCGTCGTTGCCATGAATAGTGATTACGTAATCAATCCTGGACGGTAATCCGTCTAAATTGCCGTTTACTCGGTAAACGGGCATTGCTTTATCTTTGCTTAAGTAATACACCTGTTGTATAATGATGTGCAAACGTTTTATGTGCGAACATGTCTCGTTGCTAAATCAAACCACGAGACTAATTCTATAGAGACAGAACCACGAGACTAATTCTATAGAGACAGATTATGATAACGATAATGTACCCGGAACTGAATCGTTATAGGCAAACAGTAATTTGTCAAGCTTGTGTAGCGCAAGAGTATCTATCGCATCCCGCAAAATGAGCTCTTCATTATTACTGCAGCATACTTTTGTGTTAACATACTCGCAATTAATAGTTGCAATATTCACTTTTGTGACCTATATAAGCATAGGCCTAGCTCTATGTCATAAGTATGCTGTCGTTTAAAAAGTTTTCTTGAAAAAAATGAACTACTTCATATTAGTTTTAAGTCGCGTGTTTTGAAATTAACATCGACAGTTCGTCGAAAGTGGAGTAACTTTATTATTTTATTTGTGTTTCAGGTATAAGTTCATAGGGTTCCCGTTGTCGGCAAGCATCAAGGCCAACGCGGCGGCGTGTAAGAAGATTCTACAAGCAGGGGGACTGTCGGGCTTCGAGATCGGAAAAACAAAGGTAATTTATATATTTCTTCTCTTTATTTTTCCAATTGTCTGACCGTGAAATACATTTTCTACGTCACAGCAAAAGTAGTTGATGAATTTCAAGTAATAAAAATCAATTTTCGTCAGAGTTATTGGCCGATAATGTTGATCGAAAATCGCAGAGCTAACTTTTTATTAAAGCTGAATCCTTATTTGAACATATTAAACATGCACTGGTTACATTCAAACACAAAAAACTAGGTTAATGATTGTGTCTTGTTAGCAGGGTTTCGGGTACGGTGAGATGTTTTGGCAAAGGTGGATGGTGTGTACTTAAACAGTATCGATGTAGGGGGCCTACTCGTCAAAGTACTTAATTTTGTTAAGATATACATTGTATCGATTTCAAAACCGTTTTAGTTACGTTCAGATGACGACATAGAAAGTACAATTTGACGCATACTCTGCAGTGTTTTCCTGTATAAAAAAAATCTTCAATGACGTACCTTTAATCACGAGCGTCCAGATCACAAGCCATAAAACAATCGCATTATTTTCTACTGATTCATCACACCTGTGTTGTATTGAAATTAAGTCCACACAAAAATGAACATTTAAGCGAGAAGCTGACGTATTCTCGCTATCTTCACTCAGAGCCTGGAGCCCCAGGATTATCCCGCTTTCCCAAACAAGACTTGCCCAAATTAGGTAATCCCCGACGCGCTTTACGACTCGTTAGGCGTGTAAAACCCCTGGCTTATGTGTGCTGTCAAATCTGATAACTGTCACGGAGCGCGCGCGAGACTTGACAAGTTTATGATGACGTCATGGGATGACGACAGACGCGCTGCTTGAATATGCATGAGGAGTTTCTCACTATGCAGGGCTTCAAGTTGAGTTAATTCATCAGACGACTAAGGTGGCATTCAGCCGATAGATTTGCACTTGATCATGGTTTTATCCTATCGAAGGAACAAGGGAAAGCAACTGTGTATTTTGGTGGATGTTTAAAAAAAAAATGGTGTTTCTGTTAGAAAACTGCACTGTATGGCCTAGGCCTATCGCTTTCTAATCACATGTATTTTTATTTTAAGAATTTTATTCGTTTCTATGCATCTTCCATAACGTCCTTTTTTTGTCAGCAAGTTAAAATCTTCCATGGTACCTGTGTGAAAAAAATGGCTTTTTAAGATGTTATAATTGTTGTTGTTTTTAATATTCATTAATAAACAAAATTCAGAATAACAAAAATGCTCATTAAATAAATCGTGAGGTGCAATGAGGAACAATCAATGGGGTCAAATGGGGTCATACGTGACCGAAACGCTGACCTCATCATGAAAGCAATTTACTTATCAATATTCTGCATACATATTGGCAAGCATGACTTGCGTCATTGGTGACGTACTGCACCTTGCCTCCCCCTGGGATGAGAGGGGTACCCAGGGGTCACATTTAGTGGGGTGGGGATTTCAAGATCACCTTACCCAGGGTCTGTGTATCTTGCGTTCCCCTTCTTGAAACTTATCAAAGCATTCCTTCTCTTTCTTTAACTTGTTTCCTTTGTTGTGTTTATAGCTACCACCTTATGTCGATCTGTCTCGTGGTTTACGATTCTCAACAACAAAACGTTTTGCCAAAGACTAATTATGTAGGCCTATTGTAGGACCAAGCCTGACCAATCCTAGCTTGCAGTCACTGTAGAGGGCGAGTTAAAAAAACCCGCAACCCAAATGGCAGGACCAATTTTGTATCTCATGCATGTGCATTGTTTTCCGTTTTGCTGAAAGAACACTTACCCTTTTTTGTGATCTGTGGACAGAATTTTAAAACGGTGTTTGTGTTCAAAATTCCGTAACTTGAAAAGTGCATGAGTGATCAGAATGATTCTTGTACTAAAAGAAAGCTCATTGATTGAGCTTTCTTATCCTAGATTTTGAAAGTGCTACAGGCAAAAATTCTTTCAAAAGTTAATCCTGCCATTTAGGTTGCCGGTTTTTTCACTCGCCCTGTTTACTTACAGAGGCCCCCTTCAATGGCGAAAACATTGTGCATGCTATTGTACAAAGCAAAGACCCCACGGCATTATCTGAACAATAGCTAGCACAATGATATCGCCATTGAAAGGGGTCACCAAGAATATACAGTGATAGTAAGCTCGGAATGGTCCAGACTTTACTCACCCTGTATCTGACCCTTCTCTGACCTTCTAGTAGTTCTAAAATAACAGTTCTATAACAATACAATGGTCTAAAATACTCGCAGTCAAATAAGCATTGGTCCCTGGGAGTAATTTGTGATGAACACCGCTGGATATACGTGCGCAAAAAGTTATGTTGTGCCTGGGAAGATAACTGTGACGTGTTTCCGGTTTTCATTTTTAGAACGGGCGCGCGTTGTTCTAACCGCAACTCCACGTGCTTTTTGCATCGAATTGGTTTTCACAAACAAACTAGAAAGTATAAAAACGAGCCACGATAACCATTTGTAGAATGCAGTCTTTGTCTTTGAAGACATCTCGTAAGGTCGACCGATCGCCAGTTTGTAAAGATACGTTGTTTTATTTTGGCACTTGTTTCGTTTATATTTCGTGTTAATTTCTAGCTTAGATTTATTCAACTGAAGTGCTGTCCAGTACTCATCGTGGTATCGGGCAGTCATGATTAGTTTGTTTTCAGTGATAAATGTTCGTCGAGTACATAAGCTGAAGTAGCATCGATAATGCATCAAATCAGCTTCAGAGAATGCGGTTTTTTCCCCTCAAATCTTTTAAAACTCTGTAACCACATTCTGTCACATTGCCAAGTACATCTACCCACGAGCCAACTGATATCAATACTCATTCTCGCTCATCCCACCCACCTTACTTTTTATACTCCCCCACCCTCACCCAATAGGTATTTCTCAAGTATTGGCACTCGGAGAAACTCGACACTCGCTTGGACCAACTCGTGTCCAGCGTGGTGACTTGCCAGCGGTACGTGCGCGGGAGGCTGGGCCGTAAATTCACGCGATCCGTCCGCGAGAAGGGTTGGAAGCAACGCGGTGCCGTGGCCGGTTTCCTGGAGGACGTCGAGTTATACAACGAGAAGATCTTAAGGTTGATGGTGAAGATGGACAAGCACGATAAGGAGCGATTCGAAGCTAAGAAGAGACAGGTTCGTTACCAATATTTCTTAGTTATATCTATTAATTTTGTTTTCAAAGTTGAACAAAGAAATTGACTGGAGCGGGGTTTGAACCTGCAACCTCCGGATTGACGTTCTGGTGCTCTAACAACTAAGCTATCCAGCCCTATCTTTGCGGTTCCCCAATTTGTCAGTGTTGTTGTTCAAGGGGCGCTACTCAGTTATACCTAGAAACAATTTTAATCTTCTAATAATTTTAAAGTTCAACAAAAATATTCACTGGAGCGGTGTTTTAACCTGCGACCTCCGGAGTATAAACAAAGGAAAATGGAAAAGGAACAATAGAAAATCCTCGATTTACACCATAAACAAACGGGGGGGGGGGGGTTTGTACACGTTTTCTAACCGAGGAGTCCTCGATTTGGTTCCCGTCCTCAATTCATCGATGATGTTACACGTGTGTGTCCTCGATTTATACAATTAACAAACGCGCACACACACATCCTTTAACAGCGAAGATAGATGTCACATTATTTAGAGTCCTCGATATGGCTCCTGTCCTCAATTCATCGATGATGTTACACGTGTGTGTCCTCGATTTACACCATAAACACGCACACACAACATCCTTTAACAGCGAAGAAACTAATAGGTGTCACATCTGAACAGTACACGTGTATATCGGGAGAAAAGGAGATTTGAGGACGTGGAAATCAAAAAAAGGTTCTGAGTTATGAACACCCGACAGCCATGTGGGTGAACAGGAAGGAAGCGGGGGTGTTCGTTCGGCAACTGGGGAACTCGCGTTTCCTAAATACCCCCAAAGCAGCATTGAAATGCATGACACATTATGTGCTCACACTGTCATTTTCGGTGCTTGACATTTAGAGTTCCTTTTCTTATTTCGACTTTGAGTCATGTTATTCACTCCGACATTGATGTTTTAGAGTCACTTGTCCGACAGAATAATGGGTACTTCCGGATCTATATCTGTATTAAACGTTAAGGCCATTTTTGTTTTGTATCTTTGGGGAACAAATTGGGGGGCAAATTCTGGGAAAAGGGCCAAGTAAGACGGATGTACTTTGGCTGAAGTACCGGAAATTGCAAATTTGTTTTCGAGGCCAGGCCCGAGACGGAAATGTCCCCGAGTCAAGTTCGAGTTCCCTTCGGTCGATTCCACAAAATGTCAGGCAAACTTTGATGGAACGTCTCAAAAGCTGCAGTTTTCAGACTACAAGAACCCGCGACCGCATTACCGATGTTTGCCAAACCACTGAGACTCGTTGCACTTTCGACTAATAAAATTGTGTCAACAAAATTAACGAGTGGCTTTAAATTTGAGATAGCGTGCAACATTCGCACGTGAACGTGGTGCAACAAAAATGGCTTCCGTTTTGTGGTAGCCGAAAAAGATGAGCTTTATGTACAATACAGGATTTGGTACGACTAATATGGGAACGCGAAAACGAAGCTTATCGGGTGGACAATCGTCTTTTTATTGAAACATGTTTTTAAAAAAAAGGAGTAAAATTCGACCCAATTTTTTAAGGTGCATTCGACATAATATGACGCGAAATAAAATGCACCTTTAGAAAATTCAATTTATTTCACAATTTATTGTTTAATTACAATGAAATGTTTTAATGGTATACAATACCTAAATTTCTCTCGAAGTTAGCCCTGTAAAATCAGGCCAAGGATATAGTTGGTTATCGAGGGCTACCTCCGATTTCAGTTATTCAACTTGGTATATCCAGGGACCACAATACAAATAATGTACCATTTTAAAAATAGACAAACGTCTATGTTTAGACACACTGGTCCGTTTTAAGTCAGGATGTTACGTGCGTAAATCCCGATAGCCAAACTACCCAGTGCCATAGAATGGGATCACTAGAGGCTGGGGACAGACCTTTGTATAGAAACATTCCAACTTTTCCTGGAGGGGAAATTGGGCCAATTAGGGCACCGAGCTGATAGCGACGCGTTCATTAAACGGGTAGGAGGTGATTCACAACTTCCTCCTGAGAGGGGTTTCCAAGCTGATGATGACGTCACATCGGTTGCCGTGGCGACGCGTTGCGGTGACCGAGAGTTAACCCTGTATATAAGGTAGATATCTGATGCGTTGAAATCACTTCAAGTTCAGATATCAGCTAAAGGTGTGTTGGTGTTAAATCAGAGATAATTACAATGATGTGTGTTGCAATGCGTCCCCTGCCTTCACGCAAAGTAAGTAGTTTTATCATGTTTATTCTTGCGTACTTTTTAAGTTGGTACGCATAATATCGGTCGAAGCTTATACTTGTTTCAAAAACAAGCGCCGAAATAGCCATCGTTCAAACACGTGCCTGTACACACAGCAGTTGCACTTTATCTTTACGTCCGAGGACGCATTGTGTTCCGTTTCTTTCTATACTATAATAACACTCTTCCGTAGACTAAGCACACGGACGTACGTTCGAGGACCGTTCACTACTTTTTTATGTTGGTACGTATAAATTCGGTCGAAGCTTATACTTAAACAAGCGCCGAAATAGCCGTCTTTCAAACACGTGCTTGTACACACAGCAGTCGAACTTTACCTTTACGTCCGAGGGCCAGGCATTGTGTTCCATATGTTTTATATAATAGAACACTCTCCCATAGACTAAGCACGCAGACGCACGTTCGTTTCGAGGACGTTCTCGACAAATCGTTTACGTCTGAGGACAAAATTGAATATGTTGTCCTCCCTTTGTATTGCAGTCCTCGTATACGGAAAACACGTGTTTGTGTATTACGGTTTTCCCCACAGCTTCCAATTACAATGTTAAAAATCTGCCACTAAACATTTTCGTATTCAATCTTTGAAACAAACGCCAACTCAGTTCAAATCCATTAAAACAAAATCGGGAAAGAAGTGAATCAAAAGCACCTGTTGACATCTTCCACTTTGAAGTAATTGTAGATTTGTCATAAAGGTCAAACAGCGACGACAGTGTGCGTAAGTGACAAAGTCATCCATGTGCTTACACACATGCTTGACTGGCAAAAAAAAAGAATTCACTCTATACAGCTTTTTAATCGAAGTTAACGTTGTTTCACTCATGTTAGTCAACATCGGAATTGGCCATTAGCCGCGAGATATTTTTGGAAAGAATGTTAGTGGAGCATCCGGCTGCACTACACTTTTGGAAAACCCAATAAAACAATATAACTGAGGGTGGTGAAACGATGAATCACGAAGTATCACGAATAAAACAAAATCGAGCGCTGTGTACTAATTACAGTCTCTTTTACCAAAACAATATTCCGACTTTTTGGGATGCTTGGTATAAGCATTGAGCTATGAAACACATCGTTCAGTGGTATAATTAATTTACGGTCGGTCATATAGGAATGATTAACTATGACGTGTTCGACAGCAAATGGTGATCATTAATATTTTTCTCTTGAGAATGTAACATTTTATGAAGTTCTTCCCGTGGCGGCTTTGTGACCATGGGTGTATACGCGCGAAAATATCCTGCAAGCACATGCACAGTTCTGTGAACAAAAATGAGTTCCGGTGAAAGTTAGGCATGCACTAATAGTGCCAGTGGCAATGTGTCTGTATACGTGTAGTTTGGTGACATTAATAGTGAGATGTACTTTGGGATATTCTTATTTTGGGAGTTAATTTATGTAATTTAAATACGGAAACAATTTAAAATATGGTCCACGATGCTAATAAATTCCAAAAATTCAAACAAACCTCTGCCCGTGCTCGTATTTAGCTAGATCTTGGATTGTTCCTGATTTTTAATTCTGCCATTGAAAATTCCGCATCCTTCAAAGGAAAGGTACCTTAGCCTCTATTATAATAAGCCCTACTGAACAAAAGGAAATTTGTCACACATGTGGACACCATTAACACTGTGTAAAAACTGATACAATTCTTCTCAGATGTTGCTGGGCGAACTACGAGTCAAAACAGATGAGAGGCAGCGACTCATCGTAGAGCAGAACGAACGCAAGAAGGTCCCTCCTCCCACAGCACCCAAGAGATACAGCTACGGGGTACCAGTGGTTGCAGCAACCAATGGGGTGCCCACGGAGAGGACGCAGATACCGACTAGGAAGAGCAAAATCGAAGAGGTGAGATAAAGCATCTTAGAGGTCTTCCGTTAATGAAGCAACAACCATCTTTTTAGAAACACATTTTTTGGTTGGCCTTCCCCTTCCTACTCCAGAAGCACACCTCGTTCCTTTTTTTCACAAGAAAGGTTTACCCTTTACTCAAAAGTCGGGGGGTTTTTTTTGGGGGGGGGGGAGGTAACCTTTGTAAATTCTCCAAAATCCTCCACTGTGCCAAGAAACAATAGCGAATTCTTTGCACTTTTAACTTTATTTTGACATAACCTTGTGTAGTGGTTGTCCGTCGAATCAACGATGATGTCCTCACAAATCTCCAAAATAACAAAAGGTTATTACTGGGTGCATGTGATCTATCTCATATGGCTTAGTAGGGCAGATTTAGAGGCACAACGCTCCCAGACCTGGCAAGGGATACTATCACCCGGAGGGGGACGCTGCTGCTGCGCATCCGAAGCCTGCGCACCTCCTGAGCCTGCATACGCGCAGTCTCGAATACCTCAACGGCCCGATGACAAAGCCTCAGACACCTCAGAATATATTCTGAAGGATCTGTTAGGATTGAAATAAGAACTTCAAAGAACTCTGAAACCTTCCCGAAACCTCCAAATTTCCATCCACAGCATTGATGGATTGGAACCCAAAGGCACCCTGTTTGTAATTTAACTATCAAGGAGCATCCAGGCCCTTCAAAACCTCACGGTACAGATTCTTAAAGAACCTTGTATAACTATCTTTCCAGGAACTCCTTGAGGAACTGGGGTATCAGCTTCCTAGGATAGACCCAGATGCTTGGGCCAAGGTTTACTTCCTTGAGAAACGGTGCCGACTGGTAGACTTCAACATCAAGTCGGCTGCAGTCATCGTGGATGGATCTAAATTCCAGTATCCAGGAAGGTACATGCAAGTCTAATTGAAATTAAAAATCGTCAGTGGCACCATGAACTGACATATCGTGGTTCGTTGCCGCACCATGTTGTGACAGTCTAAACAAAGTCCACACAATCCATCACTTCGTGGATGCTGCATTGAAAGTTTGTGGTGCACCTGATGAATTTGGGGAAGAATAAGTGAGGGGATTGCAATGTTGGACTACCATTTGTCATCAAAGACAGATTTAATCCTAACTCCCTTGTCATAATTTGCCACAAGGAACCCTCCTTGATCTTCCCTATGGGGTTCAGGCTGGCACAGTAGTGTTTTTCATGCCTTATCTGTGATCCCACATCCTACAGGCTTTCAGAGAGTACATCTGATTCTGTGGGCTCCCTGAAATATCATTCAGCATAATTTGTTCCCACCACCGAAATTGAACATTCCAGGGGTGGATCTAGCTTTGGCTCAAGAGCCGAGGGTTAGCTGCCAAGGGAAAGGAGTTAGCAGACAAGTGCTACGTTTTTATGCATATGTTTCCATTTTTTGGCAGCTGAACTCCCTCCCCCACAGATCTGCCAATGCCCTTATTCATCTTTATGACTGTCAACACTCAGGCTTACTAGCTACAGTGCCTGTGCACTTTCGAGGAACCCCAAAGTTCATTACCTAGTAAACAATAATTGAGCAATCACAATTTTTTTGGCCAAGGCTTGGCTTTGGGGCTCTTCACAACCCCCTCCGTGACAAGCAGACAGAAAAGGTCCGCGGCCACATCGGCAAAGGCGTCCAGGTTGAAGTGGACAAAGAGGGGAACGTCTGGGCGACCAGGCTGGGCAAGAACGAGGTCTTCGTCAAGGGATGCTTTGATCCTGAGAACCACTGCATCTCCGCCGACGTCATCGAGAGGATGGGCCACCTAGAGACCAACGTCCCAATGAAGGTAAAGTTCAGTGCCTCCGTGACTAACTCTCAAGGAGCTTCTGTAGGGACTATCCAGAATGGACTTGTGATTCACTTTTGATTTACTTGTGATTGACTTGATAAGACTTATGATAGACACGACTACAACACAGATCCAACAATAAGGTTCTCAGTTGTTCAATCTCCGTTGTCGCAGGTGTTTGACATCAAGGAGTACAAGATCCAGCTGGCTCTAGAGGCCAAGAAGTCAGACCAGTCGGAGATCGACAAGAAGCGACTCAAGCAACTCTGTAACGTCTCACTCAGCTTTGTCAAGGATGCTGTGGAGGATGTCAACACGCCTTGCTGGATAAGCATCGTGGTGCTACCAGCTCTCCGACTGGACAACCCCAAAAGTAAGTTTCCAAAAGCCAGGTCTCCTGTACAACACCTTAAAAGGGGAACCAAGGTTGAGACAACGTACATGTACACGTACTATGATAAAATAAGCTTTACTTTGATGCTTGTCTCAAACACCTTGGAGAGTTGTGAGTATATTTCATAATTTTGGGAAGAGGGCGTAATTATCACTGAGGATAATGGCAGTTTAATTACTGTCTGCAACCTATAGGTGCACCTATCATGAAAATATTGGTAGAACAGTTCTTCCTTCCTTCCCACATAGCAACATCAGAAAAGTTTTCATTGTCATGCAGTCATTGTTCATTTTTTCTTCTGTTGATGCATGATGTTTTATTTTATCTGTAGTCCTTCAAGCAATGACAGGTGTGCCCTTTGGTAACAAATTTGCAGATGGTAAGAAGATGCGTCAAAAACTGCAGAGTGTCAATGCTTAAAGCTTGGAGTAGCGACATAGCAAAATCATGCTTTGCTGTAGTGCTCTGTTCATACTTGCGTTAATTAGACCGCAAATCTACATATTTCAAAATCTAGTTACATTGTACCCTAATGATTGTTTCAAACGGAATAAAAGCCGGCTCATACTCGTCGCGAACGTGAACGTGACTTTGCGACGTCAGGGCAAGTTTTTGTGCCGTGAATTCGCAAAAGTTGAACACATTTCAACTTCAGCGAATTTCGAAGCGACCGCTTGGTGATGTCAAATTCGCTTCGCATTAGCATTGGCATGAAGTACACTTAAAAATTGGGCTCAACAGTTATCCGATTTCACCAGAAGTTCCCATCCAGCTCAGTCATGCCAACAAAAAGTGACGAGTGAGTTGCCGCATAGAATGCCCTCCCAATGACTGGGTATAGTTTGCAGGATTCAGTGACCCCTGGGTCTTTACAAAAACACTTCAGAGCTGTAATGTTGAATACAATGAATGAGTAGTCTCTGATAAGATGGACAAATACCCAGATGACCACCAGTAAGTGAATGCAGTTACAATCAGAGTCCGAGGAGCAAATTGGGCCAGTTGTTTTCTTTATAGCCTGTGTCACCAAAAACTGGAAGGCTTAATTTATTGTTCAGGTTGGTTTCGAATATCCTGTTTCCACAATCGAAACCATGACTAACAATGAAGACTTCAGTAGACATTGCACTGGAATAGCACCTCCTTAAATTTGATACTTTCAGAACGATTTCTAGATACAGATATCATCACTTCATGTACTCCTAATTACATAGCAAAGCAAAAGTAGTTGTAGTTTATGATATTTATCACTTAGATAGTTCTGCTGTAGTTTATTTAAGTCAGCATTTTTCAAAGATGATTTGCACATGTGTTTGAGAAGCTGAAAAGTAACATACTTCAAAACAAAAATAAGCTTTCAATTGAAGAAGCAGCTTTGCAATATCCTCTCTTCCAAACACAGGAAATGCTTTCACAACACTACATACATGTAGCACAATTATACACCCTGCACTCACCAATGGTCTTCCCGAAACACTGTTTTCATTACATACTAAACATGAAGATTGAATACATACATACCCAACCTTTTGGGGATAAGGAGTAGGATGCTCCTTTCTTTCAAAATTTGAAAGTGAATGATTCTTTTATTTATCTTCAATCCTATTATATACACTCAATCCTACAAAAAAAGTCTAAACTCCAAGTTGTATTGTAATGTGCTTTTCATTGTGTGTTGTTTTAGTGGACATTGACTGTAGTGCTGAGTTCTGTTAACATTGTCAAATGCATTTATAATTCAGCATAACATTTGATAAGACACAATATTTTTAAAGCAACTGTTATGCCAGAGGCTGATGGTAACTTTAATTTCTTGTAGGGCACTGTGGTCCAATGGTTACGGTGTTCGACTTGTGTGTGTGATACATGGGTTCGAATCCGGACAGGGAACATGGTGCTTGTGTTCTTGGGCAAGACACTTTACTACAATTGCCTCTCTCCACCCTGGAGTATAAATGGGTACCTGTGAAGGTAGAGACCAGAATGCACAAATCTTGACCTGCTGCAGAGTCTCATTCCTGATGACCAGGGATAATAATAATTGTGATGGGCATTTGATCATACTCATATGGAATTTGTGCGATATAAATTTATGAAAAAATTATTATAAATCATTTCTGGAATGTGAAAGGTGAGGTGGGGCAAAAAAGCTAAAAGTATGGTTTTTAGATTGTATGTGGTTAAATATCCGTTAAGTTTCTGATGCCAGATTTTTAACGTGAGTTAATGTTAATTATTTGTTTTCTTTGGCAGTCCTGCAAGATGCTACCAAGATTCTGTCCGTTTACCGAACAGCGAAGCAGATAGAATCCAGTGAAATGGGCCGATCGGTAAGTTAGTGAACATGTTCATACACAAAGTTGGAATACATGAAAAAACATCTGCAAAAGAAATGTAGCAAAGAAATCTACAAAAGAAATGATCACTTTTATCATATTATATCCGGCTTTTATTTTCTTGTAGGCTATGGATAAGAGAATTTGATCAAATGTGGGAGAGAGGCACTTTATAAACGTCCATAGAAATTGTTCTAGAACAATGTACAATTCACAGATATGATTCAAATTCTACCTCAAGTCTAGCCTTATGAGTAATGGGATTAAATAATTATTGACTAAGCTCTTAATCCTTTCCAAATTATCTGGATTAAAGAGGCATTTTCAGCAATCTTCTAAAATGGCTCTTCTAGGCAGATGAAATTTAGTTCTTCACTGACACTTACAAACCAAGTTCAAAATCAAGACTGCCTTAAGTCTTAATCCTTTAATCTTTTAAGTTCTTCAAAATCCTGCTTAATCCCAAAGACTTAACCATTCTTACACGTTTATCATTGAGGCCACTTGCTTATATGAGAAAAGACAGTATCAGGACCCGCATCACAAAACAAGGAAATGCATGGGATATTTGGCCTTAGACTAAACCGGAGAAAAGATCTGATAAAACGCTATGAGTAATTTGTGTCAAATTTTAGCAAAGACTTGTAAGGTGTAAAGATTTAACTGGGATGGTCTCGAGAGAATTGAAGGATGACATTGCGGTATAAGATGGAGGTCTGGGAAGGGTAGTGTCTTATCTTGTGTTAGACCTTTTTTCACAATTAGGTCAAAAGTTTTTATTGAGAATGTGTCATGGACTGACATGCCTCAATGCCAATATTGCACATGTTGCAATGTTAAGTTGATAGTACAGAAAGTTAATGATGATTCAGTGTTCATAATGTAGAATGGCAGCAGACGTTTATACGCTGGACTCCGTCGCGTGTACACAACCGAGTCCAACCTGGGCTAATACTTAGTATGAACTGGTCCTTACAACTGTCCAAATCCAAGTCCTTTAGAATTGATGCATACAAGATTGAAAAGAAACTGAATCCAATTTTGTCCTGTGTTTTAAAACAGGCGAGCCGCAAGTGGGCCAAGTCCAACATGCGCCGCTCCAACTTTGAGAAGGAGAACACCAAGAAGGACGGACGGAAAGCGAGACTGAACGAAATGGAGAAAGCTAAGAAAATGGGCATGGAAGCCATGTACAGCTGGGAGAACCCCAAGGACGACAAAGGAAACCAGCCTGGTGAGTCTTGAGAATAAATGAGTGAACATTTTTCCTCCTGGACCTTTCTGATGCTCAAAATAAAGGTCTTGAAATGGAATTATATAATGTTGTGCCCAGTCTGGCTTTATACACCAAACTTTTGTTCAAGGTTATTAAAAGGCTCATCTATTGTCATAACAAATAGCAACTTTGCGGATTGAGGAGTGTTATAAAACACATAACTATTAATTTTGGGCACTTGTGCATATTTGTGATGCGATCAAGCTAAATGAGTCGTTTGTCGACCCAGGTCAATTTGTTGTTTTTTTACAGATTTTAAAAGAGCACAATCTCAGCATTCCTGCTGCGAAAATAGCATGCTGGTACCATCTTTAGTTCAAAACTTATGGAAGTCGCAACACCACGAAATCTGATAAAGTGATGTGAAGTATTTTGGCCTGAATCTCCAAATGAATTTTCCCGACAAACGACTCATTTAGCTTGATCGCATCACATGTATGCTCCCTCACGCCTGTGAGTAACCTTTCAATGGTCCTATTTCCAAAAGCTGAATTACTGGACCCTCGTGTGGTCACTCATGGGTTCATAGACTTGTGACCTCATTTCCAGTTATTTTGTGCATAATAACACACTGCATCATTCAAGAGAGCTGGCAATGTTTTTTTCAATTTTTATGTTTTCCGTTTAATTTGCAGCTGTGACCAAAGAAATGGACCGTCTGTCTATCGTTTCCAACGACAGCGACACTGGATCCAGTCTGTACCAAGGTGACGAGGGAGGATATCAAAGCTCGTCGGTACGACGCGCAGTGTTGCGCTCCCTGTCGGTCCGTAATGCTGGTAAGCATGACGCAAGTCTAGGATTTCACGGTCTAATCTTACATTTTACACGAATGTGCAGCCAAGATAATTTCATAAATAATTTGCTGCTTAATATGCTGTTTCAACCACATAGCACATTTGCAGTGTGTAACTTGGCGTGACATAAAAACTCTGGTGGAGCGCTGTGGTCGAATGGTTACGGTGTTGACTCACGCCCCATGGTACTAGGGTTCAAACTTTGATGGGGAACACGGTGCTTGTGTTCTTGGGCAAGACACTTAACTACAATTGCATCTCTCCATTCAGGAGTATAATTAGGTACCTGTGAGGGTTGAGACCATGGCGCTTGTGTTCTTGGGCAAGACACTTTACTACAATTGCCTCTCTCCAACCAGGAGTATAAATAGGTACCTGTGATGGTTGAGACCATGGCGCTTGTGTTCTTGGGCAAGACACTTTACTACAATTGCCTCTCTCCAACCAGGAGTATAAATAGGTACCTGTGAGGGTTGAGACCATGGCGCTTGTGTTCTTGGGCAAGACACTTTACTACAATTGCATCTCTCCATCCAGGAGTATAAATGGGTACCTGTGAAGGTAGATGCGCTGATCTCGAGGTTCTGTAAAACAGGTCTCATGGCCTGATGAACAGGGGTAATAATCGCGAAGCATTTTGAGACCTTTGGTATAAAGCACTATATCAGCACCTCATTAATATGCTTTCAGTATGGTGTCCAGCCTCAGATCTTTGCGAACAAGTTGACCCAACTGCTCAAAGGTCATAGCATATTGTTTACTCCGGCAATAGTTTCGTACACAGAGACTTTCCTTAAAGTTGACTCCACATCGAAAGTACTAGTGACCGAGAGAACACCTCGGATTTCAAACTAACACATGATGCATCCACTATTTTCTATAATCAATTTATTGCAACATTTCCTCCGACTGCCGACGTCATTTTAAAGGCACTAAATGTCTTGTAATTACTTATCGTGTTTCAGCTGCTTTCCGCCAGCGGAGTCTGAAGCGTTTCCAGGAGACCGGGGCCCAGGATATTGAAGTGCCCGAGGACCCATATTCGGTCAACGGAGGGCGCCGCGTCTGGGCCAAGGCCAAGCAGAAACAGCGCGAGGCTCTGGCTGACGAAATCTTCTGACGAGATACAATAAACCTGAAATGAGAAAACAGAGCATAAAAGCTGTACAAATATATCTGTTAAAAACGGCTTCGTCTGAAAGGCATGTTTTGGGTGCATTTCTACAATTTCAATATATGCAGATAACCTTCATCACTTATCATTTTATGTGAACTGGCTTCCAAGTTGTCTTATTGTGCTTGTACGATATAATACGCAGACTGACACATCTTGCTTTGCATTTGTATTCCTGAGCAGAAAATGGGCAGTCCTATATTCATACATAATATACACGTACTTCTAAATGTCGGGCATGCTTTGTATAGTACAGATTTGTACAAAAGCACTTAACATTTTCTCTATAATGGCCGATGCTACAAATTGTATATGGAGAAGTTCTGAAGATTCATTTCAAAGTGTGATTTTTGTTTGTACATGTATTTTCCACTTTGACCTATAAGATTTGAGAAACACCCCTCCTCCCCCCCCCCCTCCCAGTCTGAGTATCACCCATTATCCATGGAGCCTAGTCTCCCTTTTAACATCAGAAAATCTTCTAACATCAGAAAATCTGGTCCCTCCCTTGTTTATACCAGACCCCTTGTGGTTTGCCATCTCCCTTTGTTTCTTTGTTCTCTCATCCACCCTCCCCTGCATCTTTCCACACCTTTCCCACCTAATCCTCCTTTTGTGTTTCTTCTTTCAGCCCTGCATGTTTTTGTGCACCCCCATGTTAATGTATGTACCTCTGTCATTTCTGTTTTAGCCTCTGAAGAAGAACTTGTTAAGTTCGCAATGTCAGGCCACATTAATTTTCAGATCAGAAAATCTAAGCATGCTTGACGTCATTCATTCCGAAATCAGGACTAAGATTGTGATAGGTCAATTGATGCTGCATTTTGTAATACAATTAACCTTGTCAAAAATGCTACTCATCGTGGGTGTGATGTTTACGCACACGGGAGCTCGAATTACGCACGTATAGGAGGCACCTGCTGATTGGTCAGTTTTTTGAGGTCATACGCAGTCTAGTTGCATAATTAACTGCCGAGTCTGTTTACATATCATAGACCATGGTTGGCTTCGCCTGGGCCAGGGTCTATTTCATAGACTACCCTCCCCCCCCCAAAAAAAAAAAAAATTAAAAAATGTGTAGAGTCTGGCGCCACTGGTTGTTCAACCCATTGTTTTTAAGTTATAATCCAATAGTTCTAAAAAAAAAAATTCTGAGAGATGCTCTTAATTGTAAAAAACAAAAAAATCCTGGGTAAAAAAAATAGAATATGTTACCCTGTTTATGACTAAGAATTTCATTATTAAGAAAAATGAGTTTTGTATGAATCTGATAAAAACATGTTATTTGGGTCAGAATATGTATTTTTGTAAAGATGCGCAGACTTCCAAAATGTAGAATTGTTTAAATTGCTTTTTCCCTTAATTCCTGTTTTCATGTCAATGCAATTTGAAATTTTCAGTTGTTGAAGAATTTTATTAACAAACAAAAAAATTGTACTATAAGATTTTATTTCAAGGGGTAAGTCATTTCAGACCAAAAAAAAGGTTCAATTTTTGGTAAGGTGAATTAATATTTTGCAAGATGCATTAAATAGCTATATTATTTAGAAATTATATTTCATAGTTAATTCTATGTACAAAAAGCATGAAAGAACAAGACAAAATAGTTAACAAATATTTGAAATGAAGAGGTTTAAAGTTTATTAAAGTTTGCCTAAACATTATTAGAAATCATACTGTACATATTATATGCATGTATGCATCGATATCTTCATGTTTCAACTTCTATAGAAATATTTTGTCATGTTAATTTGAGCGATGTATGTAAACGAATCTTTGGGTAAGATGGTGGTAAATTTTTACAATAAAGTTGTTCTCCATGCTGAATGGAACGTTTAAATACAATGTCATAATATAATGTCATTATTGTTTTCCTTACAATTGACCTATCGCCGTTTATGATTACCCAGGCCCCTTAGACAACCCTATTTTTGTAAGCTAAGTTGAGTTTGTCTCAGATTTCACGCATTCCACATCCATTTCTCTACTATGCAATTGGACAATATTTCACATGCTGCGTTAACGCAATTCTACCGCGATAGTTTAATAAGATTAAAGAGCCTATCTCAATTCATAGCCCAGACAAGTTGCAGACATTGTATCGGGTATAAGTTGCAGGGTTCTAAACGACTTCCCCGCAATCTTCCTGCAATGACGCTATCAGTATTGGTGAGTCATCAAGCAGTTGCTAATGAAAATTTCCCCGGAACATGTCCGGGACAAATGCAGAGTTTCTTCCGTACGGAGTGAATGATTCTCCCCGCAACTTGTCCGGAACTCGTCCCAGATATGAATTGAGACGGGGCCCTTCAATTTGCAGCATGATTAAATGTATAGTGAAAGCTGGGCAATTCTGTGAACTTCTAAAGTGAAAATTTACTTTTACTATTACTTTTCTTGTAAAGTAATAGTGGCTGGGCTCTACCTTCCTCAATCCTACAAAATCCTCCACTGTGCAGGAACCCAATGGCACCCTCTTTGTACCTACCAAGTTTTAAGTGCATCAAGCCCCATGTAAAGTAATAGTGCCTGGCTTTACCTTCCTCAATACTACAAAATCCTCCACTGTGTAGGAACCCAATGGCACACTCTTTGTACCTACCAAGTTTCAAGATGAACCAAGCCCCATGTACAGTAATAGTGGTTGGGCTCTACCTTCCTCAATTCTACAAAATCCTCCACTGTGCAGGAACCCAATGGCACACTCTTTGTACCTACCAAGTTTCAAGTAGCATCAAGCCCCATGTAAAGTAATAGTGGCTGGGCTCTACCTTCCTCAATCCTACAAAATCTTCCACTGTGCAGGATCGATGGCACACACACTCTTTGTACCTACCAAGTTTCAAGTATTACATCAAACCCCATGTAAAGTAAGTGGCTGGGCTCTACCTTCCTCAATCCTACAAAATCCTCCACTGTGCAGGAATCCAAAGGCACACTCTTTGTACCCACCAAGTTTCAAGGAGCATCAAGCCTCATGTATAGCAAAATTAGCTGGGCTCTACCTTCCTCAATCCTTCAAAATCCGGTAAACTTTCCACTGGATTTTAAAGTTGCCATTTTTAAAACAGTTATCTCATTCATGTTTTTACCTGTATCAGACAAATGTTTTGCAGAGCGCCACCGTGTGATCCACACCGCAGGCCACTGTTTTGACTTCTGCTGCCATACACACCTGTGGTCAAAAAAAAAACCACGAAAATTCTTCAAAAGTGTCCATCCACAATAATGTTCTTCATATTTTTACACACGGGGTTCTTTAATACAGAGTTTTCTACTTACCCTGAGTGGGAAGAATTGGTTTTGCAGACTTGCCAAGCCCAGATGGCCTGAGTCGTTCGTTCCCCAGGTGTACAGATCTCCATGATCTACAAAACAAAAAAAGATGAAAAATTATCTTTTAAAATTTGAAACAAATTTAATTACACTTCAAATAATACTCGGCAAAATGGAAATAGGCAGATTTGCTTCTGAAAAAAATACAGTTTGTCCCAAAAACAGTGTCCATCTATTAAACTGTGACGAAGTTCCTTGCCTTTAATAATCAATTTCAGTGCTGTGCTATGTAAGCTGTGTAAAATCCTGCACGTTGGAAAAAAAAGGCTGATGTGGTTTGGGATTGGAATCATTTGCCCTTGAGCATTAAACTGAGGTCTTGCCATGATGACTGATAGCCAGGCAAATGATTCCAATCCCAACCGCAGCCCTTTTCACAACATGAAGGATTTTACACAGCTTACTTAACACAGTACTGAAATTGATTAAGGCAAGGAACTTGGTCAGTGTCCAAAAAATGTTGTGATGAACTGACAATTGTGTAGTGATGCGTGACTGAAATTGAATGAAACTCATAGGGGTTTGGGCCAAGGATAAGGAGTATTAGCACAATTAAAACATTTCCAAAGTCACTTATGATTTTGAAGTTATTTCAAAAATAGTCAGACGGATTTTTGATTTGGAGACATACTGTAGATCGAACATGATATCTACAATGATGTCTACAAAAAAATATATGATACATGTCCAATTTTAAATCACCTATGTGCACAATCCTTGAAGTTTAATTGTTACCGTGGAAACAAATCAGACAACAGGGAGCAAGTTATCATCCAGGGTCTACTGTTGAGACAAAATTTGAAGTATACCCTGGGTACAAGGTTGACACTTCAGGTGTACTTCATCATGCGGCAGGGGCAAAGATACATAATAGAAAATAAGAACTGAAATTCCGTCCTGTTTAGTAAAAAATCAGCAATTATCGTTTTTTGGATCTCTTTCACTCACTTGTAACTGCAGCGAAGTGATGCAACCCACAATGCACTTGGGTTACCATGACGTCCCGCTTCAGCTTTGTCTGTCCAAACAAGATGGCCGGGACGTGCTCCGGATATTTACTCTCGCTCAGCTTGGGTCCTTTACCCAGAATGCCATAGCCCCAAACGAAAACATCGCCGGCGTCTGCAAACATGAATATTCATACACGAATTTGAATATTCAAAATAAGAGACACTGAGAAGCAGTCTGTCCATTTAACCAAAGCTGTGAAAATGCAACACATAACTGTCAATTTTTTTGTGTTAATTTCCTCCAAAAGTTAAATCAAATCCTTCAACACAAGTCATCATAAGCCATCATAAGCCATCATAAGCCATCATAAGTCATCACAAGTCATCATAAGCCATCATAAGCCATCATAAGCTATCACAAGTCATCACAAGCCATCATAAGTCATCATAAGTCATCGTAAGTGTTCACAAGTCATCATAAGTACATCATCACAAGTCATCACAAGTTATTGCAAGTCATCGTAAGTCCTTACGATTTTAATTGTATGATGGTACATTTGTGTCTTTTAAAATGCACATTTTCTCACCATTAACAAGCTGGCAAATGGTCCCTCCAGCTGCAGCACCCACTACCTTCCCTACACCGCTGAATGGAAGACGCCTTGGCTCGTACACCTACACACAGTCAAGACCATACCATTTATTATTTGAGGTAATGAGGAGGGTAAAGCAATCTTACAATGTGAAGGCCATATAAGAAATAATTTAAATGAACTACCTGCATTTCTTCTGTGACGCTGTTAAGCTGATTGTACTCCGAGTTGCCCCATCCAAATATATCACCTTTCTCTGTAAAAAAAATTTAAAATCCACAATTTCAATTTAAGAAAGGGATTTTAAAGGGGATATACAACATTTGCAAACATCAAAAAAGAAAACTACCAAATTATTATGACATACCTTACTGGACTGAATGACAGTCTAAAGCATCCTATAAAACCGTGGCACCACGTGTGTTGTTATTTTCAAGAAAAGTGGTATTTTTGTATCAATTTCCAACGCTGGTCGGCTGACCATGGCATTAACATAATTTGTCCATATTTGTTTGTGCACAATCGATTACACAGCTTTGAATGGGTATAAGCCAGCTAGACTGGTTCCCTGACCTTACAATTTCATGATGTCTATAAATTTCAGTTTGAGTGGGGTCAGGGAACCAGACCACAGGAACATGATTGTTTTTCTTGGTTTTCCATCATCTACGAACACAAAACTTCAAACAAGTTAGTGTAACAATATTTGCTATAAAATTCTAACCCCCTAAATCCAACCAAAAGCAAATGATGTTTATTCCCTTTACACTATACATGTGCAATGGTATGTGGGTTTAATCTTTGACAAGAACGTGATGTTTGTGTTCTTGGGCAAGACACTTTGCAACAATTGCCTATCTCAATTCAGGAGTACGAATTAGTATCTGTGAGGGTAGAGACCAGACTGTGCTGATCTCGAGCTGCTATAGAAAACTGGTTGCCGTGCCTAATAAATGAACGGGGGTAATATTATGCAGTACTTTGAGACTCTACTACTGAGTGCTAGCCGCTCCGTTCACAAGTACCCTCTCACCGGCAAAGAGAGTACAGTTGGGGGTGACCAACCAACGCCATCTTGCCTGACTGCAATTCATTTGCCGCGAAGCGCGGCCACTGCGTGTACATAGCACAAATCCCCTGGTGTACGTGCGTCACACACAAGGAACGGTGCGCGTCACTAACCAGCGAAATGTCCCGCCCATGGGACGTCGTTGCTATGTAAAAGGGCGCCCTCTTTCGTCGGGGCACGGAGCCCATATAAGCACTACATTATCATAATTATTATAAATTAATAATCCTGTACTTTAAAAAGACATATATCCCCAACAAAGATATCTTTTCATGGTGTTACCATAAACCTTCAACAATTTTTCAAATCTCACCAGACACTGCAAGGCAGCAGTCAGCAAATGTAGATATTTTGATGATTTTCTCTCCTTTAATGTCGCCCTCAAGTGGCACTGGATGGTCAACGCTCTCGTAGTGACCCAGTCCTTGTTGAAGGAAAGAAAATTTAACAGTTGAAGCCGTGTCCAAATCACATATGGCTACGGCTGGAGATAACACACGAGGCTATGGGAAGTGGTTGTAGCCGCTAGCCAGTGGCTTCCATAGGTGTGCATGTTATTCCTGGCATTAGCCAAGTGATCGGTTACGGTCTGAGCCAGAAATGAGTATAATCTCATCAATCAGGGGTAGTAAAAATCATGTGAGGCATCCAATACTTAAGTATAATCACTATGAACATTCTAATAATCACGTTCTTACCAGTCTGGCCGTCTGCGCCCCAGCCGCAGCTGTAAACAGCGCCCTCTTCTGTCAGGAAAAGGCTATGGTCGTGACCGCACTCAACCTACGATAACGAAAAAAATTCAGTACAAAATATCTCAAATGGCTAATGAAAATAAACACATGACGGGAATGTGGAATTTGATTGCAAAAGTTGTGAAAATATAGTTTTACCAATTTTGGGTAAAATATTAGCCTGAATATGTTAGAGATGCCAAAGAATTAACAAGCACTATGCTAACTTTGACTCCCCATGAATTTTTGCTGTGAGCATTCCTGAATCCTCCAAAATCCACCACTGCGTAGGAAACAAATAACACATTCTTCGCAATTCACTTTCATAGGGCATCAAGCAAATTTATTGTAAAAACGCCTATGGGATGCTCCAGATCAGTCCAACAAAATCCTCTAAAAACACCTCATGGATTTTGTTGGAATCTGAAGGGTTAAGGATAAAGAAACTCCAACACAAGTTTTTCAGCATTACCCGTGTCACTGTTCCTTCAAAATCCTTTTAAAAAACACCTCATGGATTCTGTTGGAATTTGAAGGGTTAAGGATAAAGAAACTCCAACACAAGTTTTTCAGCATTACCTGCGTCACTGTTCCTTCGATTCCTTTGATGTTATGAATGACTGCGTTGGATCTGTAGTTCTCAGTCTCAATGATGGTTCTTCCGCACTGTCCGTGGGCATTGTTTCCTAAACTAAAAACTAAACAAAAAAGTACATTTTTCTTACAACAATGTAAAGAACAACATGGATGTTAGCACAAGGGATAGGAAAAGGAAGATAAAAGTATGTAATCAGTTTCCATTTTTCTTTCAATACTAGTTCACTGGCGACTCCAGGAGGGGGGCAAAAGGGGCCATGGCAGCTACCCCCCCCCCCCCCAACAAGTTTTTTTAATCGGAGGAGTGAAGACACCTTTTTGTCTTAAATTTTCAGGAAATTAATTAAAACGGTGCGTATCGCCCTCGCAAGCCATCAGCTACACATACCCTTTAGTTTTAATATTACAATGTGGAAATAACACACGATACTCAATACTTAATCCCTTTCTCCTTCTTGGAAAAAAATACTTGCCCTCTAGCCCCCCCCCCCCCCCCCCCCCCGGAAACTTTGGTTTTGGATCCGCCCTTCTACTGGTTTCAACAACATTTGAAACAGTACTATTGTACTCACTGCCGGACTGCGATGGTTCTTAAATCTTAAAAAATGTATAGATCTCTCTCATAGGACCTCCTCTTCGTAGGAAAATTACAACTGCGTATTCAACGCCATCAGGTGCGTGTGCGCGCAGTGTGCAAAATGTTCTAAACACGTGCGCGTGTCGCTAAAAAATTCTTCGAAATACGGTGCAGCCGATGCGCGTCAAAACAATTGACGCCCGAAATGCCAATGCAGGTGGCAATCAGTAGGAAGTGACGTCATTTGAGAGAAACCTATTGCTGGGCCCGGAGGAACCAACCTAGCGTTCTCTTACTGAGCGAGTCACTGACCAACTTGATGAGTAAGTGAGTGAGTCATTTAACATAATCAGGTACTGCTTGATGAGTAGGCACTCGTAATCTTGTTTTCCCCTTCCTCTGCCGTATAAAAAACACAACAGACTATCTTTTTAAATTGTTTGTTTTTAATTTTTTATCAAAAATTGACAAAATTCCCTCTGCCCTTTCTGAATTGACCCTTCCAGCTACCTCCTTCGTTGTCGGTGAGTATGAGTGAGTGGGCCCTCCCACACGACACCTGGGCGACTCTGGTTGCTCGCGGTCTGGTCAGCGGCAGATCGATGGGAACAGGGGCCAGTATATAATCCATACCTTCCTCTAAAATTAGCAACAAAATAAAACAAGGAGTTAGGTTAATTGGTGAAGTGGTTCTTTCCTCGCCTTCCATCGCTGTGGCCCGGGTTCGATTCCTGCCCTGTTCCACACGTGGATTGGGTTTTCAGTCCCTACCTGATTCCGTGGGGTTTTCTCCAGAATATTCTTCTGGGGTTTTCCTCCCACCTCTAAAAATGCAATTTCTTCTCTGTCTTCTCTCTATGGTTTCTCCAGCTTGCGAATGTCTAAGATGCTTTGCCATGTCTGAATAAGGCATTTGCGAGTTAAATTGGATTTAAATTTCTGGTTTTCTCCAGAATATTCTTCTGGGGTTTTCCTCCCACCTCTAAAAATCTAATTTCTTCTTTGTCTTCTCTCTATGGTTTCTTCAGCTTGCGAATGTCTAAGATGCTTTGCCATGTCTGAATAAGGCATTTGCGAGTTAAATTGGATTTAAATTTCTGGTTTTCTCCAGAATATTCTTCTGGGGTTTTCCTCCCACCTCTAAAAATCTAATTTCTTCTTTGTCTTCTCTCTATGGTTTCTTCAGCTTGCGAATGTCTGAGATGCTTTGCCATGTCTGAATAAGGCATTTGCGAGTTAAATTTGATTAAAATTTCTGGTTTTCTCCAGAATATTCTTCTGAGGTTTTCCTCCCACCTCTAAAAAATGTAATTTCTTCCCTGTCTTCTTTCTATGGTTTCTTCAGCTTGCGAATGTCTTAGATGCTTTGCCATGTCTGAATAAGGCATTTGCGAGTTAAATTTGATTAAAATGTGGAACGCTGACTTAATCCAATGCTTTGCACGTTTTAACTTTGCATTCTCCCGACCAAAGACACTGTTACTATATCACGTGATTCGCTCCGGCATGGTCTGGTGTCTTTGTGCCATTCTCACCCATTGTGAACAATGTATTGGTGCTGAGCGTCTCTTACGTAACTATGCAAGAGCTTGCCCTGAATCGTGTGATTAGCAACAGCGTCTTTGGTCTGAAGAATTCAAAGTAAAAATGTGCCAAGCATTCTGAGCAAGTCAGTGTACCAGATGTTTTTGAAATGTAAATTCCAAAGGGTAGACGTTACTTGCAAATGGCTTATTACTTGGCTTTGGAAGCGGCTGCAGTGACTTCCCATAGACCTGTGCATTATTTTTAGCCGTAGCCCCATAATTTGTATGTGGCTTGAGGGTAATACAATATCTCCATATTCTATTGCCCAAGGAATTTAAAGCAAACTTTCTCACCAGTACCTTTCTCTATGCTTCTGGGCTGGAACCCAAGCTGTGAGTCCGTGTTGATACCGGTTCCCCAGACTTTGGTGGTTTGTAGTGTGTTGCTCGCTAGCAGGGTGAAGCCGTATCCACACGCAATGGAGGTAATCTGAAAATGAAATGACCAGATCACGTTAATCACAAGTCAACCACAAGTCAAACACTAGTCAATAACAAATCAAATCACAAGTCAATCATAAGTCGATCACTGTCAGCCCCAAGTCAATCAAAAGTAAATCACAAATGAAATCACAAGTCAATTACGACACAATCACAGTTAATTGCAAGTCAATCACAAGTCAATCACAAGTCAACCTCAAGTCAATCACAAGTCAATCACGAGTCAACCGACTGTCAATTGCAAGTCAACTACAAGTCCATCGCAAGTCCATCACAAGTCAGTCACAAGTCAATCAAAGGTCAATCTTAACTCAATCTTTACTCAATCCCAAGTCAATCCCAAGTCAATCTCAAGTCAATCTGAAGTCAATCTTAACTCAATCACAAGTCAATCTGAAGTCAAGCACAAGTCAATCACAAGTCAATCACAAGTCAATCTGAAGTCAATCACAAGTCAATCACAAGTCAATCACAAGTCAATCACAAGTCAACAACAAATCAAATCACAATTCAATTACAACTCACTCTCAATTTCATCACAGGCCAATCACAAGTAAATCACAAGTCGATCATAAGTCAATCACAAGTCTGTTCCAAGTCATTCACAAGTTGATCACAAGTCAATCATAAGTCAATTACTTAGATTTTATTGGTTTCAGCATTGTGCAGTCTAAAAACCTACTAGGTTGCACCCTTAGGTTGCACCCTTTTGACAACAATATTTCACCTTTTCATTTTGCTGAAGCAAGTACGGGGAAGACTGGTACTTCCTTCTAGGCTTACGATCTTTCCCTTTCTGTTTCGGCTTGACGAAACTTGGAATTCCCAGCGCGCCGGTGTATGACAGCCCCCAGACGTATACTCGATCCTGACGTCTCCTGTGTTTGCCGACGAGTTGAGTCGTTGCCATGTCACTCGCCTCTTCCTGTCTCCGTTGCGCCTCGGAGGACGGTGGTAACGAGGACGGAGTAGAAATCTTCGACGAAGATACTGCTGAAGTTGAGAAATTACAACTTGGTGTTGTTCTTATTGCCGTGACGGCAGTCCTGCAACCATAGTTGACCAAACTCTTCCGGCAAGGGATTTTGGTCACGTAGTTGGTGACATAAAGCTTGCAACTGCCAGTCCTAGCAGCAAATACATGCTGAATGGGCTTCAGACTCCCCAAAAATTTCTTCACTGAGACTTTTGGAGCAGTTTGCCATGTTTGCCAGAATTTCACGAATTGACAGGCACTCATGTTGGTTTGAAATTTTTAACTTATAAATGGTGCATTTCAGGTTTTTTTTTCAATTTGTCATTTCTTCTTGTGGGCTGTTCTTTCAATAACACAATCAGCTCGACAACTGAAATTTTGAAGACTCGTCAATTAACTTTCATCCTTCAAGTTCTTAAGTGGGAAGTTGTCAATGTAGGTCAAGAGTTGAACTTGAAGATGTGCCAGCCGACCATGAAGAATCCTGCCTTGTAGTCCTACTCATAGATAGAAAATCTTGATTATGTTTGATCCGACTCCAGAGCCACAAATCTGAAAAAGAAAATGTAATAGGCCTACTCTGCAAAAAATGTTTGAGACATGTTAAAATAATAAAAGAAGAATATTCATATTTATTTGGGGATGAGAAAAAAAACTTTAAAATGTGGTGCGGTCGGAATCGAACGTGAGTCATCCCGCTTACTAGAGCCTTTGCTTAACCATTACACCAACCGTGCTACACAACTTTTGGTGGGAATTTAATACATCTTATAATTCAGCCCTATTTTCAAGAGTACAGCGCCCTCTGTTGATATGGATTGCCGCCGGCAAACCTTTAGTAATCGTTAGTTTGCCGTCATTACCTCCGGCAAAATATCCACTATCAAAAAAAAAATGGAATTACTTTTCTAATTCGCAGCACAGCCGGCCGTAATTAACATGTTGTGAAACAAGATTTTAATGACAACATTTAGGTAACTTGCACTTTTCCCCTTGATAAACAGACTGTTTCAACTTTACTTTCGGTTTTGAAGCTTACCTTAACACAAAACCTGAATTTAGAAAAGAACCAACAACTGAACGCTCAACACACTGACATATCTCAGTTTTATAAAATTTAGCACTGCACGTGCTTATCCGTCTTGTCTCATGGTGGCGCGCTTTTGAATCGTATTCTACGTATGCCAAGAGAGGACACAGCCCCAGCAAAATGGTAATTATAAAGTGGGTTTTTTCTTAACTTACGTAGCTAAGAAACATTTGAGTTGGAAGTGAAATGATCACAAAATATAGGCCTATAATTATATTTACGTAATTTGAATTTTTTTCTGTGTTATTGTATTCATTACCCGATGAACAATTTTGACAATGCACATTGTTTGGAGTTCCAAACCACAGCCGATATAGGCCACCGTACCGGATTAGCGAAATCAGCGAATGGCGGATTGATCGCTGGCGCTGTGCTTTCTTGCGATTTTATGTTTTGCTGAAGAAAAAGATACCAAGTTTTTGATTCAAGTAAGTTTTTATACATAATTAACTGACTGCAGAATTTCTTTAAATGTTAACTTTGACATCTATCGGTCAGTGCTTTGTTATTTTCAATTGCAAACGCATTTTTTTTTGTCCATTAAAAATTGCAACGCCAAATTTGCATTGACGTTCATGACGTTGTGCAAGATTTCCGGTCACTTTTTGGGCGATCGTGTATCTACGGGCCCGATTCCTAGTAAAGGGAACAAAATCCATTATTTGACCTACCAAACTAGTTGGCGACATTAAGAACATATGGTATGTCATAGATAAAGGGCAGGGTTTTAATTTTTTGAGAGAAGTTTGGGGATAAAATGGCACAATGACGACGACAGAAGTACAAAAATAAAGATGGCGACAACGTGCGATGTACCGTGAGCGTGCAAGGCGCGCTGAATCGGACGGCACCAACCATAAACCGTGACGCCGGAGGAATATCGTAATTTCTACTCAGCGCTTAAGAATCTGTTCAAAAATTACAAAAAGTTGTCATTAAAAAATTGTGAGAAGTCTGCTTTAGGTTGAAAACATAATTTTTGAATTATAAAAAACACTCTTGACTCTCATTTGATTGAAACAAAACAGGGGCCCTAACGTGAACGTTACACTACACGATCGCCACTTTTTTTTTCTGCATGTCCTGTCTCAAGTCAGCCATTCACGTCACAATGGCTATGCCCAGTCTTTCCACATGTTCAAATGGATATTTGGCCGGCACCGGCTTTATTTTAGTAAACTATATTAAGCCGGCAGATCGAACAGCGCCCTCTTTGACGCATATATGAGAAGGCCTACAAGTACAACTACAAATCACCATCATCGTTCAAGGAGCACGTGTGTCTGAGTGGATAGCGCAGTGCACGCGCACCTGACTCGTAAATTGACCATGTCAGATCCCAAGTTCGAGCCACTATCGCGCGATTAGCCTCCCTCCGAATTCCCCAGCCCCACCTCCAGTCCCACCTCCACCCCACCTAAAACTGCACCTGGTCATAAACACGAATTTGACAATTGAAGTATTCTTTTAAAATTGTAATGCTTTTTCTTCTTCACAGCTTTACCAAGCCCTCGTGTTTCTGATCGTGATCAACCAACATGGCGCGCGGCCAACAGAAGATCCAATCCCAGCAGAAGAACGCCGAGAAAATGGCCAAACTGAAGAAGGGGACCAGTCAAAAGGCTTCAGCCGCCAAGGCACTCACCTACACATGCACCGTCTGCAAAGTAAGGGCACCAGTTAAAATGGTCAAAATGCATCAGGAGATTATCTGCTGCAAGTACTTGAACTGAAAATTGACTACTCGCCCGGGATCACTGTCCCTTCTAACCACCTTCATCATCGTAATCATTTTATTAATCTTCTTCTAATGATACTAGTTTTTACTACTGTTCTAACTTTCAATCATAATGCTTCTAAATTTCACAGAGTCAAATGCCGGATCCCAAGACCTACAAGCAACACTTCGAGAGTAAGCACCCCAAGAGCCCCCTGCCTGCTGAACTGCAGACCGCCAGCGCGTGATGACAGGCATTCCTAGATACAACAGCAAAAGCAACAACAGTAAGTGTACTTACAGCTAGTGCATCAAACTTCCAAAACACAAGATGTGATCAGTGGGCCAGTGGACCCGCCCTGCCTGTTAATCAAACAGTGCGCATTGACCAATAAGATTACAGCTTTTGGTCAGGTGACCAAAGATGTGATCAGTGGGCCAATGGACCTGCCCTGCCTGTCAATCAAACAGTGCGCATTGACCAATGAGATCACAGCTTTTGGTCAGGTGACCAAATATGTGATCAGTAGGCCAATGGACCCGCCCTGCCTGTCAATCAAACAGTTCGCATTGACCAATGAGATCATGACTTTTGGTCAGGTGACCAAAGATGTGATCAGTGGGCCATTGGACCCGCCCTGCCTGTTAATCAAACAGTGCGCATTGACCAATGAGATCACAACTTTTGGTCAGGTGACCAAATATGTGATCAGTAGGCCAATGGACTCGCCCTGCCTGTCAATCAAACAGTGCCCATTGACCAATCAGATCACGGCTTTTTGGTCATCGATCCTAGAGTTATGTGCTTCGTCTATGGGAGAGTGTTATATTACAGGGACAAAGAGAAACACAAAGCATTGTCCTCAGGCGTATAGAAATTCACGACTGTATGAATGTATGTACATGTTTGACTGGATCGAAGAGAACACAATGATGGTCAGTGTGTGTATTCTACAATGTAACAAGTTTTATAATATTATTCTATTGTTTTTGGTGCATTTTTATTTCAAGCACAGCGTAATTAAGATCGAGACGAAACTGCAAATCTGTTGACTTTTTCTTTGATGTTGTTACGTATTTTTTGGCTGGCCCCCAGGTTTAGTTTAGTGACGGATATATAACCATGATTGACCATGTTACATTATTTTACATTGGAAATAAAAGAACGTTTATATTAATTGGCTGGTTTGTTGCTGTTCCTTCTTTTCTCTGAGTTTGAAATAATCAAAAATTATTGACCAAATTGTTGTCAAAATTGTACAAAAAATAAGTATAATGCATTTTTATGTCTACTTAGGTTGTCCATCATCTAAAAAATAGGCCAATTAAAAAAAAAAAGGAATTTTGGTATTTATGGTGCAACTTTTCAAATCAAGTCACGGAAAGTGTTCCATACCTGGGCATCACTTGACACCCTGTGTACAAACCCTATGTGACTGGTCTGAAAAATTCCAAGTGTTTTCTCAGTAAATGCTTTAATATTTTCCCTGCTAAATTCGACGTTTTAGAACATGTTTATCGCTTTCTGATGGCTAACAGGTCACTGCAGGGAAAAATAAGAGATGTCCACGCACAGAATTCTTCCCTAAGTGACTTCTAAGAACAAAATGACACGCTAACAACTACTCAGTTGCATTAGTTCTCAATGAATCTTCTCATTGGCATTTTATTCATTTCATGTTCTGGAATAAATTCCAATCTCAACACCAAGAAATTACAAACTTTGTAACGGGACAAACTGAAAATAAAAATTAAAAAAATATTTAACTTTTCTCAGTGCGAACTCTCAACACACTAGGAACATTTTTCAATTGAAACCACTTTTTGCTATACATGTATTTCTAAAAAAAAAAGTCACAAACTCATTGCAGCTGCAATCAAAATTCACGTTTGATATTCAAATCAAAATATTTCAATTTACTGGAATTTTCTTGGAGAATTTCCAAAATAGATATACATTGTAGTTGTAGTTTGAAGAAGTGATATTAGTCTTAGAATACTTTACTCTGTTTGTGGATTAATATTATTCTTTGAAAAAAATTTTTAATGACGCCAATTACTGAAAAGACCTTAACTGGTGGAAACAGTAAAAGAAACTAAAAAAAAAAAACCTAAAAAAATCAGACTTAACCAAATAAAATCTAGAGACACTCTCAAATTAAAGGTTGGCGTATTTCATACATTGTTAATTCAGACCGGATATTTTTTGTCTTTTTTCGACCAAAAATCAAGGAAACTAAAAAAGTTCTGGATTTGGGGAAGACCTTTCTATGCAAATTTCCATATTCATGAGCAAAAGTAGTTTGTAAATTCAGGCAGAACCCTCAATTCGTTCTTTTCAAACTTCCGCCATGGGCATGCAGAGCCTCGATCTGGCAAATTTACACAATAGATCTAGCCGGTTCAGTGATTCCCGTGTCGGGGTTCAGATCACTGAACTCAGACTCCCCAAAAATTTCTTCACTGAGACTTTTGGAGCAGTTTGCCATGTTTGCCAGAATTTCACGAATTGACAGGCACTCATGTTGGTTTGAAATTTTTAACTTATAAATGGTGCATTTCAGGTTTTTTTTTCAATTTGTCATTTCTTCTTGTGGGCTGTTCTTTCAATAACACAATCAGCTCGACAACTGAAATTTTGAAGACTCGTCAATTAACTTTCATCCTTCAAGTTCTTAAGTGGGAAGTTGTCAATGTAGGTCAAGAGTTGAACTTGAAGATGTGCCAGCCGACCATGAAGAATCCTGCCTTGTAGTCCTACTCATAGATAGAAAATCTTGATTATGTTTGATCCGACTCCAGAGCCACAAATCTGAAAAAGAAAATGTAATAGGCCTACTCTGCAAAAAATGTTTGAGACATGTTAAAATAATAAAAGAAGAATATTCATATTTATTTGGGGATGAGAAAAAAAACTTTAAAATGTGGTGCGGTCGGAATCGAACGTGAGTCATCCCGCTTACTAGAGCCTTTGCTTAACCATTACACCAACCGTGCTACACAACTTTTGGTGGGAATTTAATACATCTTATAATTCAGCCCTATTTTCAAGAGTACAGCGCCCTCTGTTGATATGGATTGCCGCCGGCAAACCTTTAGTAATCGTTAGTTTGCCGTCATTACCTCCGGCAAAATATCCACTATCAAAAAAAAAATGGAATTACTTTTCTAATTCGCAGCACAGCCGGCCGTAATTAACATGTTGTGAAACAAGATTTTAATGACAACATTTAGGTAACTTGCACTTTTCCCCTTGATAAACAGACTGTTTCAACTTTACTTTCGGTTTTGAAGCTTACCTTAACACAAAACCTGAATTTAGAAAAGAACCAACAACTGAACGCTCAACACACTGACATATCTCAGTTTTATAAAATTTAGCACTGCACGTGCTTATCCGTCTTGTCTCATGGTGGCGCGCTTTTGAATCGTATTCTACGTATGCCAAGAGAGGACACAGCCCCAGCAAAATGGTAATTATAAAGTGGGTTTTTTCTTAACTTACGTAGCTAAGAAACATTTGAGTTGGAAGTGAAATGATCACAAAATATAGGCCTATAATTATATTTACGTAATTTGAATTTTTTTCTGTGTTATTGTATTCATTACCCGATGAACAATTTTGACAATGCACATTGTTTGGAGTTCCAAACCACAGCCGATATAGGCCACCGTACCGGATTAGCGAAATCAGCGAATGGCGGATTGATCGCTGGCGCTGTGCTTTCTTGCGATTTTATGTTTTGCTGAAGAAAAAGATACCAAGTTTTTGATTCAAGTAAGTTTTTATACATAATTAACTGACTGCAGAATTTCTTTAAATGTTAACTTTGACATCTATCGGTCAGTGCTTTGTTATTTTCAATTGCAAACGCATTTTTTTTTGTCCATTAAAAATTGCAACGCCAAATTTGCATTGACGTTCATGACGTTGTGCAAGATTTCCGGTCACTTTTTGGGCGATCGTGTATCTACGGGCCCGATTCCTAGTAAAGGGAACAAAATCCATTATTTGACCTACCAAACTAGTTGGCGACATTAAGAACATATGGTATGTCATAGATAAAGGGCAGGGTTTTAATTTTTTGAGAGAAGTTTGGGGATAAAATGGCACAATGACGACGACAGAAGTACAAAAATAAAGATGGCGACAACGTGCGATGTACCGTGAGCGTGCAAGGCGCGCTGAATCGGACGGCACCAACCATAAACCGTGACGCCGGAGGAATATCGTAATTTCTACTCAGCGCTTAAGAATCTGTTCAAAAATTACAAAAAGTTGTCATTAAAAAATTGTGAGAAGTCTGCTTTAGGTTGAAAACATAATTTTTGAATTATAAAAAACACTCTTGACTCTCATTTGATTGAAACAAAACAGGGGCCCTAACGTGAACGTTACACTACACGATCGCCACTTTTTTTTTCTGCATGTCCTGTCTCAAGTCAGCCATTCACGTCACAATGGCTATGCCCAGTCTTTCCACATGTTCAAATGGATATTTGGCCGGCACCGGCTTTATTTTAGTAAACTATATTAAGCCGGCAGATCGAACAGCGCCCTCTTTGACGCATATATGAGAAGGCCTACAAGTACAACTACAAATCACCATCATCGTTCAAGGAGCACGTGTGTCTGAGTGGATAGCGCAGTGCACGCGCACCTGACTCGTAAATTGACCATGTCAGATCCCAAGTTCGAGCCACTATCGCGCGATTAGCCTCCCTCCGAATTCCCCAGCCCCACCTCCAGTCCCACCTCCACCCCACCTAAAACTGCACCTGGTCATAAACACGAATTTGACAATTGAAGTATTCTTTTAAAATTGTAATGCTTTTTCTTCTTCACAGCTTTACCAAGCCCTCGTGTTTCTGATCGTGATCAACCAACATGGCGCGCGGCCAACAGAAGATCCAATCCCAGCAGAAGAACGCCGAGAAAATGGCCAAACTGAAGAAGGGGACCAGTCAAAAGGCTTCAGCCGCCAAGGCACTCACCTACACATGCACCGTCTGCAAAGTAAGGGCACCAGTTAAAATGGTCAAAATGCATCAGGAGATTATCTGCTGCAAGTACTTGAACTGAAAATTGACTACTCGCCCGGGATCACTGTCCCTTCTAACCACCTTCATCATCGTAATCATTTTATTAATCTTCTTCTAATGATACTAGTTTTTACTACTGTTCTAACTTTCAATCATAATGCTTCTAAATTTCACAGAGTCAAATGCCGGATCCCAAGACCTACAAGCAACACTTCGAGAGTAAGCACCCCAAGAGCCCCCTGCCTGCTGAACTGCAGACCGCCAGCGCGTGATGACAGGCATTCCTAGATACAACAGCAAAAGCAACAACAGTAAGTGTACTTACAGCTAGTGCATCAAACTTCCAAAACACAAGATGTGATCAGTGGGCCAGTGGACCCGCCCTGCCTGTTAATCAAACAGTGCGCATTGACCAATAAGATTACAGCTTTTGGTCAGGTGACCAAAGATGTGATCAGTGGGCCAATGGACCTGCCCTGCCTGTCAATCAAACAGTGCGCATTGACCAATGAGATCACAGCTTTTGGTCAGGTGACCAAATATGTGATCAGTAGGCCAATGGACCCGCCCTGCCTGTCAATCAAACAGTTCGCATTGACCAATGAGATCATGACTTTTGGTCAGGTGACCAAAGATGTGATCAGTGGGCCATTGGACCCGCCCTGCCTGTTAATCAAACAGTGCGCATTGACCAATGAGATCACAACTTTTGGTCAGGTGACCAAATATGTGATCAGTAGGCCAATGGACTCGCCCTGCCTGTCAATCAAACAGTGCCCATTGACCAATCAGATCACGGCTTTTTGGTCAGGTGACCAAAGATGTGATCAGTAGGCCAATGGACCCGCCCTGCCTGTCAGTCAGACAGTGTGCATTGACCAATGAGATCACGACTTTTGGTCAGGTGACCACAGAATCAACCAAAGGTGGGCGGGGCGCCCAGCCAAATTTGGAATGGTCCATGTTCCCAGTCCCCAAACTTGGGCCCATAATAACCCTCTTCCAAAATAAATTTAGATAAATTACATGTTATTTACTCCCCTCCTTTTTTTTTCTTTTACAGGTCTTCTGAGGTTCATCACATAACATCATGACACCAGGACGCCAGTGGCCAATGCCCCCTCGGCCTAACAGAGCATGACACCCCTGAATATACAATGGAATCTTCCATGGTACAGCCTTTATCATATCAGGTTTTCCCACAATTTTTGAGAAACTGTTTCTTCAATTTTACTTCTTTTGATCAGTTTGGCCAAGTCTTAAAAAAAACACAACTTCCTGAAACCTGAAAAATGAAAAGACTCCAATTCCACTTGTGATAGTGTAAATATTAATTAATCGGATTTCTTACTTACGGATGATTGTGTAGAAAATCAGTTTTCAGAATCTGCTATGAAAGTAGTTGCCTGTGTAGGTTTTTTTTTCTCTCTTGTTTTAAAGTATGCATCGTATTTATTTTGATTCATCATGTTTATTTCATTGTAGCATTCCATTGAAATGTATCTTTGGTATGAAGATTTAGTCAACAAAAAATGATACTGTAGAGAAGAAACATACACTTAGCTTATGTGACAAATTGTTTTTGCAGTGCCAAAACAGTTTGTCTCAAAAACTAAGGGTATTGAACACAAAGACAGGCATAACCCTTCGGGCATGTGTACTGAAGCGTAGTAAGAAATATATTGCTGTCAAGTTTTGGGGGATCCTTACTCCCATAATTACCTCAGAATTTTATAACAAAAATTCGCTTTTAATGCATTGATTATCCAGATAAGATACCTGTATTAAGTGTTCATTAGCCACTTTTATTTTTGGTTCTTAAACCCAACTTTCTACTTGGGAGACCTGTCCGTCAAAATCCATCACCGACTCTGCTTCACATAATGCTTCAGGACCAAATCCGTTGAAATCCACCACTGGTGCTGGTGGATTTTGATGGACTTGGTACATGTGGCTTTTCTGCTAATATCTCCCAAAATTGGAGGGGGGGGGGGGACGACAGATTTTGATGGAGTTGCTAAGGGTTAAAGGTCAGTTGTAAACCACCCTTGTTTTCCTTAACATCTTTTCCTCTTTTATCTTTTGTTTTGGTGGCATCCATTGACTTTTATTTTTTCCTCGCATTCTCTGAGAATTTAGCATATTTCAATTCTTTACATTTTTTTAATTCTGTCCTGCAGTTAATTTCTCCAAACAATTTCATGTTGGAACAAACTGTACTTTTGACTTTGTACATGTGTGGCTTTACGATAGAGAACAGACACACAAAGGAAAAACAAAAGATCCTTTCAGTCCTCGAGCGTTGGGTCTTTTGTTGGAAACTGTCCTTGATCCTAGAGTTATGTGCTTCGTCTATGGGAGAGTGTTATATTACAGGGACAAAGAGAAACACAAAGCATTGTCCTCAGGCGTATAGAAATTCACGACTGTATGTATGTATGTACATGTTTGAATGGATCGAAGAGAACACAATGCTTGTCAGTGTGTGTATTCTACAATGTAACAAGTTTTATAATATTATTCTATTGTTTTTGGTGCATTTTTATTTCAAGCACAGCGTAATTAAGATCGAGACGAAACTGCAAATCTGTTGACTTTTTCTTTGATGTAGTTACGTATTTTTTGGCTGGCCCCCAGGTTTAGTTTAGTGACGGATATATAACCATGATTGACCATGTTACATTATTTTACATTGGAAATAAAAGAACGTTTATATTAATTGCCTGGTTTGTTGAAGTTCCGTCTTCCCCCCCCCCCCCCCCCGAGTTTGAAATAATCAAAAATTGTTGACCAAATTGTTGTCAAACTTGTACAAAAAATAAGTATAATGCATTTTTATGTCTACTTAGGTTGTCCATCATCTAAAAAATAGGCCAATTAAAAAAAAAGGAATTTGGGTATTTAAGGTGCAACTTTTCAAATCAAGTCACGGAAAGTGTTCCATACCTGGGCATCACTTGACACCCTGTGTACAAACCCTATGTGACTGGTCAGAAAAATTCCAAGTGTTTTCTCAGTAAATGCTTTAATATTTTCCCTGCTAAATTCGACTTTTTAGAACATGTTTATCGCTTTCTGATGGCTAACAGGTCACTGCAGGGAAAAATAAGAGATGTCGACGCACAGAATTCTTCCCTAAGTGACTTCTAAGAACAAAATGACACGCTAACAACTACTCAGTTGCATTAGTTCTCAATGAATCTTCTCATTGGCATTTTATTCATTTCATGTTCTGGAATAAATTCCAATCTCAACACCAAGAAATTACAAACTTTGTAACGGGACAAACTGAAAATAAAAATTAAAAAAATATTTAACTTTTCTCAGTGCGAACTCTCAACATTTTTCAATTGAAACCACTTTTTGCTATACATGTATTTCTAAAAAAAAAAGTCACAAACTCATTACAGCTGCAATCAAAATTCACCTTTGATATTCAAATCAAAATATTTCAATTTACTGGAATTTTCTTGGGGAATTTCCAACATAGATATACATTGTAGTTGTAGTTTGAACAAGTGATATTAGTCTGAGAATACTTTACTCTGTTTGTGGATTAATATTATTCTTTGAAATTTTTTTTTTAATGACGCCAATTATTGAAAAGACATTAACTGGTGGAAACAGTAAAAGAAACTAAAAAAAAACAACCTAAAAAAATCAGACTTAACCAAATAAAATCTAGAGACACTCTCAAATTAAAGGTTGGCGTATTTCATACATTGTTAATTCAGACCGGATATCTTTTGTCTTTTTTCGACCAAAAATCAAGGAAACTAAAAAAGTTCTGGATTTGGGGAAGACCTTTCTATGCAAATTTCTATATTCATGAGCAAAAGTAGTTTGTAAATTCAGGCAGAACCCTCAATTCGTTCTTTTCACACTTCCGCCATGGGCATGCAGAGCCTTGATCTGGCAACTTTACACAATAAATACAGTCGGTTCAGTGATTCCCGTGTCGGGGTTCAGATCACTGAGCCGGCTATTTTTATTGTGTAAAGTTGCCAGATCGAGGCCCTTCATGCCCAATGGCAGAGTGTGTGAAAAGAGCGAATGTTACAGTTATTTCATCATCAAAAGTTGCCAGAATTTTGGATATTTTGCCGTCATACATTTTCTGTTCTTTGGGGATTCGTTGTTGTAACAGTGCAAACTATTCTCACAGATGTTTTCAGCAAACTTTTAGGTTCACAATTTGAACAGAAAACCCCTAAACTGAACAGTGTCTTCCTGAAATGACATCACAGCAATAGTGCCTTCAGTTGTCCAGAAAAGTATGGAAAATCTGAAGTCCTTACAGAAGTGCACTTTTCAGTAAAATTAACCCAAAAGGGGTGTCAAATAGTTTCATACATTTAAGAGTGGAAAGTTGCACAAAAGGTATTCCTAAGAAAAGAAAAATATAATTTCATGGACCCTTTCATGCAAGAAATAAATAATCACAGATTTTCCAGCTGAAATTCTGTCAGCATTTTTGGCTAGAAACCTTCCTCAATCCTACAAAATCCTTCAAGATCTCCTAATGCATTGAGAAAGTTGTGGAAGAATTAAGGTAATTGACTGGTTTTTGAGCAGTTTAAACAGGATTAGAATTTTTTTTTTTCAATTTAGGTTCACATTTCAGACTTGAACGACAATTTTTTGTTCAATGATGCAAGAAGATTTGAACCAATAATTATTTGAGGCTGTAGTGCTGTCGCAGTTTCTCGATGTCTGACTCTACATACGCTTCACTCTTCCTAGACCCCAACTTCTTCAGTGAGTTCCGCAGACCTAGAGCACAAAAACAAAAAACAGAATTTTGTTTAAATGGTGCTCTATGATCTTCGGCTGTTGACAAGCTTGATGTCAATTTTTTGACAAGCTTGGTGTCAATGTTTTGACATGCTTGAGGTTAATTTTTTTAACATGCTTGATGTCAATTTTTTGACATGCTTGATGTCAATTTTTTGACATGCTTGATGTCAACTTTTTGACATGCTTGATGTCAACTTTTTGACATGCTTGATGTCAATCTTTTGACATGCTTGATGTCAACTTTTTGACATGCTTGATGTCAACTTTTTGACATGCTTGATGTCAACTTTTTGACATGCTTGATGTCAATCTTTTGACATGCTTGATACCATGCTTGATGTCAATTTTTTGACATGCTTGATGTCAATCTTTTGACATGCTTGATGTCAATTTTGCCAGAGTGAAAACTTTATTGTAACCTTAACTGAACACACTCTTCTCAATGTACAGACTAAGTCGGCAACAGCCATAATCTGAGGTGGCACCAGGCTTGCATAAGTTGCGCTCAGGTAGTATACACGCAAGTAATCTCTTCTTGGAAGAAATGTGATTTTAATAGGCCATCAGCCTGGGAGTTGGTCGGTATCAAATCAGGGCATAAATGATTATAGTGCTCATGCGCAAGTTATACCGCCCCTAGAGTGGTAACAAGCATTTTGATGGACATTTTGAAAAAAAGGGTGATAACACCCAAAAAGCTGCCACCGCTGCAATGCTATCACATATTTTCCAATTCTGGAGGTGCCTTGCCAAAAATCGCTATAAGCATCATTCCCCTCATTTGATACCAGTGGCCAAAATTTTGGACCGAGGCTGATGGCCTATAAAAAGAACCGGTTGGTTGAGTGTAGAACTCAACGTTTCGGACGGTGTGCTCTGTCCTCCTGAGTGTGATGCACATGACAACTCCACCACATACCCAGAGTATTTTCTTAAAAAATAAAAACATGAAAAACTTACGTTTCTTATCGCTAGTCGATAGGAACATGACGACAGCCTTAAACCTCTCCACCTTGGGTAGATTAGCCAGCAAGCCATAGCTCAGATCCCCATCTGCAAAAAACAAAAACAAAATTGATTTAAATATAATATTATCACATAAATCTTCCAAAAAGAGGAGCACTTTTACCCTACAACAGCAAAATCGCAATGCAATTGGGGGATTCTTACTCCACTATGCTACCTACCCTTTGAAAGCAACTTTTCGGACTCCGACTTGAGTCCAGGTCTTTTTGCAAGATTTTGGACATTTCAATATAATTTTTTATCATAGTGTTCAGACTACGATAAATTGAAAACCCATTTTTTTTTAAAGCATTCTAGATCACAACTTCTAGTTTAAGGTAATTCCAACTGAACCAGGTCCATATTACTTATCAGTATACTTCTTGGACTTTCAGAAGAAAACCTGACTATAAAAAAAATTGGTTTACATATAACTTACCAGACTCTACGAGATGTTCACAAACAGCCTTGACGATATTGACAACCATGTCTCCATCGAGTTTGTTGGTCAAAACTACAGATTAAAGAACAGAAATGTAAGGTTTAAAGCATGTAAATTAATAGTGGCAAATAATGCCCAACTTTCTCACTCCTACAAAATCTACCAAACCCTTCAAGCCGGTGAATTGGCTTGGATCTGGGAGGGCTAGGGCTCAATACTCATACCTTCTGGTAGTTCCTCTGGTGAGATCTGTTTGAGTAACTCCGCATAGGCGAGCATGCTTCGTTGACGCTTCAGAGACGTCCAAGCTTGAAGGAACTCATAGGCTGTAACCTTGAACCAAATTAAAACAAAAATTAACAAAGTTTTTTTTTCAAAGCAAAGGATGTAGATGATTTTAGTTTTTTAACTTAATTGACAACACCTCTCTTAGGCCAAAAAAAAAAAGTCTCCGGTTTCTGGTATGGAGCTTGTCCAAAAAGTGGTGCGGCGACGCGGCTTTTTTTTTTTTTTTTTTTTTTACCCGACTTTTTTGCTTCAAATGTCAGCTGATGACTGCAAATGGTGCTCGACTAAACTTAGTGCAAATATATGGGAGTCCAGAGAGGCCACATAAAGCTTATTCTCGATCATAACCCCATCTAAAAACACGTTGAAATTGCGCAGCAGCAGAATTCCAGTCAAACCAATGAGTTTGGCGGTTTTGAGACATCATCTTTCATTAAAAAAAAACTTTTTCATTTTGCCGACGCGCATGGCTACGGCGACGCGCGCGCATACCAGAAACCGGAGACTTTTTTTTTTTGGCCTTAATGAACTATTTTTTTTTCAAATGAACGACACAGTGATGAATTAAGTTTGATATCATAATTATACAATAGACCATTTATCATCTTGAAGGTATGTGTTTTTGTTCTACAGGGATACGCATGACTACACCTATTATGCATTCATTGTTATTGAATTTTACTATTATTTCAGTAATCTCCAATTCAAATTGTAGGCTGATCAAATTTTCATTACACACTAGAAATTAAATTTAAAGCACACAAAATCAATGTAAACATCTGTGAGACGTAAACTTCAACCTGAGGATTTGCCCTTGAAAACAATGAAGGCATTGCTCAAAGCAAAAGTAACAAAATTGATCCATTTTTGTTCTGTCATTTACTCATGAACAAGCTCAATCGGATCTCGGAAGCTGCAGGCCAATGAATTCGCATTGCCATGCACGAGTCACGTTATTGTGCCATGGAATTTCTGGAAGGAGAAGTGTTTTGAGTTTAAAAAAATCAGGTTTTTGACCCCATGCACTGACCCCATGATGACCTTTGACCCTGGTTTGGTCATGTGACATGTTGGGGCTGGGCTACTGATACTTTTGACAAAGTTTGGTTAAATCAGTCAAAGTATTTTGGAGCAATAGACAATGTCAAAGTTTGTTACGAACTAATTAATAACTAACAGAGAGACATGATGATCTGTTGAGCTGCTACCAGCAGCTAAAAATTCAATCTGCAATCAGACTGAAAACATACTTCCAGTAACGTACTGTTTAAGTGCAAGGCCACCATGCCATTAACACCAAGATAAATTGGTTCACTCTGATGAGGTTTCTGCTAATGTCTTTCTGTTAAATGCTGATGGACATTTTTTTTTGTACTGACTTTTTTCTTTATACTTCAAATAAGTGAAGAAACACATAATGTTTTTCCAGAGCATGGTTGTCACTGCCATTAAAGAAACAAAATCAATATTTTTTTTATTGTTCACTCATAATTGAGCTTTCTGTTCATGATTTTCTGCAAGACACTGAAGGGCATTCATTGGTAGCGTGTGTGAATTACATCTGCTTTCTGAGTTCCTTACTTCAATACTGGAGAAACACAAAATGCTTTTGACGTGCATTGTTGCTACTGCCATCAAACAAACAAAATCAATATTTTTTTTATTGTTTACTCATAATTGAGCTTTGTTCAAGACACTGAAGGACATTCATTGGTAGTGTGTGTGCACTACATCTGCTTTCTCAGCTCATTACTCCAAGTTACTGGAGAAACACAAAATGTTTTTGCAGTGCCGAGCGGGTGCTGCCATTAAAAACAAAAATCAACAAATTGTTTATTCTTGTTTAAGGCCAAAAAAAAACTCTCCGGTTTCTGGTCTGCATGCGCGTTGGCAAAATTAAAAAGTTTTTTTTTTCAATGAAAGATGATGTCTCAAAACCGCCAAACTCACTGGTTTGACTGGAATCCTGCTGCTGCACAATTTTAACGTGTTTTTAGATGGGGTTACGATCTTATAAGCTTTATGTGGCCTCTCAAGGTTTTTTTTTTTTTTTGGCCTACGCTTTTTGTTAATGGGTCTCTGCTAAACCATAAAAGTCATTTCTGGAGAGCGTGTGTGAATTCCATTCACAGTTTATTAATTCAAGTAAACGGCGAAGTTCGAATGATTGCACGATGCAGGGCCCTTAATAGAAAAAAAAAATCAATACATCGTTTGTCATTTGGAAGTGAGCTAGCTGTCTGTGAAATTATCTCCTGCTCAGTGATCAAGGGCATGTGTGTGCATAGTGAATGGCTTTCTTTTAATTAACAAGAGCAGCATATTCAATTTATAATTGATGTTCTCCATCAGACTGTGAACAGATATGGACAAATTTTGTTTACTGCCACTACGCCGATCTGCAATTAACATTTAGCCAACGGCTCACAGTATTTGGTCTTTTCTTTAGACTATCTCTTTACTTGGTGGCAATTTTGATGTGTAATTGCGGGAGGTGGCTAAATGTTCATACTCGCAACTCAGAAGCTACAACGTGCTGGAGCCAAAGGCAAGTAAAGACGCCTTATAAAGACTGCCGTGATATGACCCATGTCTGACCACTGAAAACAGCCAGAGAACGAAAGTGTTGAATTCTGCGGGAGAGGATAACTCGAGAGCCCAGACAGAAACCCTTGTGGCACAGGAGAGAATCAACTGTTTAACTGAAGACAGATGCAGCTGTTTAGAATTTCAAATGAATCTCAAATAACCGACTCTCGAATGACGTGCATTTCAGCACGGGAACCCCTACAAACACCAACATGATTAAAGTCTATTTTGACAGAAGATAACCGATATTTCAGACTGAATTAAAAACAATAATCCCTCGTTTTAAAAATGGTTTTGCTTCAGCTGTTTCTGATCTTTGCGATGTTGGAATTAAGTTCAGCAGGCCGCATGGACATGGCTCAAACACGTATATCCAGCACCTGCCCTCCACCTTGGTTGGCCTTTCGGAACCACTGCTACTTGTACGTGATGCAACCAACACCATTCATGGATGCTGAGCACTACTGCCAAACTCTCTCCAACCCTGGAAGATCGGCCCACCTCGTGTCCATATCTGACCGCATGGAAAGTAACTTTGTGTTTCAGTATGCAAAGGCAGTGAGCAGCGAGATATTCTGGATCGGATACAATGACATTGTTCTTGAAGGCAACTTCATTTGGACAGACAGAAATCCTGGGCACTTTGATAACTGGCTATCAGGAGAACCAAATAACTTTGGGGGAGTTCAAGACTGCGGTTTTATGTACCCAACTGAGGGAAGAAGTTGGGATGACAAGGAATGTGCCGTTCCCTTCAACTTCATGTGTAAAATGGTGGTTGTGTAACCAAGGCACGAACCTTAGATGGCGCTTTGTGAATACTTTCGAAAGCCCCATTGTTTCCCTTCTTTTGTTCTCTTTTGTTCCTATTGAAATCTCGAACTCCATAGCATTTCCCTTATGGGGCAGATTGATTCCTAAAGACTTCCTTATGGGATCAATTGTTCCATTGTGTTTTCTCCCCCATAAGGAACCATGTACATGTATGTACTGGTTGGCACACATATGGCCCAAAATAGGCATGACTTATTTAAATTCTGAATGCGTACATCGGTTAAGGGCAAAACCAACTATTCAAATGTCGGCAAACGTTTGTTTCGACTTGAACCACCAAAAATAGTAATGAAATTGTCCACAAGGGAGATGAAGAAAAATGTTTTTGGGTTCTGCAATTATTGGTTAAATATGAGTACTGAACTCTGGATGAAAATTTACCTCTGGGGTGAACTGGGGAAATACACAATACACATGTAGTGCGGTTATGTCGCTGTATTAAAATCAATACATGCATTGTTCAAACAGGCTTTCTGTTTAGGGCTGTCTATTTTCGAATAATTTACTATTTGATTAATCGAAACTGCACTTGACCAAATATTCGAATATTCGAAACTCGCCGATCAAGTTTTACACAGTATGCCAGCTGCAGGTCAAAAGTTGCATACAAAGCGCGTCAGTTAGATTTGCATGCAGTGATGGATATTGGCTCCGTGCACAAGTACTCCTTCAACGGCCAGAAAAGGAGAGTTGGGGGAGACCTAGACTGGTTCCCGGTCCATCCACTGCGTATTTCGAATGATCCAAAGTTATTGGGGGCTGGGATTAGACTGGGAGACAATCGCAAGTTAAATTCTAACACTCATGTGAAGCCGCTGTGCCTAATAGCTTTGGCACATCCAGGAAGTCGTGCATACTTCTTGCACAAAACCTGTACCGTACAGTACACGCACGCTGTGTGCCCCATCCACTATGCTCTCAAAAGTGGTAAAAACGCGCCCTCTTTGTTGGTGCAGGGAGCCCATTATGGGCCGCTGGAGTGTTTTACAGTATTAAAATACTGTATAACTGACCAGAGATTTACCCATCAGCTGAAAGAATGGGACCAAAAGTGGCATTTGACAATTAAAAAAAGCGCAACTTTACGATGGAAATAACATTACAGCAGTGTTGTACTTAATGTGTGTATGTTCTTTCTCTTTTTTGAATATTCAAACAGGCAAAAACTATTCAAATATTCAGTTGATGATCGTATATTCGAATATTCGGTATATTCGTGACAACCCTATTTCTGCTGATGATTTTCTGCTAAACGGTGAAGGGCATTTCTGGGGAGAGCGTTTGTGAACGTTATTGGCTCTCTCTGTTTATTACTTCAAGTAACTGGAGAAACACAAAATAGTCATGCAGTACCGAGTAGTTGCTTCCATCCCAAACAAAAATCAATGTTTTGTTCATTCTTCACTGAACTCTTTGAATGGGTTTCCGAGTTACAGTCGATGAGAAACTAGTGTGACGCACAAGTGTGTCTCCTGAAGTAATTAATTTGAGCAGCATTTTTAATATATTTCTCCGTCAAGGTGTCAGTCGATGTGGACAATTTTGTTACTGCCAGTAGGCCCACTTGCAAATACCGGTACAATGCATGTACTCACACAGCTTACCAAAAAACTGCGTTATTCTCAAGAGCAGGTTTCAACTAGGAGTACGGTGGCACTTTTCATGTGAATACCTTTAAAGTACCTGAACGGTGTTCAATTTGTCAGTCCTTATGTGAATTGCTACAAATGTAATTTACATGAAATGCTGGATTACACTAGAGGCCCAGTTAATGGAGAATGAAATTGCAGACTGTGCATGCTGTTGGGAGTTGAATGAACACATTTGTTAGGAAGAAAACTAAGTGTCAAGAATTCAACGAGAATTTCAGACTGAACCAACAAACAATCCATTGTTGGAAAAAAAATGCTTTTGCTTCAGCTGACTCTGATCTTCGCGGTGTTGGAATTAAGTTCAGCAGGCTGCATGGACATGGCTCGCACACGTATGTCCAGCAAATGTCCTCCACCTTGGTTGGCCTTTAGGAATCACTGCTACCTGTACGTGATGCAACCAACACCATTCATGGATGCTGAGCGCTACTGCCAAAATCTCTCCAACCCTGGAAGATCGGCCCACCTCGTGTCTATATCTGACCGCACAGAAAGTGACTTTGTGTTTCAGTATGCAAAGGCAGTGAGCAGCGAGTTTGTCTGGATCGGATACAGTGACAGAGTACTCGAAAACAAGTTCGTTTGGACAGACAGAAGTTCTGGGAACTTTGATAACTGGATACCAGGAGAACCAAATGACTGGGGAGGAGGTCAAGACTGTGCATTTGTGGATCCAGCTGAGGGGGGCCGTTGGGATGACAAAGAATGTGGCAATTCTTACAACTTCATGTGTAAAATGGTGGTTGTGTAACCAAGACTTGGTTTGGACCGATGGATATCGTGTTGGATTCAATGGTTGAAATAGCGGGAACCTAATAATTTTGGTGGTAATCTGGACTGCGCTTTTTAAAGCGGGGAAAAGAAGGCATGGGATGATCTACAGTGCCGTTCGCACTTTAATTTCATGTGCGAAATGGCAAAAATATTAAATATCAAATAAGACTTCACCAGACTGATTTCTCCAACATGCAGAAAGAACTGTTGGCAGACTTTGCTTGGAAAAAAAGTGTGTTGGAGACCAAAAAATCCTTCAAGAGCATCTGTAGATGCACAGATATTTCAGGACGTGGTTCTACTCGAGAGACTTTTTGAGACAGGCGTCTATTGTAAAAGTACATGAACCAATAATTTGCGAGTTAATAAAGTCAATGTAACGAGACAAGGAAAGCTTATCAAGGCTGGTCCCAGAGCACACAAAAATTCTATTCAATTGATTTAGAATGGCTATTCACTGGAATTCTTTACATGTATGTAGTTTAAATGAGGGGTGGATTTAGCCCATTCAGTGGTGTTACAGGTTAATCCTATACAATAGCACTGCCCGGCTTGCAGGTGACAGTCAGTCAGTGACATAGGTAAAAAGAAGGCAAAAGCTTGCCCTCTGGGACCAGCACAAAATCTTTGCTGCGCTTGAGTAAAACATGATGATGTACATGTACAAGAGCCACTTTGGCTCAACAGAAGAGCAATCACTACATTTGAGCTAAATCCTTTTAGGACCCAATGTAGATAAAAATATGAAAATGTTTCATAATTGGAGACATTATTACAGCGTTTGTAGAATTTCTGATCAACTTAAATGGAGAAAAATGTGGTGTGGATACTCTATGAGATGTCTTGTAGGTAGATAATACTGTATTGGTAAACTGTGGTAAATCATTACATTTATTGTACTAAATCAATTTAGGACCCAATGTAGATAAAAAAAAAAAGATCAAAATGTTTCTTCTTTCAAGCAATGATTTCAGCGTTTGTTGAATTTCTGATCAATTTTTATGGACACAAGTGTGGTGTGGATACTTCTGAATATGAAATGTCATGAAAGTAGATAAAACTTTATCTTCAAGTAAACTTGAATCCTCGATCCTGATTGGCTGATCCATGGCAACAAACCGTCCTACATAAAACCATGTAGCACGGCCACGTTCCATACCGCACTCCACGTATTGTGCTATTCCAAGATGCACGCGCCATTCTGTACAAACATGCACGTGTAATAGGATAACCGCTGAAAGGTTTGTGAACTGCAAGCTATTCAATCTGTTGAAGTGCGTCAAGTTTGCTTGAAGATAAATTCGTTAACACGCTCGCGCTCGTGGAACACGGAAAATGTAGTGCGACTGTGCCCCACATACAACTCGGTCTTCGGCCTCCTGGTATGTGGGACACAGACGCACTACATTATTCCGTGTTCCACTCACGCTCGCGGGATAACTAATAGTGTCAGTTAACTGTGGTAGTGAGTTTATTTTATAATTAACCCTCCTAGTGAGACGTCAATATTATTCATGGAAACCCTTTAAAACCCTGCACGTCAGTTTCAAGTGCAGGGATATGAAGTACATGTTACTGTGTCACACAGAGAGTCACTGCACACACACAAAACACCAGACCGAATCTGCCTGCTTGCCCTGAGCTGAACCACACAAAAGAATTGTGCCGGGATTTGAAGTGTTATCCATACTCCACTGAAAACACCTCGAACGAACTTGAAGTGTGAGTGCCGAAAGTGGTTTTGCGAAACTTGACGGGTTGTGAAGTGCAGAAGACTAGGAGGGTTAATTCATGAATTTATTATTTGGAAAAACAATTTGTGGTTGAATGTAAAAACAATTTGTGGTTCATTTGAAAAATTGTAAAAAAAAAGATTGGATTTCTTTAAAATTGTCTGTTGTGTATATATGTGAGAGGCGCTCTGGCAAAAAAGAGATGAAACTAGGAACAAGCTGTTGTGGAGAAAAATGCAAAAAAAATATGCTGAATGATTTATTTCGAATTTCAGATTTATTGATATTTGTAATAGTTGACATGTCTACTACACATAGTTTAAAGAAATAGTACAAAAATTGTGGAATAAAAGTTTCCTTTAGGAAAAACAATTGGCATCTTTTATTTCCACAACTACAAAACAGTCGAACTTTAAAAGCCTTTTTCACAGTATTTAGATTTTGACATGTCGATAACTGCCAACTCTAAACAGCCATAACTTGTCAACGGAATGTCTGATTGAAGTACAACAAACAGTTTTGTAAGGAAAATTTGTTCTATATTACAACACCAGCAAACCCTCATTTCGACCTCTGCCCAGTTCTGTCTCATTTTTGCCAGAATACGTCACATATCCTCAAAGCCGTTTGAAACCTCATGGGTAGCGTACGATGTGTACAATTACAAAATGTCATATATATGAAACATGCAATTACTTCAACCACTGGGGCGAATCTAATTGACCAGACGACAACAGGAAATGATCCAGGAGCGTTTCCGGTGGGTTTCCGCGGCAACGCATCATTGATGAAATTTTGAGTGGTTGGTAATTACAAATAGAAGCAGCTCATATTGATTAATTTAAGAGAAAAACACAAATTTTTTCAGGGGGCGGGGGGGCACTGAAGGTTTTTGTGATATGTAAGATTTTAAATGTGGGAAAGAGGAGTCCTTTACATGTAGATGAAACAATATTGCTGCGTGACAATGTTATACTGCCAGAAACGAAGGACAGGGAATATCGATCGCACAGTGCTTGCATGCATGGGAGCACGTGACATTGAATTACCCGGGCTTTGTTCAGGCACTGTACAGTCGATAGGGACCAATTATGGGCATGATGTGTGTTTGTGTTTGCCCTTAGCAATTTCTCCTCGCAACATTGAATTACCTGCGCTTTGTTCAGGCACTGTGCAGTCGATAGTGGCAAATTACGGGCATGTGTGTTTGCGCTAAGCAAGTTCTCCTCGCGTAGTTTTTAAATTTGCAAATTTTTAAACTGCATCATTTTTCATAAACCATTACCAATCTTGGACGATTTACAGTCTTTTGTAGCAAAAGGGTACCACAATGTAGCTAACAACATTCCCCAAAGGTCTATATAAATGACATCATCATAAGATGATCAGATTCAAAATTATGACCCCTGCAATGAACGTGGACTTTCTTTTTTTGTGGTGTTTAGTCTAAACAAAAGGTGGTGATGAGTCAATGGTGCAGTGTAACAAAAATTTGAGATCTTGGAAAAAGTAGTTTCATTCCAACGCCTAAGTGTGAATGCAATTGTTTTCTCATAGATTACATTGCTCGTTTGCTTTTACAATGCTTTTAGCTATTTGAAGTAGTTCTAATAAAAAATTCACTGTATGTTTACGTTTGTTGTTAATAATATTTCTGCTTTCGCCCGTAGCCATAATTTTCTCAAGTGCTTTTGCCAACAGAAAAGAGCGACACATACCTTGGTCAGCTTTGGCACAGTGACTTTGTCGTCCTCTCCCCCTGGGGTCTTGCCACCCTTCTGGCTCCCTGTGTCTTTGGGGGTCTTGCTGCCCTTCTTGTCCTTTGCGGGTGGTTTCTCGGTGGGTTTAGGGCTGGCCTTTTTAACATCATTCTGATAAAAACAATTCATACAACCAATGAAAATCTATGTCGGCCATTTTCTAATTTCAACTCAGTCACATGATTTTGGTGACCAGGTTTTCTGCAAATTTACCGTACAATTTTTCTGAAATCATTGCAGCCCTTTACTTTTCCATACCCAGCATTTGAGTTTTGTAGATTAATGTCTTGACATTTTGAAACAAACTTCATAAAACTTGGACAAAGCATTTTTGCAAAATGTCAAATTTTCATAACATACTTCAAAACTGGTTTGTCCCTCATTTTCTGTGTATGGAAAGACACACTCATTCGTGGACAGACACGTGGTATAATATTTAGGATCATAATTATACAGTCGATCACCTTTATAACAAGGTCCTTGTTAGATTTCATTAGTTGCTACACCTTCTTTTGTCTTTTAAATCAGCTTGGCCGAACATTCAAGCACACGAATACATCGAATGCAATGCTTACTATGTGGGTAATTGATTAATTGATAATTTACAAATGATAATTTACAAATTATCTTGTTATAACAGATATCTTGTATTAACAGTAATGGAAAACAAAGAATTTGGACCTAAATTGTGCTTGCTATAAGCAGGATGTTGTATTAACAGTGCTCTTATCAGGGTTCGACTGTAGATGCTTTGTCTTATTGAACTTGAACTGTTGACAATGTATTAAGCACAAATGTTTCTTCGAGGCTACTAAATTTAAAAAAAAATATATCAAATGCAGTTAAAGGTCAGGTCTATTTAAAAGAAATCTAACCTCATCTTCACTGTTTCCTTCCACTTCCTGGATCTGCATCCGTTTGCCCTTCTTTTTCTTCTTCTGGGCCGGTTTGACCTCCGCTGGTTTGACCTCTGAGGATTTGACCTCTGAGGTTTTGACCTCGGCGGATTTGCCCTTTGCTGGTTTCATCTCTGCAGGTTTAACGTCAGCTGGTTTGGCCTCCGAGGATTTGACCTCTGCCGGTTTGACCTCAGAGATTTTGCCCTTAGCTGGTTTGACCTCTGCGGGCTTGACCTCGGCCGAGTTGACCTCTGGCTTGACCTTGTCCTCTGACTTCTGTTGAGCTGGCGGTGGTTGGGTGGTTTGCTTCGGCTTCTCAGTAGTTTTCTGCTGGTTATCTTTTAGCTCCTAGATAATGGCGACCAAATATGAACATTTATTTTTTCTTACATGACATGTTTTATGTAAGGCCAATTAAAACAAAAACTGTTTCAAATTCATGGGTGTAAAACACTAACTTACCTGCCGCCACAGCTCTTTGACTAAATCCAACTCTTTCTTCGCCGAGGCGTTGTGGGGCTCAATCTTGAGCAAGGTCATCAGGTCGCGAATGCCATCGCTGTACTTGTGCAGCATCTGAAATTTGAAAAAAAAAATGAAGGGAGTTTTAAGAGGGATTCACGGCATGACAAATGTGAAGAACAGCATATAAGGTCTGGATTGTTCAGTTGGTAGTGCAATGGTTCGGCATTTCAATGGTCACAGGTTCCATTCCCACTCTTAATTAACAAGGATTTCGGGATAATATCTATTTTTACCTTTCTAGCCAGAGCTCTCCTATACAAGGCCTTGATGCTCCCATCGTCCAGTTCCAATGCTTGAGTACAGTCAGCCTCTGCTTCATTGCCCTGCCATAAATAAATTCATTTTTATAAAAATTAGTTCTTATTCAAAGGTTTCATGTCAATACAACTTGAGAACAATATTAAATTTACATCACCATGAGTCAAAACAAGGTTATCAGCGGATCGCACGTGTCGATCCCTATATGTTTTGTGTTCTTAAAAAAAGTCAAATTTTTTGAATTTTTTTACGACCTCAAACCCCTGGATGACCTTTGACCTCCAATTTTTGAAGACTTGTTATGAACCCCCATCCAAGGATCACTCCATCCAAGTATCATTCAAATCCATCACATTCTATAGACAAAGCAACATTTGAAGCATATTTGAGCAATGACCACTAATGACCTCTAATGACCTATACATGACCTTTGACCTCAGTAATCCGATGACAAATTGTGTCTTCCCACCCAAGGGTCACTGCATCCAAGTTTCATCAAAATCCAAGAAAGCATGTAGAAGTTATACATTGTTTTCAAAAACTTCACCTCAACTTTAACATACATACGGGGATATGGCCATCCGCGCAGATGGGAGTTCGGGGGTACTTGCATTGTTCTCCCGTTAACGATCTCCTTTAGAATTTTAAACAGAACACCCTATTTGCAAAATAAAACAAAAGTACCTTGAGTAGTTTGATGAAGCACAGTGCCCTGTTAGTGTAGCTCACAAGTTGCTTGGGATCCAACGCGATACAGGCTGTGTAGAACTCCGCTGCCTTCTCATAGTTCCCCTGTACAAATAACCACTTCAATATCATACCTTGTGCAGATTTCTAAAGACACAAACATTTTAGTCTAGAAATGTTTTCCTGATTTAGCCGGTCCAAATCCCTTGTAAGCGCTATCAACAATTTAGAGACGGTAAAGGGTGCTATTGAGAAGATGTTCCAAATCAAGTCTTAGGAATATTGGCACTGCGACCCATGAAATCTTGGGCATACCTCACGTGGGCTGTATTCGAGCTACTGCTTACCCGTGAGGTTTGCTTGGAACTTTGTGGTTCGCAGTGCCAAAGTTCCCAGGGCTGGATTTGTGTTGTTGACAGCGCCCTCTAGTGCTACCGCAGCTTGATAATATACTGCCCCTGCAAGGGATCAGGACAGTCTGCATTACAACAAAAAACAACTACAGACTTGAACAAAGACTACCCACCTGCTGAACCAGCGTGTTTCCTTTCGTCTTCAACTTCAGGAAGTTGTCCTCCACGCTCAGCTTGGGATCAGTCATTGCCACGGGGTCAGCTTGACCCTTGACCTCCGACTCGGCTTTGGCCTTTTCCGATGACCCCTTGCTTGCATTCGCATTGGGTACCGGAGCCGTGTCGGGTTGGTCCTGGGCGCTGGGTTTCGGCTCGACCTTTTGACCTTGGACATCTTGACCTTTGACCTGGCTGGTTGCCATGGACGGCTGGTTGGTTACACTGGTGGTGGAGGTGACGCTGGGAACCGGTGCGTTGCTAGGGGCCATGGTGGTCAGGGAAGGGGGTGGGAGGGGCAAGCCAAGCGGGGAGGGGGTGGAGGGGAGTTTCTCACGCCATTTTGGTCCGTCCTGCTCCGACAGGATTTTCATCACTCTGAAAAAAAGAGTATAGACCAGTCACAATTCAAATCAATTAAACTATCAGATGCATTACAAATTTTGTCCATAGCTGTATCATACATACATTGAGGCTATATGGCAAATATGTGTGGCTGATTTTGGAGGATGCACAGTGTCAAGGTCTTGGGCCGGACCTTGTGTTGTTTATGATCAGCTGTACATAAACTTAGGCCTATATTATACTTGAAATCCTCCGCACTGCTCCAAGATGTCACTGGCTCTGCCTCAACATACCGACAGTGACTGATGAAGGATTTTGCAGGATTGAGGCAGTGGTCACCTCTCCAAGGACCACATTAAAGAAATAACGGAGCATTTTGCAGGATTGAGGGTGTATGCAATTTTTACATGGAGGCAGTTGGAGGATTTTGCAGGATTGAGGTTGCATCCTAGCAAAAATGCCTAGGAAGTTTCAAAAATGCCTAGGATATTCCACTTGGGAGGCAAAAAAAAACTAAGGTATCCAGAACAATATAATGCATTTCGAGACACTTTTTTACACATTATTTACAATTCATTAATATTTACAATTAATGCATATTAATGAGCACATGATCTAATTTGATTGGTCAATGTTGCGTGTGGGAGGTGAAAAAACATTGGGGTGCAGAACAAGATCATGCATTTTGAGAAGATTTTTTATTTCAATAAATTGTGCAAAGCATTTAAAGGGAATATACATCATTTGCTTTTACTGTAAGTTTCAGAAATGGATGGAATTGGGGGATTGGAAATATATAGCAAATTTAGTTACACTGACTTTTTTGAGGTTTTGGGTTCGAAAATGCTATAAAAACCAAGAAAAACAATCATTTTCCTGTAGTCTGGTTCCCTGACTCCATAAAAGAAGAAACAGAGCAGTTTACATACATTGGGGAATTGTAAGGTCAGGGAACCAGTCTAGCTGGCTCGTACCCGTTCATAGGTTTGTAATCGATTGCAAACAAGTGCGATGGTCAATTGGGGCCAGTATTTGAAAAAAAGCCAGTTGTTTCTAACGCTGATCGGCCGATCAGCGTTGGAAATTGATACAAAAATACCACTTTTCTTGAAAATGACAGTATACCAGGTGCCATGATTTTACAGGATGCTTTACACTGTCATTCACTAACAGTCCAGCAAGGTATTTCAAAATGATTTGGTAGTTTTATTTTTTGATGTTTGCAAATGTTGTATTTTCCCTTTAAAGTAATATTGGATTACCTTGCTGCTCCACTCTGTGCCAATTGGTTCGCAGCGTCCACCTTCATGGCAGTTTGGTAGTCAACGTAGGCGTGACGATACCTATCAAAAACAAACAATCAATCAATCAATCAATCACGAACACATTTATTTCCTCTTGACCCTAACCCTCCAGGGTATGTTTGCCAGAACCCCGCCAAACGTAGCAGCATGTAACACTTGACTAAGTGGAGAACCTACCCAGTGAACCAAATGCATCGGGCCAAAAGTCTCAAGGCCAAACTACCTAGAGCCCGATCTATACTCGGCGCGAAAGTGAATTTGTGACGTCATGGCAAGTATTCGCGCTGCGAATTCGTAAACATACTTCAACTCGGGCGAATTTCGCAGCGAATGTTTCATGACGTCAAATTCGCTTTGCATTCGCTTTCGCATGAAGCATGAACCGGGCTTTAGGGTAATGGCAAAGAGATTGTGAGCATTTTGGGAGCATATTTGGGGGAAGAGGATTTTAAAAAAATTCACAAAATGATTAAAAAAAAAACAGTTTTGAGAGCTGTAAAATTAGGGTGAGTTGGGTAACTCGAGGCAAAAGTACTTTTCTGGGGGTGTCCTAACATTCGCAAAATAATAAACAAAATGTATTATTTACTTTTCCAGAGCATCGTAAGCAGCTCCTCGACGCACCAAAGCCTTCGCGCTGTAGGGCTGAATCTCCAACGCCGCATCGCAGTCTTCTATAGTCTCCTTCAAGTGGCCCGTCTTGGAGTTGCAGGCAGAGCGGTTGTTGTAGAGGGAGGCGAGGGCGGCGGTGAAAGACTCCTTATCTGTTGGAGTTAAAATTGATTGACGTTAAAGTTTCTGTTTTCCAGCTTCACCACCGAAATAGGTGACGTCCAAGAACCACGTGACCATCCGGTTTATCAGCCGACATTGCAGTAGGCAAGCGTTTGGTTAGCAAACACGTCATGCGTTGTCAGCTAGACAGTATGGATTATTTTCACGTAAAACAATTGCGAATTTCTTTACCAAATGGCCAAATGGTCACTACCTGTGCAGTGTACGGTTGTCAAAATCGTGCTAACGCAGCACTTGAAATTGGCTTCCAGTTTTTCTCAGTTTCTGCCATGGATGGCAATCACAGCTTTGAAGGTTTTTTGCCTACTACAATGGCGACGCTGACTTTCCAGTACCTGGATGTAGGCCGGGTCACGTGGATCAGTGAAAAAGCCCTAAAGAATTGTTTTTTTAATAAATAACTAAAAAAAATCAACAAGGCAAAAATAATTCCTTATGAATGAGACACTGACCAAAAATAAAATCCATCAACGTTTAGTTATCGATTCAGTACTTCACAACTTTTGAATTATTGATGGCCCCAAATAATTCAAGCGGATCTCTTTGAGCATTAGCAGTGTAAAATTAACCGAAAAGAAAAGACTTTTTTATCAGAGGGTTGCAGACACCAAAACTGAAACATACATATTGAAACTCCAAATTTTAATCTGTTGAAAAGGACAGACGAGCAACTTATTAAGCGTGGCACAACTAAAGGTCTGGCTACCACTGAACAGTACTGACTGGAAATTACATGATGGCACAAAATGGCTGAGCAAGTTGGGAAGTATTCCTACCTGGAAGGATCTTTTTGATGGCTAAAGAATATTTCTCCATGGCGTTGCCGTACTGCCCTGCCTTGAACAGCTCATTCCCAGAATCCTTCAGTGCGATGACATCATCAGGCAGGGGCAGCGCCGGGATCGGATTGGACACCGGCGGGGTTGCCGCAGCAACTGGCCCGTCTTGTACGGGGATTCCGTTGCTGGATGGAAGAGAGGTCTCTGCAGAAACCGCACCTTGGCCACCATCTTGGTTTTCAGTTGCCATGGCGCTCGCTTTGGTTGCGCCATTCACAGCGCCCTCGTCAGAATTTGGTGCTCCCCTTCCGTTGACGAGTGACCCCTGACCCTTCCCAGCATCCTCCTCTTCGCTGTCGCTCTCGTCTTCGACCTCTTGAATGATCATCCGTCGCCCCGGCGGTGCGGCCTGCCCCACATGTGTTGGTTCCATTTCGACATCACGTTCCTTGTACGGTTTCGGCGAATTCTGCTCCACCGTTTCTTTTAACATAATATCTGCCAAAAGATCCTGCAACACAAAAACAAAACAAAAAATTCTCACTTTTACAGACACAGAAAAGTTTTCGCATTTTGAATAACTTTATCTTTTGTGTTAATATTGGGCCACACGATTTGCTGCTAACAGAGCCTCCGTCTATTTCATGGAGACCGTAAGCATAAGCACAGCAAAAGGCACGCTTACTTCAGAGGAAAATTGTGCCTAACTTAGTAACGTAACAATAGAAATCTCCATGCACGCGCGACCGTTAGCACATGCAAGCCGTGAAATAGTGCTTAAGGTTAGCAAATTTTTCTGCTATGCTTAGTTTTTTTCTGCTAACTGTTAAGCAGGGCCGTGAACTTCGGCCCTGGTGCCATGATTTCACAGGATGCTTGAGACTGTTATTCACTTACAGTCAAGGAAGGTACCTTGGTAGTTCTGTTTTTTTATGTTTGCAAATGTTGCATATTACGTAAAAACAATGCAGACACCTACCAGAGCTTGTTTGTTGTTTGACTCAGCATTCAAGACAGCTTCCAAGTCAGTTTTCGCAGCAGTGAACTGTCTCAACGACTTTAAGGCGGTACCACGTCTGAGTAAAGCTAAGACAAAAGAATATCAAAAACAGTTTTAAATGATTTCAAGTCAAGTCTATCATGAGCTAATAAGCCCATCGGGCCTGTGTTTATCTCCAGCTTCCTTGACACGAAACGACTGAGAATATTTCTAATCCCCCTGGATGGGATGCTAATCCATCCCTGGTTACTCCCCAGCTAATGCCGGTACCCGTTTATACTTCTGGGTGGAGAGAGGCAGGTGGAGGTGAAGTGGCTTGCCCAAGGACACAACATATGACCAGCAGCTGGATTCGAACCCCCGACTCTCTGATCATGAGTCGCAAACCCTAATCAGGACAAACTAACTGAATTTATAGGACAAAGAAAACAAACCTTTGATGTTCTCAGGCTCCAGCTCCAAAACCTTAGTGCAGTCTTCTACAGCTGCGATGAACTGACACAACTTGATTCCTTCAAACCACAGAGTAAGAAATGGAAAATGTCGTAACTATTTTTATTTTTTCAATCTCATCATATTTAATACACATTTCATTAAAACACTATTTTAGTAAAACATCTATGAAAAAACTGCAGCATAATTACATCATATTTAATCTAGGGAATTTTCAAACAAAACGTGCATTTCTTAAAACTTGGCATATTTCAGAATTGTTTAAATGAAGATGGTCTATTAAATCTTACTTGCAAGAGAGCGGTTGTTGTAGGCCGGTGCCGACGGTATAACAGAGATGCTTCGGCTGTAATACTGCACGGCCTCTTCATAATCTCCAGCTTTGAAAGCCTGTAAAAGTAATATCAAGCACAGAAGACGATGGGTTGAGGTCAGAGGTCAGGGGTCAGTAGGAAGGGCAGCTTCAGGCTGGTAAAGCAGGCCAAATTGTTGAACGACTTTCTGCAAGTTATTTTCATTATCATTAACTTGTGGACAAGGAACTCATTTTTATCAGCTTACTAAGTTGAAAATAACTTCATCTTGAAAAATTAAGCTGAAATAAAATGATGGGTGTGGCCTTAGCCCTGGGCCCAATTTCAAGGCGCTGCTTAACAGTTAGCAGAAAAGGTGTGCTAAGCAAAGCAGAAAAATTTGCTAACCCTTAGCACTATTTCACGGCGTGGACGTGCTAACGCTCGCGCGTGCATGGAGATTTCTATTGTTACGTCACTAAGTTAAGCAAATTTTTCCTCTGAAGTAAGCGTGCCTTTTGCTGTGCTTATGCTTACAGTCTCCATGAAATAGACGGAGGCTCTGTTAGCTTTCAATCGTGTGCTTAGCAGCGCCGTGAATTCGGCCCAGGTTGGAGGACGTCTTCATTGCATTACGACTGACGTCCACGGTATCCATTTCTGCTGCCATAGCAAACATTTTTACAATTTTTAGTTTTTTTTAAATTTACCTGATGGAAGTTGTGTGAAGACTTGCGGCACGCTCGAAATGCATAGCAACAATGTGTTATCTGTTAAGCCTAGTTACCATATCAACGCTAAGCGAATGCAGATTCTGCAGACAGTACGCGGAATCGTCGGCAATCGACTGCGAGATAGTTTGCATCTGTCTGCGGTTGTCGGTGACATTTACAGATGAAATGTTTCCACATGTCTGCGTTGCAGTTTAGGTCTTGTTTGCATTGCTCTGTGCATTGCTCTCCGCGTTTCTTACCTCGATATGGAAAATAGTCTTCACTCGCAATATTTCCCTGAACCTTCCCTGCACTCTATCGTTTTATGGATTCACGGAGGAGTAAATGCAATGTAATACAATTAAACCGTCAAAGTGCTAAAGGCTTAAAAACAAATCCCAACACCGTGTGTACCTCGTTGCCTTTGTCCTTTTCCTTGTTGGCCACAAGCTCCCGTTCTTTATCAGTCATGCCTGAGTACATAAATAGAAATGTAACGGGTGATAGGGTTGGGAATACTAAGCCAAATTTCTAAAAAATTAAAGGACGATCAGAACAGTAAACTGAATTCCTCTCTAAAAATGTACTTCATAAATACTCATTTTTACCCCTTTACATCTTATATGAAGAATCGCAATCTTTATGAACATGAAGAACAAAAATCATCCCAATATGCAAATTTATGTAAATTGATGTTGACCAATATGCAGATTTATGCAAATGAACACTGACCATCGGTGTTAATGATGCTGGATAGTGCCGCAGATGACTTCTTCAATTGCTTGCTGTCTTTCTTGCCGTGTTTCTTCAGGTCCGCTTCTTCCGCCGCCTTTTCGGCATCAAATTTATCCCAGGATCGGTAATCGGAGGATTTGATTCGCTCCTTGGACGGCTTCGCCCAGACTTTGTCTTCGTCCTTTTATGGAAAAAAATACTGCAGGTAAAACTTCTCGATCCCCCGGCATGCTGGCATTTTGCATACATGTACATGTACAGGCAGTTAGTAAGGACAATTTTCTTCTTAGAGTTTAGGCACTCTCCTGAAGACGGTCAGAGCATACTGACCGGAACGTCGAGTTTATACCTCTGGTTCTTTTCAGAACCATTCTCTTAGTTGAGAAATTATTCGCACATGGTGTTTCCGCAAACCTTTCATTATTTAGTATCTCCACCACGCAAAGCCTCAAATCTTACTTGATTTTCAGCGTACCTAACCAAAATGGAATGAGTCATAACTAACAACAGGGATTAGCAAAGAAATGGGTGGGCAGCCGTGTTAGTCAGGCAGTGTTGTGTCACTTGTGTGTGCCTCTCACCTATAAAGGGGCCTTTTACTTACAAAACAATAACATTCACGACACTAGAGAAACAGAGTGACATCCCACAATTAACATACTTTTCCTTTAAAACAGTAGACGTACGCTGTATCAAAAATTACAATTACCAATGAATCTGAAAATAGAAGAATAGAAAAACATCCCAGTCGGTTTTTATTTTTCATTTTTTTCCACTACGACCTGTGGCCAGTTCCATCTCATTTTGCAAGAATGCCTCACATTTAAGACTTGCATGATATATTACAACTGCTGAAATAAACATAACTGCTGACTAAAATAAAATCAAAACTCACTTTTTTCTTCTTTCCGCTGGTATCCACGGTGGCCGGTTGCCGAATCGGCGGCAGCGTTTTGTCGTCGTTGCTCCGCACTGAGCTTGAGGCAGACTCCTTGCCCATCTCAGTTGTCCAGTCCTGAGATTAACGAGAAGAAACTTACGATCAGAAGAGTAGCGAAAATCCCAGGAGCAAGATGATAAAAAAAGGCCAAGCCTAGTAAAGCAGATCTCAGATTACACAAACTTCTCTTCAAGCGATTCAGGATGGCTATGCACTGCAAGTCTTTTCATGCAACTGGTTCTCACAATAAGCCAAATTAGCCAATTCATTGGTGTCACAGGTAATCCTATACAATAGCACTGCCCAGCTCACTCCACCAGTCATAAGCCCGGTTCGTACTTCACGCGAAAGCGAAGCGTAATTCGTGACATCAACAATAAGTTTGTAGCGCGTCCTCCATTGTTGACGACATGAATTTCGCTTCGCACTTGCTTTCCCATGAAGTATGTCAAGTGACGGGGAGTCTGTCAGTCAGTCTGTCAGTTACTAGGGTGGTCCTCTGAAACCAGCACAAATTGATATTCGTCACATTGATAGGTGTGAAAAAAATATGTCTGTGACACGATATAACACACACCACAACACACACCTCACAATACCATACCTTGCGCGATACTTGAAAAAAGTTAAAACAAAGATCCAAATAAATGTGAGGCCGTGTCCGAAACGGGCTTCCAGAGCTACGGCTACGTCTATTGTCAGCGCGTCCCGCATATTTCAATGGGCACAGACCTAGACCTAGCTCTAGACAGTTGATTCGGATGCAGCCTGAGATTCATACAGTCAAAAAAATCTCCACGCCAAACTGCCTCAGAGTCTATGGTCATCAAGTGCAGTAGGATACAACTGTGGCATTGTTCAATGGGACTAGCTCTCATTGTCTCAGAATTGGCCGTTTATGCACTGGTGTTGATGGCTCAATGCAGCAAGATCCCACAGACTTGTACACCTGCTGCACGGTGTTGCGTCTGGGAGGGTTAGGGTTAATATCAAAACAATTCATGTTAGAATGAGGAAATTTGTCTCGGGATACCTTGATATCGGAGTTGATTTGCTGCCATTCTTCCTTGCCCAAGTCGCCTTTTGAGGCTGGGGGTTTGTCCTTCCGCAACGCCTTGCTGTGAACAAAAGGCGAAACAGACCACAGAAATGGGACATGCATAAGTGAACCTTTTTGCACAGTCACTGTTACTGAATTAAAATCACAAAAGATGCCCTCTAAGATGGCTGCCATACATTAGGTCTATAACCAGTGAGCTCTGAACGTGGGACTCATTTCAGTAGCAGATATTACAGACAAAGCAATGTCAATCCTACAAAATCCTCCACTGTGCAGGAACCCAATGGCACACTCTTTGTACCCACCAAGTTTCAAGATGCATCAAGCCCCATGTAAGTAATAGTGGCTGGGCTCTACTTTCCTCAATCCTACAAAATCCTCCACTGTGCAGTAACCCAATGGCACACTCTTTGTATCTACCAAGTTTCAAGGCATCAAGCCCCATGTAAAGTAATAGTGGCTGGGCTCTTTAGACCTTCCTCAATCCAACAAAATCCCCAACTGTGCAGGAACCCAATGGCACACTCTTTGTACCTACCAAGTTTCAAGGAGCATCAAGCCCCATGTAAAGTAATAGTGGATTGGCTCTACTTTCCTCAATCCTACAAAATCCTCCACTTTGCAGGAACCCAATGGCACACTCTTCGTACCTACCAAGTTTCAAGTGCATCAAGCGCCATGTAAAGTAATAGTGCCTTGCTCTATCTTCCTCAATCCTACAAAATCCTCCACTGTGCAAGAACCAATGGCACAATCTTTGTACCTAAGTTTCAAAATTCAAGTACATCAAGCCTCATTCAAAGTAATGGGACTGACCGCTTTACCTTCCTCGGACAATAGACATAGGCCTAGTCTTACCTTTTTGGATCCAGAGTTGCAATTCTCTGCTCACAACACTTAATCAAATCCGGATAGTAGCCATCCGCGCCCGATCTAGAAAAACAAAGAAATGTGTGAAGAATTTGGACTTAAGATACATTTAAGATGGCTTGTGATAGACTTCTGAGGGCTTGTGATAGACTTCTGAGGACTTAGGACAACACATGATGACTTGTGGTGACTTGGGATGTCATTTGACTTGAGGACTTGTGAGGACTTGTGATGACATGTGATGACTTGTGGGGACTTGTGATGACTAGTGAGGACTTGTGATGACTAGTGAGGACTTGTGATACTTGTGATGGACTCACGACAGCCTCACTTGTGATGAACTTGTGATGAACTTGTGAGGACTTGTGATACACTTGTGATGGACTCATGACCTATGGGGACTTGTGATTGATAAGTGAGGACTTCAGATGGACTACAACAAGACCAGACACTGAGGACAAACCTGAGAGCTTTCAAGATCTTCTCCAGCTCCTTGACATTCCTGCAAAGTCCGATGTACGCATAATCCATGTGATGGAGGGGAACAGGTCCAGATGATGGTGACGCTGACCCTAGAAGATTGTCGAAACCAGATTGAGGACCAGCCATGTTTTCAGCTTACAATCGCCTGGCTTTCTGTGAAGGATAAAATAACAATTTCAATAATATAAATCAATCAACCATGGACATGATGGACTGTAGCCCCATAAATGTGGCCTATTTACTGGACTGCCTCCGTAAACATAGGCCACACGTCCACATGTACAAAAATCGTGTCGACTTTGCCAAATTTTGATTTTCACATTAAGGCTTAGTTTGTAGGATTGTTTTGCTTTAGAAGCATACTCACCCACTTTATAGGCTAGTCAGAAAGTGCTGCCTTTTTCAGATGTCTAATTTTTGTGAAATTTCATGTTGAAATTTTGATACGCAAACGTGTAAAAATGAATCTGGAAATTTCACGAAAAATATACATCTGAAAAAGGCAGCACTTTCTGATTAGCCTATAAAGTGGGTGAGTATGCTTCTAAAGCAAAAAAATCCTACAAACTAAGCCTTAATGTGAAAATCAAAATTTGGCAAAGTCGACACGATTTTTGTACATGTGGACGTGTGGCCTATGTTTACGGAGGCAGTCCAGTAAATAGGCCACATTTATGGGGCTAGATGGACTGCTGCTGTTATGAATAAATGCTTTATTATCCTGATTATCGTGGCTTGCTGTCTGGTATCGTGATTACATCACTGTTGTGACTATTCTGGAGATGGGAATCAGACCTAATGCAAATTGGGATTTCACCAATCAGAGAGAGTTGTACTTGTAGCTTAATGGAAAAAAAGACCTGCCAGACTCACTCGGTGAGCAAATTCACCAGGAAAATATTTTATCTGTAACTGTTACATATTGAAAGTAACTTGGCATGCTTAGCTGCTTTAGTGCTTAGTGAACAGTTGTAACACCAAGATATCCGAATATTCGGTCAAATGCAGTTTCGAGTAATCGAATACTAAATTATTCGAAAACGGACATCCTATAATTAGGGAAAATTTCCATACTCGATCGCCACTTTAACTGCCACCAAACACATCAATTTTCACCTCACCTTGTGATTTCACCCAAGAGGAATCCAGGAAGCTGTGTAAATGCGAAAACAAATTAGGCAAAATGTGTTTTTAGAGCACATTTTGGATGCACACGTCGTGCAGAACTAAGTTGAAGCAGCCGGTCGAAACTGATTGAAGTGGCTGAAAGACAGCGGTACGTTATACGCATGACATCGACAACCATGACGTCGCATGAGCCGGCCAATGATAGTGCAATACTTTTTATGAATATTTATTTTCTCATGAATATTTAGTTTATTTTAATGGCTACTTCAAATACGTCCAAAGATTGATTATTGCAACAGCGATCGTGCGCGGCCTAGCGGTTAAGAGTCCCGTGTTTCAAGCAAGAGTCCGAGGTTCGAATCTCGATGAAGTAAGCGACTGATTAATAAATAGAAATAAAGGAAAGGAGAGGGTGAGAGTAGAGGAGGGAAAGTGGAGGGAATAACCAATGATAAAGGATGCAACTTTTGGCTCTTGAAAATTAATTGAAAAAGTGGCGATCGAGTATGGAATTTTTTCCAACACCGGTCCTTTTTCCATTGTCTACGTCATATTCATGAGCATGCGCGCTTTGCCATAAATATGACGTAAACAATTGAAAAGGACCGGTATGTTTGCTGCCACCAACGTCTTATAAGTCTCTCATTCTAGTCTGAATTGGCCTAGCCTCCAGATAACTCATCACGTCAGTCTGTGGTCACACCAATGCAAAATTGCAATGGATATTGGTGGAGGAACAGGTAACAGGTCATCTCGTACCTTGGGCAACTCGTACCTTGGACAACTCGTACCTTCAACTCGACGTCATTATACCGAGTCGTACCTTGGATAACTCGTACCTTCGGCAAGTCGTACCTTCAGTTAAGACGACTCGTACCATCACGCGTAAGTCAAGTCGTACCGTCAATCAGGATAATGATCCGAGGCTGAATAAAGTGGACCGTAACTCATTGAAAGTGGACTGCTTATTAAAAAAAAGGTGAATCTCTTTTTGGTATGGGCTCTCTTTCCCCCCAAAAAGAGGAATTTATTTAGCGCGAAGCCGGCCGCGGCAGCTTACTGTGTGCGCGGCATGCACAGGCCCACGCGGCATCCCTGCAAAGTGACACGGTTCTTGCGCCGCGCTGACCGGTCAATATGGACGTCTGTGCACGGTGACATTGATGCAGTCTGCCGTTACGTTTAGAGACTTAGGCTACGTGAAAATATTATGGAACTGATGTTTTTATCCAAGATTCACGTCTTACCATCATTTTTGCAATGAATGACCATCATTGAGATGATATATATATATATATGAAGAAAAAAGTGGCGTCAGGTTGCAACATTTTTCCTATTATTGATCCCTATAATCGCCTGAACTACTTTTTTTTTTCCCGCAAAAATGATAAGACGTGAATCTTGGACTGACAAATATTTCCAATTTTGTTAGGAAATACTAATTTCCTAATTAGGCCTACTTAAAAAATTGCAAATACATGTATTACGGAATCGATATATTTTCATCCCAAAACTATGTGCTAACCGCTAATTTTTTTTTTCAGATGATCTTGCGGGTTTCTGATGAACCATTGCGCTGCTCAAGAGACGATTGCTTGTCTGCTGTTCATCATTTCATTTCAACAAGTCGGACTATGACGAAACATCTGGCCAAACCCCCGCCCCCAATTTGTAAATGTTTCGAATAAACCAGTTGATGAATAAACCAACTGTGAAATTTTTTTTTACATTTTAGACTTTCAGACTTATAGCTAGGAAAGGACTGAATCATTTAAAAGTACTGACTGATCTTGTATACTTTGGTTATTAGACTTCACAAGAAAACGCAGAAATTACTTTATTTAGACAAATTAAATGTTTAAATTTGCTTTCTAATATTTTGTCGGTTGGTTTTAATAGAGTTTAATAAAGCTCGCTCTGGAAACAGGATGTTACGGTGGTTAGGCTGTATTGCATAATTAAACCACACCAAATCCGCATCTGAAGTTTCTCCACTGTAAAATTCAATCTATCTTAACTTATCCATTAAAAACAGAATGGCACTGCCGCGCGCGCCGCGCAGCTCGCAGGCCGGCCGCTTCCGAGTCACCGGCATCGGTACCGCGCACGACCGACCGCTGCTCGCGCCCTCGGAGGCCGGCCCGCCAGGTCCAATGCGGAAAATCATGCTGCCTGGCAAAGCCATTAGATCTTGAATGTGGTTCTGTGAGATAGAAATTAACTTTGACTTGAAAAGAATCATATCGTTTCGGAATCAAGGAACCACACACTAAGTCACGCACGTACAGTGTACTCTACTTTTTATTCTGATGGTACGAGTCGTCTTAATTGAAGGTACGAGTTGTCCAAGGTACGAGTTATCCAAGGTACGAGATGTCCAAGGTACGAGTTGTCCAAGGTACGAGTTGTCCAAGGTACGAGTCGCCCAAGGTACGAGTTGACTCGAAAGCTTATAGCGAGGAACATGAGGAAACAAGCATGACAAATGTGAAACTATAAAATCTGTTACTTTTGACATTAATTTCGAAGATCAGTCGATAGTAACTTTCAGAAACTTGTCTTCTATCAATGACTTTCTATAAATGAAAATTCATCACCGAATTTGGCTTACATCTCCTGATTTACTGAAGAAGTTTTTCCTAGCTCGACGTGCCGGATCTGCGCTAACTTTTTCGTGCATTGCCTCAGCACGGTAATTCCCCTTCGTCGGAAACCTAGTTTGAGCGTATACAAATTACACGAAAGAGCATTCTTAATCTCAGGAACCAGTCTAATATCATGTTCTCTGGTGACCTGACTACTTCAATTTGAAATTCATATACAGTGCAACGGCACCTGATGTGACCTTAATTTTAATTAAAGGGGTACACCGCATGAATAAAATCCATGGTCGAACCGAGCACTCTGTTTCCTGTGTATTTATTTAGATTTTCTGCTGACCTTTGTGCAACCATGGTGAAACGGACTGGTGTGCAAAATGACAACATTTCACTTAAAATATTTCGATCAGCATGACCAAACAGTGTCAGAAAAAGAAATCGTTTTTGTTTTATAAAAGGTTAAAAATACTTTAAAAAACAACATTTTTTTCACTGGCTATAAAAAAGCGAGGTTTAGGAGTAGGGGTGAGGGGTGAGTGCGGGGTGGTTTTTTTCTTCATAATTACCACCCCCCCCCCTCATTCAACCCTTTAAAGTTAAGGAATGGCACGCACGCGCGTTCCTTGTGTTTTTGGTTTTGGATGGAGTGACAAAACCGAATAGTGGAATCGAAACTTCGTAAAGTACAGGGAAATGCATAAATAAAGCGCTAGTTTCATAGCTTGATGTATTCGGATTAAAAAAAAAGAAGAATGGTATGCTAGTATCGATAATCGTGGGTCAAATCCATGTTGCGTGCATTTTAAAGGATCGTTTCTGGTATCGATTATATTCTATCTGAGCCATTGGCAACAATTCAGAGAATCGACATTCGTAAACCGAAAGCAGCGGCCATTTTGACCAAAAAAACAGAACTAGAACAAAACAATGACCGGAAGAAATAACCCTCAAAATATACCATTGGGTTCGTGAACACTGTTAATTTATTTGAAGGGGTTTTCTTCAGATAGTAAGACATGTATCAGCCACATCAGCCGCTCGATTTTGGTGAGTATAAGAACAAATTAGTGGTCGAAAAATTGCGACGAAGTTTTCTCACGCAGATTGAATATGGACTGGTGGCCCAGTATTCGGACATGATCGTTTGACTTTAATATCTTTTGTTTTGATTACTTTTTGCCTCATCACGTTAGGCCTTCAACTGATGAAATAATTTTGGATAAGACAACTGCTCTTATCTGTTTATGTAATATTAAATTTCGGTCTAAGTTCATGATGTTTGGCATGATTTGCTGAAGTTCTGAATGAACATCATGAAAATTAAATTTATTTGTTTGTTTGTTTTTGTTTTTTTTATAAAAGCACATCCAGTTATGCGAAAATGTTGATGATGGATTTTATTTTGGGATTTTATTTGGATGTTGTTGGCTGTAAGGCAGTGGATGTTTTGCTCGCAGCGCGCGGTCGGTGTAATATGAAAATCAGACTCTCCGTGAAAATTGGACTCACTTTTCCAAATTATTGGTTAAGCCTTCTCATGTGACCGGTTATGCATGTTCGGCATGCGCAACAATTCCGTATTTCCATATTCTAAATTCATGCTAACCGGCTGCACGGTGGCTGTTGCATGACTTTTTTATTACGCAACAGCCGTCGATGGCGCGCCTGAAATGTAAGTGAGAGAGATCCCAGGTTCGATTTCCCTGTTGCGCTCATCTGACATTTTCGTTGTTTTTTTTTTTAATCACAAGAAATAAGAATATTCTTCTTTTATTATTTTACATTGACTCCTACATTTATTTACAGAGTATTCTTTGTCTGATTCGTGGCTTTGGAGGATTTATTTTAAAGGGAAATAAAGTCCAAAATTGTAAATGGTCTGATTCCTATCCCATGCTGGCGTGCAACCAGACTAAGATTTGTCACCATACAAATTTCTAAGTCCAAAAAGACACTAACTGCACATGTTCAGTGCAGTGCCGATACAAAGAAAAAAACAATCGGGGACCGGTTCACAGTCACATGTACACTCCCTTTATTTCATTATTTTTTCTTGTCAGCCGCCATGGGTATACCACCGGCGCCCGGCCAGCCACCCATCCGGCCGCCCATGCTGCACATGGGCATGCCCCCTCTACTCCCCCCGACCCTGCCCTTACCCCCATCCCCGCCCAAGTTGGATTCCAAGATGCCCTCGCGGCCCGGGTTCGGCAAAGAAGGACGGGCCATCACGCTGCGTGCCAACCACTTCAAGATTACCATCCCACACGACACTATCAACCATTACGAGGTGACCATCGTGCCTGAGAAGTGTCCACGTAGGGTGAACAGGTAACATGAATAAAATTCACAACGTAGTGCGCCACAAGAGCATACTGTTGGCCATTTTCGCAGTCTGCTTTTGCCCAGGTTTGCAGCATCTTGCTAACGTTGCTAGCATGGCGACTTAGGATGTGATCCCTGGCTACGTGGGATTTACAGGTTTATGGCTTCTGACTAGCGCCCCTTGAACAAAGAGATTGACAAAATGAGAAACCGCCAACATAGGGCTGGATAGCCAAGTTGGTAGAGCACCGGAACGGCAACCCGGAGTTCACAGGTTCAAGCCCCTGCAGTTTTTCAACTTTGGTGGCGCACGTGTGTGACTTCAGTTGGATTTTTGTGTGTGTCAAAGCTGTTGGCTTATTTTCAATGCTTCCGAACGCTTTTAGCATATATGTGTGTGGTGTTGCACATAAACAAAAGAAGGACAAATTATTAACTTTAGGATAGAATATGCAGGATGTCAAATGCACATGCTTTGAAAAGGTTTCATCAAATGAAAGAAAAAGATGAGAAATACAATTCCGGTAAAAAGCAAATTTGTTCTTTTCTTTTTATTTAATTGCATTTTAATTGCATTTTATTTCCAAGTATTACAACAACAACAAAATTCAAACGTTGGATATTCAGATACAGTCGAACACCTTTATAACAAGGTCCTTGGGACTTAAAGGGAATGTACATCATTGGCTTTTGCTGTAATTTTCAGAAATGGAGTATTTGAGGGGTTAGTATAATATATCAAATATTGTTACACTGACATGTTTGAAGTTTTATGTTCGAAAATGCTGGAAAAACCAAGAAAAACAAAATTGTTCAAGTAGTCTGGCTCCCTGACTCCACTAAAGATGAAATGGATCAACTTATAGTTGCCAGAAAATTGTAAGGTAAGGGAACCAGTCTAGCTGGCCTGCACCCGTTCATGAACATGTAACCAATACCAAACAAAATTTGGACTGGAAAAAGGTAAATTTGGAGCAGTAGTTGAAATATAGTTAGGTTTTTCCAACGGTGGTCGGCCGACCACCATTGGAAATGTATACAAAAATACCATTTTCTTGCAAATGACTTCACACCAGGTGCCATAATTTTACAGGATGCTTTAGACTGTCATTTACCAACATCCTAGTAAGGTATCTCTTAAAAACTTGGTAGTTTTATTTTTCGATGTTTGCAAATGTTGTATATTCCCTTTAACGAATTACCTTGTTATAACAGGTACCTTGTATTAACAGTAATGGAACACAAAGGAACTCAAAGAACAACAAAGACTTGGGACCTTTTAAATTTTTGCTTGTTATAAGCAGGTCCTTGTATTAACAGTGCTCTTCTTGTCAGGGTTCGACTGTAATTACATATTTACTGGTGATACTAGTGTTATTATATCAACCACTTTGGTTCTTTCGTTCTTGTTTCCCAGGGAAGTGATGGACACCTTGGTCAAACACACCAACAGAATATTCCAGAACATCAAACCGGTCTTTGATGGGCGTAAGAACCTGTACTGCCGACAGGAGTTGCCCATTGGCAAAGAGAAGGTAGTGTGGTCTTGATCAATTTAAGAAGGAGAAATTGGCTTTGGGGTTTTTTGTGACCTTGTGTGCATTTGCATTAGTCATGTCGGCTTATCTGACAATCCCCTGGCATCTCTGTAAATTGCTCTTAGATTACATTGGTTAACCCTACCCCCTAGGCATTTTGCTAGGATGCAACGTCAATCCTGCAAAATCCTCCAACTGCCTCCATGTAAAACTTGCATGCAGCCTCAATCCTGCATAATCCTCTGTTATTTCTTGAATGACGTTCTTGGAGGGGTGACCACTGCCTCAATCCTGCAAAATCCTCCAGCAATCACTGTCAATATGTTGAGGCAGAGCCAGTGACATCCTGAAGCAGTGCGGAGGATTTCAAGTATAATCCAGGCCTAAATGTATGCACGTCTGAGCATTTACAAAACAGGGTCCGGCCTAATACCTTGACAGAGTGCATCCTCCAAAATCAGCCACACATTTTTGCCATATAGCCTCAATCCTGCAAAATCCTCCTTTTTGCAAAGCGGATTTTGAAGGATTTTGGAAGGTTAGGGTTCAGAATCTGTAGGTTTCAAAACCATTTTCACCAATTGATGCTAATGGCCAACGTACGCCCTTGGAAGGCAGGGTCTACATCATTTTCTAAAAACACTTTGACCTTTGACCTTTGACCTCAGGTTGACCTGGAGGTGACCCTGCCAGGGGAAGGCAAAGAGCGGTCTTTCAAGGTGTCCATCCGGTATGTAGCCAAGGTCAGCCTGCAGTCCCTGGCCGATGCCTTGGAAGGAAGGGTCAACATCATCCCCCATGATCCGGTCCTGGCGTTGGACGTCGTCATGAGACATCTACCCTCCATGACGTGAGTCCCAATCGATATTTTGAATCTTAAAACCTCAACCCTTATGCTGCACGCAAGACATCAGGAAGTACATGTAAACAATTACCTCTCATCCTCAAGGGCAATTTGTCCAGACCATACCCAACCATGCCCAACACAACACTTTGTCATAGTGAGAAGCCTACACAATTTAAACAAGATACAGGTCAAACTGCCTCAGAGTACATGGTTGCCAACTGCAGCAGGATGCAACTGTGGCGTTGTTCAATGGGACTAGCTGTCATTGTCTCAGAATTGGCAGTTGATAGCAAATGCAGCAAGGTCCCACAGACTGTTGCACTGCATTGTGTCTGTCAGGGTTAAAACTTGCTTCATGACAAATCAGTACAATGTACAAATTAGTTGGAACTTGTCGCTTTTCAGCAGTCCACAGGAGCAGCACAACTGCCAATTTTGAGACAGTCACAGTCTTAGTTTTGCAGAGACTTCCTAAATAAGCCATTTGCGAGTAAAATTTGAATAAAATCTGGAACGCTGACTTAATCAAATGCTTTGCACGTTTTAACTTTGCATTCTCCCGACCAAAGAATCACATGATTCGGGGCAAGCCTTATGCTAGCAACCCCCAGCTCCGGCTTGGTCTGGTGTCTTTGTGCCATTCTCACCCATTGTGAACAATGTATTGGTGCTGAGCGTCTCTTACTTAACTATGCAAGAGCTTGCCCCGAATCATGTGATTAGCAACAGTGTCTTTGGTCTGGAGAATTCAAAGTTAAAATGTGCCAAGCATTCTGAGCAAGTCAGTGTACCAGACGTTTTTCAAATTTAAATCCCAAAGGGTATAGGTCACTCGCAAATGGCTTATTGAGCAAACAATCATGGTGACTACTTTGGTTTCCGGTAAAGAAAAAGAAGTTTGTGTATCAATTTTGACTGAACTGTTGTTAATTGTTTTTTGTAGTTACACCCCAGTGGGGCGATCCTTCTTCTCACCCCCTGACGATTACTTCCACCCCCTGGGTGGGGGGCGGGAGGTATGGTTTGGCTTCCATCAGAGCGTCCGGCCGTCCAAGTGGAAAATGATGCTGAACATTGACGGTAAGTCGGAACGGCACCAGACTATAAAAAAGGAAGTAAACAAATCACATGGCTACGGCCATCAATAACACACAAGTCTATGTGAAGTGGCTACAGCGGCTAGCCAGCGGCTTCCATAGGTGCGTGTGTTATTTTTCGGCTGTAGCCGAGTGAGCCAGATACAACCTAAGCTAATGGCTTAGTTTGAGGTGACATTTTCAACCTTTTTTGACGGTTATATTCTTTATTTTGTTTTTCAGTGTCAGCCACTGCGTTCTACAAAGCCCAGCCTGTCATAGACTTTATGTGCGAGGTTCTAGACATCGGAACCAGCAGTGACCAGCGCCGACCGCTCACCGACTCACAGAGAGTCAAATTCACCAAAGAAATCAAGGGTCAGATATTTATTTGTCATTTATTTCCTTTCTGTGTTGGGGAGTTTGAATTAAATTTTGAACAACATTGGACAACATTTTTGCTAGTGACACCCCTATTAACCCTAACTCCCCAGCATAATTTACTAGGAAGCGTACCCATTCAAGCAAATTGCAACACCCACATGGGAAATTGTACACACACACACTGTTGGACTTAGTTTCTGGAGGTATGCCAACCCCAGTGTAAAAGACCATCAGTTTAGGGGTACTGTACCTATCCCAACAGATTTAAACAAAACCTGCTGTTGAACTTAGATGGGTTGGGTTCAGTTAGGGTTAAAGAAGTTTGAACCATTTTTGCTCGGCCCAGATGGGCCACCTCTCTTTAAACCTCCTTGATTGACTCACTGATGCCTGCCACGTGTGACTTACACCTAGCCTTGTTGTTTGCTTGTGAAAAGAACCTGGCAGTGCTATTGTATAGGTTTACCCTGTAGGATTACCCATTGTGTGCACTACTTAAAAGAAAAGACTTCCAGTGAATAGCCATTCCAAATCACCGGAATATAATTTTGTGCACTTTGGGACCAGCTCCAACTGACCTATCACCGTTTGCGAGTTAGCTACGCCCCTTGGACAACCCTATGGAGTTTTGTAGGTTAAGTTTTGTTTGTCTCAGATTTTGCGCGTTTCGCGTCCATTTGTATATCATGTAATTGGACAATGTTTTTCAAGCTGCATTGATGCGATTCTACCGTGTAGGTTAATAGGCTTGTTTTGTTTTTTTTTTGTAGGATTGAAGATTGAGATTACACATTGTGGTAACATGCGTCGCAAGTACCGCGTGTGTAACGTCACCAGGAGAGTTGCTCAAGCACAGACGTGAGTAGTTGTCCATTGTACATTTAAACCACATTTGGTCTGTGCATGGACCATAGATGGCGCTATACAGCGACCCATGTCAGCCATTGAAGGACACCCATCTGTTTCATGATTTTTTTCTTTTGCACTTTTAAACTTCTTTTCGTTACATGAGAACTCGTCCATTGTATTGTTTTACATATTGGCTCTTTGCATGCATATAGAGGGCACTATGCTACCTATCCATGGAAGCCCATGAAGGACACCTAAATGTTTCATAAATGTTACTTTTTTGATATTTTTATTTCTCATTGCAGATTCCCTCTGGAGTTGGAGAACGGACAGACGGTGGAATGCACAGTGGCCAAGTATTTCAAGGACCGACACAGGCGTATATTACAGTTAGTCAAATTCCTCATTTCGTCGTGATTTCAAGATTCTTAACCCCTTGGTTTTTCTCGTCTAAATCAAGGTTTATTGTTGACTGGCAAGCCACTCGTTGTATTTTATCAGTAACGTTGGCTTATTCCTGAAAATTGTTAGACTTGACCCTTATTTTTCATTTTTCTGATTCCGTCCCAAATTGAACCTAGTAAAAATTAAAGTCTGTCCCGAGCCAATATGGCCCATCAGGCTGGCGTTTATCTCCGGTTTCAGTGGCATGAAACGACTGAGAAAATTTCTACTCCCCCTGGATGGGATGCCAGTCCATCGCAGGTTACTCCCTAGCTATTGCCGGTACCCATTTATACTCTGGGTGGAAAGAGGCAAGTGGGGATGAAGTGGCTTGCCCAAGGACACAACATATAACCAGCAGCTGGATTCGAACCCCTGACCCTCTGATCATGAGTCAAGAACCCTAACCACTAGGCCACACTTCCCCTAGAATTGAACCTTATTGAACCAAAGATCAAATATAATTTGTTCCATTTTCCTGTCAATTTTCTACCCTAGGTACCCGTTTTTGCCTTGCTTGCAAGTTGGACAAGAACAGCGCCACACGTACTTGCCTCTAGAGGTAAACACTGATTCTGAACACCTTTTGTAATTGTTCAAAAAAATTTTTATTTTCTTTTTTTTCTTAGATTTTATTTTTCTCTTTGGCTGTGGTATGTAGACTTTGAATACCTTTTGTTACTGGTCAAGTTTTTTGTCTCTTTTCGAGATATTATTATTTTAACCTGAGAAATGCAGACTCTGCATACCTTTTGTTTTTGTTCAAATTTGTTTTTAAGCTTTTCCTTTTCGTTTCTTTTTCTTTTTGATAAAGAGCACGTGTTTGTAGTGTGTACGTGTACTTTGTATTTTAAACCTCCCATTGAAAATTGTCAGATATCAAAAAGTGCATTTACTTAATTTTTAAAGTAAGAAGGTTGATGTTACATTGTGGCTGAATTTGTTTATTGTTGTTGTTGTTTACCAAATCTTTTGTTTCTTATTTTTATTTCTCTCATTCTTTGCAGGTTTGCAACATAGTGCCAGGCCAGCGCTGCATAAAGAAACTAACCGACATGCAAACCTCTACCATGATCAAGGTTGCTCAAATAAGTTGCCGTCTCCTCACGTGTGTCCCCTCCAAATCAAACTTTGAATTCTCAGACAAATTCGGTCAGAAAAACCCTCAGAAAACCCACATTGTTGGAGTTTCACTTGAACAGATGCCTTCTGCTTTTGTAATAATTAGATGAGCACAATTTGCATTCAAAACATGTGTTAATGAACACCACAAAAAAAAAAAATCCACACTCATTGGAGGGGTCCTAATTTTGAATCTGATCGTCTTATGATGCCGTCATTTATATAGACCTTTGGGAATGTTGTTAGCTACATTTTGATACCCCGTTTGCTACCAAAGACCATAAATCATCCAAGATTGACGACGGTGTATGAAAAATGATGCAGTTTGAAAAAAGTTGCAAATTTAAAGAGTGCGTGAGTGGAAATTGCTGCGTTACAATGTCACAGTGCCCAAAATGACTGGTAGGGAATATCCACTGCACAGTGCTTGCATGCATAGAGCACGCAAAATTGAATTACCCGGGCTTAGTTCGGGCACTGTGCAGTCGATAGGGCCAATTAAGGGCATGTGTGTTTTTAATTTGCAAATATTCAAACTGCATCATTTTTCATAAACAGTTGTCAATCTTGGACACTTTACAGTATACAAATAACGAATGTTTGTGAGTGCGATGGTAAGAATAATTTCATGAGGTGACAGATTGAATGTTCTATTCCACGAGGCGAAGCCGAGTGGAATAGAACATTCAATCTGTCACCGAATGAAATTATTCTTTCCATCGCACGAACGTAAAACATTCGTTATTTGTTTTATACAACACCAGAATAAATTCTCGTCATTTGATTGGTAAATTATAAACTACAATTTATTTTGATTTTAAAGATGTTGAACTACCCCTTCACGAAAATGTTTGAACCCAACGCTGTAGCGCTGGCTCTTTGGAACAATACGCGCTACGCTGAACGTGCACACCAGCATGCATTTTGCACGCAAATACCGCGTCATGGAAGAAGCGCAAAGTGAAACGGTATAACGCATGGGTATAACGCATGGTCGCACCGTGCATTATACCGAATAATAATATGTCACGTGATCTACAATTTACCAATCAGATGACGGGGTTTTATTCAGGTGTTGTATAATCTTTGATAGTAAACGGAGTATCAAAATGTAGCTAACAAAATTCCCCAATGGATATAAATGACATCGTCATAAGACGATCAAATTAAAAATTATGACCCCTCCAATGAGTGTGGACCTTTTTTTTTGCGGTGTTTAGTAATCTGTCTGTAGAAGTTACAAACTGATTAAGTTTCTGTCAGTTTCAATTAATAACACTTTTCTTTTTTGTAAAAAGCCAAACTTCTCTATACACTTGCTTTGCATTCTTGATTGAGAACGGACTGTTCGTCTTAAAAATACAATGGGAATGTGCAACGTTCTCAAAATGATGATGGAGATTTATTTATAGCTTACAGCTTTTTACTGACTTTTCTTAATCTTGCGCTCTTGTAGACAAGTTTTAGCTATTTGAATCTTTCATGTTGCAATTCCTTGGAAACGTTAGCTCAGAAGCAGTTGATCTTTTCAAGTATAACTTCAACAACTTTATTTTACTCTGGACCGGAAAGAAAAAAATTGATTTGGATTGGATACATTGTGTGGAGGCTTCCCTTACTTGAAACCTACAAGCGCTTACAGCTGCTTGTAGAACAGGCTTAGATTATTGTAGATACCATTTTTTTTTATTAGTCTTTTCAAAACCTTTCGCCAATAGTCTCATTTTTTTCATGGTAACTTCCAAATGACATATTTTGCAGAAGATTTACATCAAGATACAGTAGATATAACCTAGCAACAGGCAGTGTAGGTTCTTGTCAGAATTTTTTTTCAGATCTCTCAGGAGCTATGTGCTTAAAAATTAAACCGCTATTTTAACAATACATTTGGAGCATTAGTTAGTTAGATACATTTAGCTAACAAAAAAACTTCTGTATTCATTCAAAATGGTATGTATTCATCTTGTTTTGTATTTTCTCAAATTATTTTGAACATGTTGTGATAGTATGTACACAACAATTTTATAGAAATGGAAAATATTTTCAAATATGAACTGGTAGATATTACTGTTTAAGTATTACTTGACCATTTTTATTATTGTGTAAGAATTGTACTTGTTATTACTTCAGTTACTGAAATGACAAATTTTTATCTTGTATGAATCTCAACTGACCAGTTATTTTGATCGAAATAGTGCCATTAATGTTGCCACAAAATTTTCAGCCATTGTGCTGTATCCTTCTGCAAAAATGTGCAGATACAATCATTGTTTTGGACACATTGTTTTGGACACGTTGTTTACAAGGATTTATTTATTTACTTTTTTAATCAGGCAACTGCACGCTCAGCCCCAGACAGAGAGCGAGAAATCAACAACCTGGTGAGTATTTTCTGTGAAGAGAACAGTTTAATAACTTCGTTGTATAATCTTAATTACCCTGCCATTGGCTGTAATCCCACCACTGACACCACATTTCTTCATGTTCTGATCCTTATAGGTTCACAGAGCACAGTTCAATAACATCCACTGTGTTGTATAATCTAAATTACTGTGTCATTGGCCGTAATCCCACCGCTGCCACCACATTTCTTCATGTTGTTCTGATCCGTATAGATTCACAGGACACAGTTCAATAACCACTGTGTTGTATAATCTAAATTACTCTGTCATTTGCCGTAATCCCACCGCTGACACCACATTTCTTCATGTTGCTCTGATCCGTATAGGTCCACAGGGCACAGTTCAATAATAACCACTGTGTTGTATAATCTAAATTGTCATTAGCCATAATCCCACCGCTGACACCACATTTCTTCATGTTGTGATCCGTATAGGTCCACAGGGCACAATTCAATAACAACCACTGTGTTGTATAATCTAAACTACTCTGTCATTGGCCGTAATCCCACCGCTGACACCACTTTTGCATTTTGTTCTGATCAACAAAGGTTCACAGGGCACAGTTCAACAACGACCCCTACGTGCAGGAGTTCAGCCTCAACATCAGCACGGACATGGTTCGCATCGAGGGGCGTGTCCTGCCGGCTCCGAAGATCCAATACGGAGGACGAGTGGGTGTAAACATTCCTCCATTCTTCCAATTTTTAACGCTTAACACTCCGAAATAAAAAAATAACAAATGCCTGGTTTTATATTAATTATTTAGATTCCAGCAACATTGATTGAACATTAGGCTTAACCTAATTGGAAAGAGTTCATCATCCTGCTCAGGGATGACTGGGTTCTTGTGAAAGACTTATGAAGGACTCGATTACAACCCACGCCAAGTTAAACATGGATTCCCTTTCGCAATGGGTGACCTTTTTGTTTGTTCAATTCGTACAGCAACAGAGTGGCAGAATGTTGGCGGTGCCTACGCAGGGCGTCTGGGACATGCGGGGAAAGCAGTTCCACACGGGAGTCAAGATCAGCACCTGGGCCATCGCCTGCTTCGCACAACAGCACCAGTGTAAAGAAGAAGCACTCAAGTAAGTAGTGAAACATCAGTGTGGTCACAAGTCCATCACAGATCAAGCATAAGTTTCATCACAAGGCTATCACAGATCAGGCACAAGCCATCACTAGTCAATCACAAGTCCATCACAGATCAAGCATAAGTTTCATCACAAGGCTATCACAGATCAGGCACAAGCCATCACTAGTCAATCACAAGTCCATCACAGATCAAGCATAAGTTTCATCACAAGGCTATCACAGATCAGGCACAAGCCATCACTAGTCAATCACAAGTCCATCACAGATCAAGCATAAGTTTCATCACAAGGCTATCACAGATCAGGCAAAAGCCAATCATAAGTCAATCACAGGTCCATCATAAGTCATTCCTAAGTCAATAGCAGGTCAAGTACAACAGCTCCACCTCAAACGTAATCACAAATCGATCACAACTCCTTCACAAGCTTTCACAAGACAATCGGCAAGAAAATCACTAGTAAAACACAAGTCAGTCACATGTCATTGACAAGTCCATCACTAGCTCATCACAGGTCAATCACAAAATGAACAATGATAAAAGAAAGGCCTTGTTACTTCTCATTTGAGTGGCTTGTTGCATGGCTCCAGACTAGAAGACTAGTGAATGACTAGTGAATGACTTGTGATGACTTGTGATGACTTACGATGACTTATGACTACCCGCTTTTAAGCAAAAGTTGGCTGAATACAGTCACAAGGAGTACAGATCGTAAAGGCTGCTAATGTATTTTTTCTCAGCAGATATTTTTTTTCCACTAAGCAAATATGTGCATGCTGTTAAGCAATTTTCATACCTTCCACGCTAGGAATTTCACCAGCCAACTCCAGAAGATCTTCAGCGACGCCGGCATGAAATTTGGCTGAATACCAGTCACAAGCAATATAATCATGTGCCATTTAGGCTGGTAACCCTTTCTTGCTAAGCAGATTGTTTTTTAATGCTCAGCAGTACTTGTTCATGCTAAGCAAATTTCCTTTCTTCTTCCATGCTAGGAATTTCACCAGTCAACTCCAGAAGATCTCCAGCGACGCCGGCATGAAATTTGGCTGAATACCAGTCACAAGCAATATAATCATGTGCCATTTCAGCTGGTAACCCTTTCTTGCTCAGCAGATTTTTTTTAATGCTCAGCAGTACTTGTTTATGCTAAGCAAATTTCCATTCATCTTCCACATTAGGAATTGCCCCAGTCAACTCCAGAAGATCTCCAGCGACGCCAGCATGAAATTTGGCTGAATACCAGTCACAAGCAATATAATCGTGTGCCATTTAAGCTGGTTACCCTTTCTTGCTCAGAAGATCCTTTTTTACGCTCAGCAGTACCTGTTCATGCTAAGCAAATTTCCTTTCTTCTTCCACGCTAGGAATTTCACCAGTCAACTCCAGAAGATCTCCAGCGACGCCGGCATGAAATTTGGCTGAATACCAGTCACAAGCAATATAATCGTGTGCCATTTAAGCTGGTTACCCTTTCTTGCTCAGAAGATCCTTTTTTACACTCAGCAGTACTTGTTTATGCTAAGCAAATTTGCTTTCATCTTCCACGCTAGGAATTTTACCAGTCAACTCCAGAAGATCTCCAGCGACGCCGGCATGCCCATCGGCTGCCAGCCCGTGTTCTGCAAGTACGCCCAGGGCGCTGACCAGGTGGAACCCATGTTCCGCTATCTCAAGAGACAGTTCCCCGATTTACAGCTCATCGTGGTGGTCCTCCCGGGAAAGACGCCCGTTTACGGTGAGGATCTGAAAAAAACTTTCAGGACTTTCTAAAGAAGATCCTTAACCCTAACTCCCTAGGCCTTTTTGCTAGGATGTCGCCTCAATCCTGCAAAATACTCCAATTGGCCTCATGGAAAAATAGCATATAGCCTCAATCCTGCAAATTCCTCCATTATTTCTTGAATATGGTCCGTTGAGGGGTAACCACTGCCTGAATCCTGCAAAATCCTGCGGCAGTGACTGTCAATATGTTCAGGCTTGGCCAGTGACATCCTGGAGCAGTACGGAGGATTTCAAGCATAATCCATGCCTATATTTATGCGTGGCTGAGCAAAACAACACAAGGTCCGGCCCAAGACCTCGACAAAGTGCATCCCACGGAATCAGTATCACACTTTTGCCATGTAACCTCAATCCTCCAAATTCCTCCACTTTGGCAAAGAGGATTTTGAAGGATTCAGGGCGGTTAGGGATAATTAATAAAGGCACGTGGAGCCGCTACATTGCTCAGTAACACACCCGCTGATTTCATGAGAAGATAGGACTGGTACAAATACCCTGTGAAATTACTCCAGCTGAATTACTAAACTTGGAAGAAAACAATACTTTGTTCAATGCGTTGTGGTTTTCTTTTTCCAGCTGAGGTCAAGAGAATAGGCGACACGCTTCTGGGCATCGCCACCCAGTGCGTCCAGATGAAGAACGTCAACCGCACCACCGCCCAGACCCTGTCCAACCTCTGCCTCAAGATCAACGTCAAGCTTGGAGGGGTCAACAACATCCTGGTGCCCAACCAGAGGTCAGTATTGGCTCCGCGCATGCACCGCAGAGGGCGATATTACGTGTCTACGTTGAACTCGTATCCACTGGTCTCAATCAAAATGCTGGTACAAGACGATTAACTTTTCAAATGTGACCCAAGTATTCCTAGATCCTTTAAACTCTGCTGTAGCTTTAAAGGGTCATTTATCCTTGTTCCTACTAGCCAGAGCTCAGTATTGGCTCTGTGCATTCACTGTAGAGGGCGCTATAACACCTCTTTATAGACATAGAGGTTTGCTATACATGAGGATCTAAAACAGTATCCTTAACTTGTCAACATCCATTCCATTTGCTGATCACAAAGATCATCATGGTCCTGAAGTTGCTGAGAAAGTGATGAATGATAACCACTTTTTTGATAACTATATTTTATTTTATTTTATTTTTACATCTTGCAGACCAGCGTTGTTCCGTCAGCCAGTCATTTTCCTGGGTGCTGATGTGACTCATCCACCTGCTGGAGATGACAAGAAACCTTCCATTGCTGCTGTAAGGAGGAAGCATGAGAAATTTGTTGACATTGCTGTAAAATATGCAGATATTGACTGGGCAATATTCAATTATTGACTGGGCATTATACACATTTTAACTGGGCAATATACAACTATTGTCCGGTCCACATAAAAATATTGAATAACCAACATAACTTATGATTGGCCAGTCATAATACATTTACGGGTAGTTTACACATATTGACAGGTCAGTATTGCAATAGTGACTGGCCAATATATAAATATTGTCTGGCTAATATATAAATATTGACTGGCTAATATATGAATATTGACTGGCTTATATATAAATATTGACTGGCCAATATTATAAATATTGATTGGCAAATATACAGATTGATTGACCAGACAGCCTACACATATTGACTGGCCAATGTACCAATATTGACCAGCCGATATATAACTATTGACCAGCCGATATAAAACTATTGACTGGTCATTATATACAAACTTGAATATTGCACTTGCAGGTTGTGGGTAGCATGGACGCCCATCCCAGCCGCTATACAGCCAGCGTTCACGTCCAGCAGCACCGTCAAGAGATCATCGTCGACCTCAAGGTCATGGTCAGAGAGATTCTAATCCAGTTCTACCAAACGACGCGCTTCAAGCCAGCCCGTATTATCCTGTACCGGGACGGTGTGAGCGAAGGCCAGTTCCCACAGGTAAGAAGAGCGACCTGAAAATGGGAACATACCAATTTCCTACACCCATATCAGTGTGGTATTCTAGAGTCGCATCAAACCAGACAATTCCAAACTAAAAGTTCATTAAGTACGTGAACAATTGAAGTTTGGAAGAGTCGAGGATAACTGCATCAAAAAATTGAAATATATTTCAGGCCTTCGTACTTTGATCAAAAGGGTTGGGATTTCAGCAGAATTGAAATGACGAACATCATTGTGGATTCTTTTGTTTCGTAACTTTTTTATTTGAAATTTTGTGGGTTTTTTTTACCATCAGGTTCTGAACCACGAGCTGCGTGCAATCCGCGAGGCCTGTATGTCCCTGGAGGCGGGGTACCAGCCCGGAATCACATTCATCGCTGTGCAGAAGCGGCACCATACTAGGCTGTTCTGTGCTGACAAGAAGGAACAGGTATGACAGATTCGGCACTCTATCTTCAGTAACAAAGTCTGTCATGAGCAATATGGCCAATCAGGCCAGCGTTTATCTCTGGTTTCCTTGACATGAAATAATGGGGAATACTCCTATTTCTCCTGAACGGGATGCCAGTTCTTCGCAGGTGGGAGAGGCAAGTTGGGGTGAAAGGGCTTGCCCAAGGACACAACAAATGGCCAGTAGCTTGATTCGAACCCCTGACCCTCTGGTAATGACTCACGAAGCCTAACCACTAGGCAACACTCCCCTTCTTCAGTGCACAACTTCAAAACTTTTAACAGTTTCTTGTTACTCTTCATTTTGAAGAAAAGGATCCTCAATATTTTTAGCAAAAGAGTTGTCGTAATGACACAATTTTCTTGGTACGGACACTAGAAAAATCCCATTTATTGAAGCCGTTTGCTAACTTTCTAAAAAATGTTAAAATGTAATTTTAGAGCTGTAGAAATATTTAAATTTACAACAATGACTTTGCACTCACGTGTGTTTATCCCCCAACAATGCATTGTTAGAGTTTCTCATTCGAATAACCCGCCTATGGTAACATGCATTGTCAGCCTGCTTATTACTTGGGTCAATATTGGTCAAGACCCCCCATTGGTTTGTACACAGTAGGCCAGGAGGTGAGGAAGACAATTTTGACCATTGGTGACCTCTTAAGCAAAGGGAGGATTAAGACATATTCGGCGTCGTTTTCACTGGTTTCTGTCATTTTCATTCTCGTAGATTGGCAAGAGTGGTAACATTCCAGCCGGTACCACGGTGGACACCGGTATCACCCACCCTAACGAGTTTGACTTCTACCTCTGCAGTCACGCTGGTATCCAGGTAAAGGCCCGTCTCATTTCACGTCCGGGATGAGTTCTGTACAAGTGGCGGGCATTGCCGACGATGCCCGACACTCACGCGAAGACTCACTCATAAAATAAGCCATGCGAACCTTTGGCTATGGGCTCCGTGCACAAGTACCCCATCAACGGCCAGAAAAGGATAGTTGGGGAAGATCTAGGCTGGCTCTCGATACATCCACTGCGTATTTCGTATGTATCCAAAGTTATTGGAGGCAGGGATTAGTTTCGGAGACCTTCACAAGTTGAATTCGAACGTATCCGTGCACCGACGACGCCTGACGCTCACGTGAAGACACGGTGGCTTTAGCTTTTGCACATTCAGGAAGTCGTGCGTACACGTGTCGTGTCCCATCCACATGGCTCTCGTAGGTGAAATAGCGCCCTCTTTTGTTCGCGCATGGCGCATGGAATGCTCAAAGTCAGGGTTGTTAAAACCATGCTTATCTGACAGTCATGGAACACCATTTGAATTTGTTTCGATTTTTTTTCTTTTTTCTTCTTCTTTTTTCTTCTTCTTCTTTTTTCTTCTTCTTCTTTTTTCTTCTTCTTCTTTTTTCTTCTTCTTCTTTTTTCTTCTTCTTCTTTTTTCTTCTTCTTCTTTTTTCTTCTTCTTTTTTTTTCTTCTTCTTCTTTTTTCTTCTTCTTCTTTTTTCTTCTTCTTCTTTTTTCTTCTTCTTCTTTTTTCTTCTTCTTCTTTTTTCTTCTTCTTTTTTCTTCTTCTTCTTTTAGGGGACAAGTCGTCCGTCCCACTACCACGTCCTGTGGGACGACAACGATTTCACCGCCGATGACCTGCAGTGCCTGACCTATCAACTGTGCCATACCTACGTGCGCTGCACACGCAGCGTCTCCATCCCGGCACCGGCCTACTACGCGCATCTGGTGGCGTTCCGGGCGCGCTACCATCTTGTCGAGAAGGACCACGACGGTTATGTCAGGTACGAAAAAAACAAAAAAAGGCAACTGTTATAATAATCAGGCAAGAAAAAGTTTTAGAATTTACACTTATGACGAGCCCTGACGATTTGAAACAAAAAATATTGTGCACATTATGAGACAAATTAAGTGTAGTGATAATGAAACATTTGTTTTATAAAAACCTACAAGTAAACCTTTCTTTAATTTTATGAAAACGTAGAGTTTGGTTTTAAAAACTTAGAGGTTTTTTAAAAAAAAGTTATTGACCACAAATTTCAGCCGTGGTTTGCCTCAAAGTGAACATTTACGTCCTCAGTATTTATCAAGTGGTTACGTCCTTAAAGTTGAACTTGAAATTGAATGTGGCAGAGTTTGAACCTGCATCCTCCGGATTGCCGTTCCAGTGCTCTACCAACTGAGCTATCCAGCCCTATGTTGGGGGTTCAGGTTTATGTCTTCCGACTAGCGCCCCTTGAAGAAAGACATTGACAGAAATAGAGCTTGATAGCTCAGTTGGTAGAGCACCGGAACATCAATCCAGAGGAAGCAGGTTCAAACCTAGCTCAAGTCACTTTCTTTGTTCAACTTTAAAATTATTATAATGCACCTAGTCAGTTTTCCTATGACGTTTATTTGAAAATTGGTTATAGTTATCAAAATGTTGTTAGACTACTCAGTGCTCTTAATGATTTTTTGTTTAAATTGGTTAGTTTTGGTTCTGTTTTTGCAACGGCCAACCAAAGTTTGCAAACCATTTTGGCAAAAACTACATTGATATAGCGTACGAAAGGTCTACACACCAATACCTAAATGATCGTTTTAACAACCATAGTTGTACGCCATGCAAAATACCTTTCGTTTCCACAACTTTTATTTCAACTTATTAATGAATAATTTCTTCTTCTTTTTGCCATTTTCTCCCACAGTGGTCATCATTCAGGAACCAACAGCAAGTGAGTATCATAATTTTCGGAATATAAGCCACGGCTTATACATTGATTTTGCCCATGTAAATGTTTACTGCAGCTTATACACAGGGCAGCTTATACGCGAGCCTTGAAGAATAAAAATTAGATTCACATGTGTATCTAATGTACTGGTATAAGAGATGTGTTGCTGAAATGAAATATTAAGAAAGTCATTAACAAATTATTTTGCTGTAATTTTAATTGTTCTATGTGAATAATCGACGCCTGAAGTCGGATATACCAGAAAAATCATGTGAAAATTGATAGTGATTATTTTGTATTTTTGAGTAGCAAAGGTATCAACGATCACACTATGCATTTTTGTTGGGAAAAAAATACCTACAAAAGTGGAAAAAACTGAAGAACATTTTGTCCTTGGCGGCGCAATACGTTTTAATTTTTTTTCAAAGCCGTTTTTCTCGAAATGAAGTTAAAGAAAGTTGGCAGGACACTGTTGAAGTTCCTGCGTCATATCTTTGGAATAAATTAAGCTCCAGAAATAAATTTGGTATCATTGGAAAGCCAATGATTTGCGCTTAAACATGATGTACACAACGTGAAAAGTCAAAGGTGTGGTTATTCCTCGTTATGCTATGGCAGGTCACATATCATTTTCCGGAGATTGATGTTTTTTCCCTTTATTTTTATTTTTTCCACCAGTGGTGATGGTAGCCACACTACAAGTACCAGCGGGGGGCGGAGCATAGAGGAGATGATGAGGGCGGTGAAAGTCCACGACGACATTCTCCGGGTCATGTATTTCGCTTAGCATTTTCACTTAGCAGGGTGCGCAGAAGGAATCATAAGGGTAATGTTGTCCGTTGCGTGAAACAGTAAGAGCTCAAAAACATTGCTCAGCACATTTGACGCTAAGCCAAAGCTGGGCCGGAAACCAGTTACTGAGTAATATGCATCACATGAGTTTTGAGCTGGTAACCATTCTGTTTTCGCTTAGCTGAAGCTTTTTGTGTTAAGCAGATACCAGTGTTCAGCTACTTAGAGTTTGACGTGACTTTTTTTCTAAGCAGAAATTCCAAGCTGAAACACAAAAGGCTAAGCAAATATGTCTCTCGAGAAAAGATGAGCTGGGGACCAGTGAAAAGCAATGTACATTGTACATTACATGCCGTTTTGCGCGGTTACCAGTTTTTAAGCTCGGCACAACTCTATTGGGCTAAGCAATTTTCGTTTTGTCGTTGTAAGCAACTTTGGCCGTTGTAATTATTTGAGTGGTTTTCTAAGTCTTCTTTGCATACAAAATTAATCTCAATAATGTTTTCTTAATCAACTCTGTGGACGTTGTGTCCAATTTGCCCAGATGTTTTTTAACTTTCCACCCGATTGTTGCAATAAGATAGAAAGTGATATTCCTACAATTTCTTGACTTAGCCTTGCAATTTTCACCCTGTTTATTTCCACACAATGCTTAATGTTATCTGAACATGAGTTCTTTGCTAACCTTTAGAGAACTACACTGACTGTGTAGCACTAAGAATAATGACTCTCTTCGGGACTGCCCTATCAGAAGCCTGCCCTCTCTAGTCCAATAAGGTCCAGGTTTACTACTTACAGCACTACGAGTCAGTCGTAACTGGATTGGCCATTCATGAAGTATGTTATACATTGTATACATTGACTATTTAAAAACAGCGGAACTTGTTACGTGGTTTCCTCCCCCCCCCCCCCCCCCTTAGTATTCGTCCAGGATTACTAGTGAGCCATATTTGATGCCAAAAGTAATCCTTGGATTTTTTGTAGCCCTCTGTGATGTCAAAAATGATCCATGAAATGTACTTGTGGAACCATGTTTAATTAATACCAAGTAGCCAACAGTTAAAATGCGCTGCAAAGCACACCATGTAATGTATTTGGACCAGTGAGCCCGACAATAATGTACAGTTATAATATTACATGTCCCTTGAAATTCAACCTTAAAAAGTCACAAAAGTGGTTGACTTTCTTAGACTTCTTGAAATCAATATTGGAGTCTGTACATGTAGTCTCTAACTTGACTTGTTTATTTATTGATTTTTGCTGGTCCCAGAGGGCCAGCCTAGTGTTCCCTTTGTATCTGTTGGACTGACTGTAAGCCGGGCAGTGCTGTTGTATAGGATTACCTTGTAATGCCAACGGATGGGCTGAATCAGCCTAATGTGTACACCACATGCATGGAGAGACTCGAGCCCGCCGCACACGAGAGCTACGTGCTTAGCAAAAAGTCATTCAAGGCCGTATGCTCAGCACGTAGCTCACAAAATGTCCCAGTGTGCGGTAAATTTTTGCTGAGTTTTCTGCCTCGCAAGGTCGTGAGGTAGATATCTATCCTGCCTGATTTTTTTTTTTTTTTGAGGCAAAAAACTCACTGTGTGGCAATCTGAGCTTCAAGGCTTTACAGTTAATAGTCATGTGAATCAATTGAAGAGAATTCTGTGTACTCTGGGACCGGCTTTATTAGGTTTGCCTCGTCTTGTTTTTCTATGGCTAGAATATATTTACATTTTCCGTAAACGTGTGTATGTGCCTGTGGATCAGTCGAGCGTTGCATTATATAAAAAAAAAAATTTAAACACTCGCGCTTGTTTAACTTCACTGCAATCACCTCACACTATGCACAAAGTGGTCTTTGTAAATAATCAACACATGAAATAGTCGTAGTGTTTAGAACGATTTATCATGTACAGTTAATAGTGTCGGTGTGGCTATTTCATGTCTGAAGAAAGAAATAGTTTGAGAGATGTTAACTTGCGTTGAAGCAAATCATGTCACATTTTGTGCAGAAATTTTGACTCCTGTAAATATATTTTTCAGTTTACTGGTCTTGCTTTCAAAATTTAGAAATTTCATCATTTCTGGTATTAATTGGAACGATAAGATCTCATATCTCCATAACTTATGTATCTAGCGATAAAACAACTTAAAAGTTCAGAGAAAAATACCTATAACTGTCAAATTTATGAAATGCGTCATTACATTGCCATTTTCATGACAATGTGACTTTGAGAATTGTTCTTGGGTGAGAACGTACTATTCGTGTAAAGGTTTAAAGGTCAAAGTGCAGAGGTCAGAGTTCACAGTGCAGAGTTCAGGGTAAAGTTCAAAGGTCATAGTGGCGTGTGTGTATTATTGACTGGGACCAATTTCAGGAAGCTGCTTTGCCGAAAATGCTTAGAAGCTTTATGCGCTAAGCGAAAGATAAGTTGAGAACCGGTCACAAGTCATTGACATCGCATGGCATCTTGGCTGGTATCCCATTTCCGCTAAGCAGGTTTTTCCCGTGATTAAGCAGATTCCTGAGATTTGCCCTCGTGGTGCTGGACTCATGAGGTAAAATAACGGAACAAGAAAATGCAATAGTTATGACTTTTGAAATAACAAAAAACAAATATTTATTAATAAATATAATTGAAAAATATAGCAATAGTCCGCGCCGGCCAATAAAAATTGAAAAGAAAAAGTGTCATGGGTTTTTGTGTAATATAAACATTTTGAAAAGAAAACGAAATCATGATCAATCTAATCATTAGTTTTAGATGGATAAGTGTTTTTTTCGTGTTGACGTGATTTGTAGATAAAGTTAGATGAAAGTTTCATTTCTTGGTGTGATTTTGTTTTCTCAGAACAGTAACTACCATCGCAACAATTTTGAGATGGTAGATCAGAAACTATGCCGTTTGTGTGTATAACTTCAGACTATCGTTGTTTGAGATCAATTATACAATACCTGAATAAATCCCTGTTATCCCCTACACATTGAGTCGTTTGTCCCAACCCATGGCCCAGCCGCACCACAAGATTAGCTCTATTCCACGGTAAATAGAAATTCTATTGCACGGTCACACCATTGTGGCTCTGACCAATCAGATGACGAGGATTTATTCAGGTGTTGTATAAAACAAATAATAAGTGTTTCACTTTTGTATTTTCATTCGGTGACAGATTGAATGTTCCATGCCACGAGACCAACATTCCATCTGTCACCTCATGAAATTATTCTTACTATTGCACTCGTAAACAGTCATTGCACTGTAGGTGTATACTTATAGTTTCCTAGCTTTTACTCTGATAAGTACAAAATCTCCAACTGGTTCCAGTTGAAACTACAACCTTAAAACCTCAATTCAATTTGTTACAGTGCTCTAGTTTTTCTAACTACATGTATATTAGTGGGGTAGAAATAATTCCTACTTTTGAGCCAAAAAAAATACCATTCATTTTAAATTTTTATATGTGTTTATTTCTATTTGATTATCTACATATTTGTTTTCTGAATTGATTTACTGATTACTTATAAGAAGGAAAATTTTGCAGTGATGAGCCATTATTTTTTTTTTCTTAATGAAAGTGGAGCCGTAAGTAGGTTAAAATTAAGGTGTAGTTGTCTGTTTTCTGATAAAACCATGTTTGTTGTCATAGCTTGTTCGAAAATTTTGTGAAATCTAAAAAAAAATCCGAAAATGTTGGTGGAATTTTGTTCTGATTGTATCTTTAAAAGTTGTGGTATTGTTTTGTTCAGAGTGTTGCTTTGGACGTTGAATTATATGCTGCAATTTTTGTTTTGATGTGGATTCAGAACAGTCTACGGCTGTTTTGTGCTGCAAAATGTGAAGATAAAATGCATATGGAGGTTTAGAATTGACAGGAAACAGTAGTTTATTTGACACGAATTATGTAGGATCTATTATTGGACCTGAAGGGTCAATGCATAGGTCCTTTACAGGGGTAGGGCATCTTTACAGGGCTTTTTTGTACGATCTGGTGTAGGTCCTTTTTAGTAAAGATAATGTTCCTTTAATTGGTCATATGCAATGTTAGGACATAATTTGACTGATTTTGTACATGTACGATCCAATATAGGTCCTGTAATTTGGGATTGTTCCCACTCATAGGTCCTTTGTAGGTGAGAAACCTGTGAGCCTATGATCGTATTCTTTCTCAGTATGTGACATGTAGATCCAGTGTAGGTGTTAGACCCAGACCGTTGTAAAGGTGAGCCCGATCCAAAGAGTTCTTGCTTTAAGTGAATCCTACATAGGTCCTTTGTACCTGATCCTATGGATCATAGGTGAGATAGGCCATGCAAGGTACTGTAGTCGTAATAGATCCCACAGTATTCCAAAGTGTTCCTCAATGTAACATTGGTCCTACCCAGGTGAGATTGTAGCACCTACATAGGTGCCACAAAGCCTCATTGTGACCATAGGTCAAATAGATCCTACATATATAGGCCATGCAAGATACTGTTGTCGTAAATCGCCATCAATGATATATATTCCACAGTGGTCCTCAATGTAACATTGGTCCTACCCAGCTGAGATTGTAGCACCTACATAGGTGCCACAAATCCTCATTGTGACCATAGGTCAAATAGATCCTACATATATAGGCCATGCAAGATACTGTAGTCGTAAATTGCCATCAATGACATAGATTCCACAGTGGTCCTCAATGTATCATTGGTCCTACACAGGTGAGATTGTAGCACCTACGTTGGTGCCACAATTAGCCTCACTGTGACCATAGGTCAAATAGATCCTACATATATAGGCCATGCAAGATACTGTAGTCGTAAATTGCCATCAATGATATAGATTCCACAGTGGTCCTCAATGTAACATCGGTCCTACCCAGGCGAGATTGTAGCTTCTACGTAGGTGCAACAAAGCCTCATTGTGACCATAGGTCAAATATATCATACATAGCTACTACACAGATTATATCATGTAGGTGTAGCCTAGATTATGCATATTGGTCAAATATTTTTTGAAGATGCCGTGAGTCTAATTTACAGTTGTATCCTGAAATAATTTTACTGCAATCTTCAACATTATCTATACAAAAGGGCACAAGTACCAACTTCTTAAAATCCTTGACAGAGTTGGTTTCAAGAAATGACTAACATGTGAGTCAAGTTTCGTTTTCAAATCAAATTTTCTTTTATTCGAGACCAACATGAAAGTGTCTGAATGTTAGAGAATTTTTGACGCAATATTGCCGTAAAAGTTTATCAGTTAACGTAGTACTTTTCCATTATCTAAAAATAGTCATAAAGTCAGTAGGTAATGTATGTTATCCCACTCGCAGCACAATAATTATGAATTAACAACATCGTTTTTATTTATTTGTTGCAATGTATAACTCTGTTTATGCTTTTTGCTGTGGCTTAAAGGTATTTTACTCTTTTGTGTCTGCTGATTATTTTGAGAGAAAAATAAACATTTGTATGCTTTCAGAGAATAAATATTGACATATGGAAAGCGTGTGCGCAGTGTGTTTTGTTTTGAGAAATATAAATAGACCGAGCTATGAGGCCACGCCCACTTCGCACGTGGGCAAAAAAACACGTGCGTCTGTCCATCCAATCCAGTTTGCAAGTTCGAGACCTGCAAACAGGGCGGGGGGGGGGGTACGAGCGAAGTTCGCAAGTGGCTTCTTTTCCAGTTTGGGAGATATCATTCGTTTGAGGGGTGATCATGTTCTTGGGTGAGAATTTCTCTAAAAATTCATTGGTCAACCCACCAAAAATTGAAAGAAAAATGAAAGACATGTTGTTCATTTTTCTGTGCAGCCTGAACACCTGTGAGAGTTTTGAGAATTTTTAAAAGAATTTTGAAGCATGGGCATTTATCACTGTTGTCTATGGGGATTTTTTTATGTGGTGCACTTTCATAAGTGTGTAGCCTGAACACCTGCGAGAGTTCTGAGTATTTGTAAAAGAATTTTGAAGTATGGGGATTCAACACTGGTATCGATGGGAATTTATTTCCTGGGTTGCACCCATAGCGCTAGCTGTTTAAAACTATTTTTTTACAGCTCGAGGGTTGCACCCCCGCCGATGTGGTAAAAAAAAAATCAAGAAAGAGGGCGCTATATATCGCCCTTTTAATTTTGGGCTATTTTAGCGCCTAGAAATGCTCGGCTGTAGCACAAAAGTTGCCGGTTCTTTTAGTGAAACGGAATACCCATTTGGGCTCCATGCGATATGCATGACATGCGTGCGAAATGTGCTGGTACTTCCGGATCGGGTTGTTGTTGATTGATTGACGTCGAGGAGGTAGGTTTTCTGATATTTTTCATTGAACACAGACAGATTAATATTGCCTCAAGGGCTGAGAACTGAAGATTTGAGAATTGGGCATGTTGGGATGGCAGTTCAGCATCAGTTGGGTTTTAATTTGGTCATTTGGTTTAGGCAGTGCAGTGTCGATGTCGGCGCGCGGGCGGCCTCGTCGTCGTACTGCCATGACTGCCAATTCAATGCCTCAGTCCACACGTAAACATGTCACACACATGGCATCATGACATGGTAAACCAAGATTTCTTTGTCTTGTGCATTTACGTAAAGAGGGAAAATCATTGACTTATTGGTCACCGTGTCTACCCTTCTTGTTAAAAATTTTTGGAAAGAATGTTGCATCTTGAAGGCACTTTTGTTCATCATCAATGACAATTAACGTCAGTCATTGCAAAGACATGAATCTGGGACTGAGACATTTCTAATTTTGGTAGAAAATACTTTGAAAATGCACTCGACTCTCCTTAGACTTGAATTGTAGTACAACCAAAGAAGTGGCGTCTTGATAAACATTCTTTCTGATTTTTTTTTTTTTGTCTTTTTTCCAGTGACAGAAAATGCTGCAATAATGGATGATACAAACTGTTCTCAGGCATGCCAGGAAGGTCATCAAACATGTCAAACAGGAAGTGATTTTCACCACACTGACTTTTGGAAAATTATCGGTAATTTTATGGAGTTTATGATTTATACCTTAATTGTGGTTACATGCTATTATTTATATCAAATAAGTTCAACAATTATGATAAAAAAGCAGATTTAACCATGATTTAACACCAAACCTTTCCTTTATCTGTAATCACTTATTATTTTGTTTTCAGTCACAACTCTCCTTATTCTAATTCTCACGCCTTGCGTTGTTGCAACAACTGTCGCCCCACCCTCTGAATCCATAGCAACACCGGTAAATACCAGTTCGCAACAGCCACCTACAGAGGGAGTATCAACAGGAAGCATTGCAACGCCAACTGACTCTACACCTTCAACTTCAAGAAATGCTGCTCTATCAACGCAACTTAGCAGCGCAACAAAGACGTTAAACCTTACACATGGACCAACTCGCACACCAACCTCAGAAATTTCAACTACCATTCCAGACAAAAACAATGAACCACATTCAAGTTACGAAACACCGTTAACCTCAGCTACCAACTCTTTAACAGAATCAACGACAAATTTAAGAGAAGTATCGACAAATGTCAACCAAACTACAAAAATGAGCACCGCAAATACTGTTTCACAAACAACTGCCACAGAAAGCTTTTTTACCGCCGGTATCTCTGTAACCCGAATTTTGACATCTGTAGCACCACTGACCTCAGCCACTCGGTCGGACACACCCACCCCATCCCAAGCCACACCCAGCCCATCCCAAGCCACACCCACCCCATCCCAAGCCACACCCACCAAATCCCAAGCCACACCCAACAGTACTATTTCAACATTGTCTCAAGATACTTCAACTGAAGCACCAGAAACAACATCTATATACACAACAAGGGAAGGCCCCACAAATCCAGCCCAAACCACGCCCACCACTACCAGTACTTTCGTCACGCCATCTCAAAGTGTAACTACCGAAACACCACACACAACACCAAAAACAACCATCTCTACTCCAGAAACTAGTACTTTTTACACATCGCCTCACAACATTGCAACACAAACACCAAAATCAACGTCAAACAATGTCAAAACCAGTGCTGCATCTACGGTTTTTATTTTTGATACAACATCAACAGCAGTTACCACTGCAGCAACAAGGTTAATGCCAGGTGGGTCGTCACTGACGACAGAACAATGGATAGGAATTGGTGTCGCCATCGGGATGTTTGTTGCAATAGTGGGTAAGTTTTGTTAAAGTCAACGGTCCTTTATGAAGTTGTAATTAAAAAAGACGTATCTTCTTTGAGTGATCCCCATTTGCTATTTCCCAGGTTTGCAGCATTGCTAATGTTGCTAGCATCGTGACTTTGAGTGTGATCCCTGGCTACATGGCATATATGGGTTTATGGCTGCTGACTTGCACCCTTGAACAAAGACATTGACAAAATGGGGAGCCGCCAACATAGGGCTGGATAGCTCAGTTGGTAGAGCACTGGAACGGCAATCCGGAGGTCACAGGTTCAAACCCCACTCATCAATCTCTTTGTTCAACTTTAACAAATTATTATAACCACATAGTCAGTTTCCCGCCCTGATTTCAAATTGTTCTTTCATCTGCAGTTATCGTTCTATGCTTACTCTTGTGGATGAGAACCAGGCGAAACGTGCTTAGCAAGAAACCCTCGATTAAAGTAAGCAGGGAGGACTACTCAAACAGCAGCACGCTGGCCTTGAAAGATCCACAGTGGCGGAAAAGCTTAACCATGGCACTACAGTCGATGAACACACACATAGAATTACCAAAGGTATAGTACCCTGATCAGGACCATTTACTTAACACACATTTGGCTTCAGGGAACCAGATTCATGTAGCTGCTTAGCAGACAATTCTGCTCAGCAGATTTTCTTGCTAAGCAGAAAGGAGCAGGGAACCGGTCACAAGCAGTACATATCCTGTGACATTTTGGTTGGTGACCAAGTTTTGCTTAGCGAATGTATTTTCAGCTTAGCAAAATTTTGAATTTGGTCCCTAATAATTCATTAAATTGCCGAGTGGAAAAAAACCTTAAAGCTTGTTTACTGGTTAAGCAAAAATTAGCTGGGAACCAGTTAAAAAAATAGACATGTGGATTATATGACTTTTTGGCTGGTAACCTGTTTCCACCAAGAAAACATTTTTATGTGATTAGCAATTTTCTGTGCTTAAGAATTTTCTTAAGACTTGTGATGGTTTTGTGATATATTTGTGATGGAAACGACTACGAGACTTCCAGAAAGAACATTTCTATGAAAACCATACGGTGGAACTGCCTGGTTCCGGAAAGAATATGAAATAAATTTTAATTGATTCTGACACTTTATATTCAAATTTCAGGAAACTGGTGAGGAGATGCAAGCAGTCGACAATGCAGGGTACGCAGAAGAGTCACATGACCCTCAGACATCCAATCAGGACCCATCACACCTGACAAAGGTCTGAAATGGACCAATCAGAGGTTTGTATTTTTTTAGGGAGGCATTAGAAATGTCAAGCAACAATTTGATGAGGCTGAAAACTAAAACTTGGTTGGTGAGATTTTCGTTTGTTTAAAACAAAATAATCTTTCAAATAATTTTGCCGAACTTTTTTAAATTAATAAAGAGTACTAAACATGTAATATGCCCAGGGTAAGAAGTACTCAAACTTATTTAAACACTTTTTTAGAAATGTTGGGATGTTTTTTATTCCCAAACTCAGAAATCGTGGAGATGTCATTTAGTGCAGCAACAAGCCACCATGTAATGCATGTATAATTGTATTCAGTTTAAAGGGGCACTAGGTCCTGAAAATCCCCGAAAATTCTATGTTTTGGATTGTTTACTTAGCCTATTTCAAAAATCTGGTTGAAAGGAAACAACCTAATGCCTTACCGTTCCCGAGAAAAGACGAAAACAAACCCGCTTGTTTACGTCGGACATGACGGAGTACGAATACGTTTCTCGTGTCGTTCTAAGTGTATGATATACACGTTGTGTGTCTCAGGAACAGCAGTGACCAATCACCAATGCAAAAAAAATGGTTTCTTCAACGTCCGCAAAAGGCGAACACTTTACGAATGAAATCACAACTAGCATTCAAACAGCTCGAATTTATGGGGTCGCAAAACTGGACCCCGAAATTCGTTCTCGCACGCATAATACAGGAATAACACAAAACGTCCAGTTTTGAAAGGATAGTTGTGTGGATGTTTATATCCAACTTTTAAATGTTCTTTCCGATTAACATCATCTCATTCAAAGCATGGTTTGTAGCCCAATTGGGCTGTTCCAGGATCTAGTGTCCCTTTAAAGGTAATATATACAACATTTGCTTTTGCGGTAATTTTCAGAAATGGATAGATTTGGGGGTTAGTATTTATAGCAAATATTAACAGACTTTGTAAAGTTTTGTGTTCATACATGTAGATGCTGGAAGTGCCAAGAAAAAAAAAATGCAATTCTTATAGTCTGGCTCCCTGACCCTACTTCAAACAAAACAGAGTAATTTATAGAGAACGGGGAATCGTCAGGTCAGGGAACCAGACTAGCTGGCTCGCAAATGTATAATTATTACCTTTTCAGCAAATGTATATTCAAGTAATTAATGCAAGATTTTTAAGGGTATTGTTTTAGTTTTAAATGCCAAATATATAAATTGGTGCTGTTTTTAAAGTGAGCCTTTAATAATGCAGGGTTGATTTTTTTTTAATTCAAGGTCTGCATTATTGATGATTAATAGTTTTGAAAGTATGGTTATAATTGTCTTTCACCTGAAGAGATGTATTCAGAATTGGCTATTTTCGATCAAATGGGGGCGCTTGAACCACAAGACTAGGAGATGCAAATGTGTAGAAACGTCAGGTTTAGTTGCTTCACTTCAATTTATACATTGAATGTTGTAAACATGTGAATTCTTGAATTATAGCAACACATTAAGTAATTAACACATGTATTTGTTGCACCTATATGGCGCCGTTATAGCGCCCTCACTTGGTCAAAAATAATTATATGGTAGAATTTCAAATTAGCATGAAACCGAGGCTCTCGGCGCTACTGAGCCATTGTATGAATCGAGGATCTTCTCTTTTCCTAATCCTCTCAACAAAAGACAGCACCAAGGCCTCGTTTTCAGTGCCAATAAGAAATTCATCTATAGATGGGTTCAGATTGTACTCGTGTATCCCAAGTAGAAAGTGAATTGAATGATGGTTTTTGATGCATAATAATTATGGAGTGAATTGTGGTTTTTCAATGCACTTTTGGTACGCAATGTTTGTTTTTGCTTTGTCTTTGAAGTCGTTTGTGTCATTGGGTACGAGGATAAGTTGTCATCCTTCTTGAAAACCACTAAGTGTATCCATATAGCGCCCTCCTCCCCAGGATATGGTGTCCGTTCTGTCAGTTATGTTTTTTAACTTCCTGATTTACAATGTATAGGGATAACTTATTCCTATTCCTTACTTTTTAACTTAGTCCTGAAGATTTGGAATTTTCAAGGAACATAGTAGCCCATGATCTGCCTTAAAATTATGTAGTTTTATGCGAGTCCTGTTGTATGACAATAAGTGTGACGTTTTTAGACCGATGTCTTTCAAGAAGATTATGCAGGGTTAATTTTTAATCGATTTAACTGTAAGGTAATTTTTTTTTTTTACAAAACTGGCCTTGTAATGGTCTCGTAAATATTATGGCCAATCGTAAAAACAGAGCTTTTTTTAATATGCAGGTTTGGAAACTCAGAAGTAATGCGCATTACAAAGTACTTGTAAATGTAACAAAATTATCAGATCCAAGAACTGGAAAATTTGGCAGCTTTCCACAGAAGCCTTTTGTCGTTAACTCAACTGCTTTTCGAGAAAATTATGTACTGTACACTGTGTTATTAGCAGAATGGTAACTGAGAAGCAGTGGATGAGACTACATTGCAAAACACTATTGGCTTGTAACCGTTTATGCTTAGGAGTTATATTCGTGGTAAGCAAAATTGTACTCACCTTGAGCTGTAACTAATTATACTGCTGCTGTGACGATATATAGTCGAACACCTTTATAACAAGGTCCTTGGGACTTTACGAATAACCTTGTTATAACAGGTACAGTCCACTCTCGTTAGTACAAACTCGTTAATACAAAATTCTGGTTATAACAAACACAAAGCCTTGGTCCCGACTGTGCATTTATGTGCGCAACGAATGGGACTGATGTTCCTCTTAATACAAAATTCTGATATAACAAACAATTTGGTTAGGTCCGAACGAGTTTGTTTTAACGAGACTCGACTGTACCTTGTATTATCAGTAATGGAAAACAAAGAAAAACAAAGACTTGGGACCTAAAATTGTGCTTGTTATAAGCAGGGTCTCGTATTAACAGTGCTCTTTATGTCAGTGTTCGTCTGTACATATACAAAACAAGAGAAGGCAACCCTAGTGAAACTGGCCAAGAGTGCACAAAATGGCAAGATTACCATATGCGAAGTTCACTAATTTTCTCAGTATTGACTAACAGACAGCAATTTCATGTCATCAAAGTCAATTTGAGGAGTGAGAAAATACAAGCATTTTCTTAAGAAACACTTAGAATTTTTCAGTCCACTCTCATAGGGTTTGTACACAGAGTGTTGAGTGAACTTCGTATATGGAAATCTTTCCCACAAAATTACGTTCAATTTGCTCAGAATGGCTATTCACTGGAAGTCTTTTCACACATGTCTTTACAGTGGGCTGGGTTTTTAGCCCCCTAATTGGCATTAGTAGTACAGGGTAATCCTACATGATGGCACTGCCCGGCTCACAAATGACAGTAATTGAGTCAGTCAGTCAGTCAGTCGGTGTGTCAGTTCATCAAAGAGGACTCTAGGCCGGTCCTTGGAGACAGCAAAAAAAAGGGAATCTTTCAGCATAATGTTCAACAACCATTTTAATTCATGCAGACACCATTTAAATTCGGGGTATTTAATAGACCTGGAATGCCCTCTAAGGGCATTCCGTTTTAAATGTTTAGAAGTGTCCACGATGTATTAGGTCTGCTACAAAGTACGTGTAATGTAATATACATGTGTACCATAATTAATTATTGTTCGTTAAGTGACCAAATTTCAGTACCGTTTTAAATGTACTTTGGTGAATCGCTCGACCAAATAAACGCGCGTAAGTTAAGTTTTTCACAAACAAAATGTCTATTTTCATTCATATGCATGATTTACGTAATAAGTAAAGTACCAGCTTATAGTCCTATCTGATGGGCGTGACCCTCAAACTTATGAGGGGCATACAATTAATTCCATTTCTGGCTTGTTGCATTAATTGAGCCAATTGACCGAGCCATTTTATATAAGCTCCGCCCAACAAATGACCTATCGCCGGTTGTGAGCTAGCCACGCCCCTTAGACAACCATATGGAGTTTTGTACACTACTTTTTTTTTGTCTCAGATTTTGCGCGTTTCGCGTCCATTTGTATAACATGTAATTGGACAATATTTCACAAGCTGGGTTGACGCGATTCTACCACAAAAGGTCAATTGTTTTTGACCAGCACAGCTATGATTTATGTCAAAACCAGTTTACAAGTGTGACATCATTTCAACCTAAACCACGCCCACTGCACACGGAGTTGCATTAATAGAACCATCCGGTTTGCAAGTGTGACATCACTTCCATTTAAACCATGCCCACTGCACATGGAGTAGCATAGGAACCAGAAGTGGCGTGTTTAGCCAATGGGCACTAGTACTCAGTAATGGACCGATCCAGTAAGCCCCTCCCACTGCGCACGTGGGCAAATTGACACCGTCCAGTGCTCCTCTCCAATGCCACACTGCATTTTCCTGCCGCGCGCATCATACGCGCGTGCACGCATGTCGGACTTTTGTGCACGCATGTCGAACATAATCACGGCTGTGATTGGCCAGAATACCATGGGGCGGTGCTTACTGGATCGGTCCATTCATGGGCGTATATGACGAAGTCATTTATGAACCGGATTGGAACTGGAATTACAAACTTGTGTATAACCAATCTTCTTGAGTCTGATAATGAAACAAACAAAATATAAGTGACAGAAAGGAAATGTTTAACTATAACCTGCATCTGGTTGTTAAATTGGTTTCATCCACCTACTGTGCTCAAATTTGACTACATATATATACATTTTGTAGTTATTATGTCACTTTCACAATTTTTACATTCAATAAGATTTGGACAATGTAGACACAAAACATTGAAATACAGTAAATTACATAAAAATATGTGCTGTTCCTTTTATAAACATAAATGTTATCGTTCCATTGCACTAAAATATCACCACACATTCTAAATTGTTATTTCATCATTTGCATATTCGATATTCAGACGTCATTTGGTAGTGGAGAAGGCGTAAAATAAAGCTGTTTTAACAACAATTCTAATCCGATATTCTACAACTCTATGTACTACGGACATTGGTCCATCGAGCTAAAATATCGCAACACTTTGTAACTAGGCTATAATTTGACAATGACGTGATATTTGGCAATGAAGTCACAAATCGCAAAAACAATAACAGTTCTGAAAGTTTATGTAACTGTTGGCTACTTACTAAAAAAAAACAACATTGTGAACAAAATCGGAACACTTCACAGTATTGTATCAGTTATTTCGTCACTTGATGACAAATGAGAAACAAAACAAACTATATTTGTGTTATATTTCAAGGCACAGTTCGGCCCCTAACTGAGAACATAGTAGTCCCATTGCATGCGCACACGTAAAAAAAAAAAACCTCAACAGGTCAAATATGATATTGAAATGATAGTAGGCCAGACAAAAGCGATTGTAACAATATACACCAAAACTATAAAAGGTATAAGTCTCAAGACAACCGGTAAATAATGTTTACTGAATATATTATACCAGAACTGTTATGATAAAGCCGTAACCGAGTAATACCAAAGGTTTTCTGAATATAATGATAACGTTAAGTTAAAGACAAATATGTTTACTGGTTAAACCAGAACTGTTTGATAACATATGTCTTTAAAGATAAACGGTAAATGAAAGGTTTATTGAATAATATACCAGAAAAATATGATAACGTAAAAGTATTATGATCATGACAAGCGGTAAGTGTATCTACAAAAAATGTAATAATGATAACGTATGTCGGCCTTACTGAATTTACTGGAAGTAAATTTCATGAGATGATAGTGTCAAATCTCAAGAAAAGTGAATGCTAGGTTAACTGAATACACCCAAACTACACGATAAACGTACAAGTCTGATGATAAGCGGTAAATGTTAAAGAAACCAGACCTAAGTGTGTAATTGATACCACAATTCTCATACAAACAGCAAATAGAAGGTCATGTTCACCGAATATATACCGGAACTAGTTTCATGATAAAGTGGTAGGCCTACATTGTTAGTTTACTAAATGAACCACAGGTATAAGTTATCGTAAAAAAGCATTATGACAAGCGGCAAATAAAAGGTTTACTTATACACATGCATACCCAAACTGTGTTAACTGCAAACCCGCCATATACAATGTGTATATATATCTATCCCTTGAAAGTGGAGTATATTTACAGTATGATGATCACGTTACAGTTATCTAACATAAAGTTTGATTTGAGTAATTTCCAAACGTATATTAACTGACAATTTGCTCATACCACTGCAGGCAGTTACTGACAGGTATAAGATATCGTAACCGTCTTGTGTTAAGCGGTAAATGAAAGGTTTACTTAATTAATATACCAAAACTGTGTTAACTACTATACAATGTATATGTATATGTATATATATCCCTTATATAATGCATGGTTAGTCATTTGGAGTATAGGCTTATTTACAGTATGATGAACACGTTATGTTGTCTCGCACTATAAAGTTTGATCTGAGTAATTTCCAAATAGGCCTACATTTTAACTGACACTTTGCTCAATACTGTAGCCAGTTACTGACCAACCTGCCCGAGTTTTAATTGTGCAGCACTGACAATGCACATTCCTCTCCCAGACTTTACAGTATAATCGCTTAATCCGGTTAATCAAAAAATTCCTCATCATGCACTTTGAGTTGGGGGCATTCAGGGCATGCTAGATCCTGTTGTCCCGCTTGTTTGTCATCCTCAAGATAGAAGACGTGACCTTCAGGGCATCTCAACCATCTACCCACTGCAAATGACATACTTGATACATACTTGGCACAATGCCTAGACAACCCAGAAACTGTTTGCCTGTTTGGGTTATGCTTCTCCTTGGCTGCTTCAATTGATTTCTTAATAATATCAAGGGTCTCCTTGTAACGGGGGCAGTTCAGTATTGGGTCTTTGCATTTGGGACATAGCAGGGAGCGAATCTCAAAGAATCCGTTCTTTAAGGGACTCTGGATACTAGCTACCATCCTATCTAAGGTTCGAGTCTCACACATGTGTTCGCAGTCTGGAAGGTAGATGAACGTGTCTTTTGGGCGAATATTTTTGTTGGGCATCGCGTCTATAGTTGCACGTCTTGTACATATAATGCAAAATGGTGGGCAAGGCTCCCCACATACACCGATGCAGGGATGTTTGCCATGTTTGCAGCGCCGGGTGCAATGAAGAATGCAAGCATTAGACTTCAGTTGACGGTTTCTTATGTTTTGTGTACATGGATAAGTCTCCAAACCCTGTGCCACGCGTAGGCTCAAATGACGCTGCCATACAGCGTCTCTTGTGCAGCTACGGCAGTCTGGTGGACAAACTTTACCACAGATGTCTCTGCATGTGTGGCCGCATAAAAGCTGACGCTTACAGCTCTGTCCACACCCTGCGTGTTGTTTGCCTTGCTTACATTTATCACAGTTGCCATGACATTTGTGGCCACAGGCTAAGACTTCGGTGCACGGCTCCAGACAAGCATGGGTGGAGTCGACAAACCAGCAAGCCACATCCTGGGCATGACCGCAAGGCAACATCTTCCGTACTTTCACCTTACACTTCGTATGGCGCGGTCGGTGCCCTGTCATTTCGTCTTCGCTCGACGAAGCATCTTCTTCGATGCAATCACTGCACCTATTGGGGCACTGATGACCGCACGAAAGAAGCCGTAAGCACCTCTGATGGCATTTCACTGTACTGATATCCTTGAAGCACGGCAAGTCAACACTGTGATCGCAATCCAGAAAGTCCTTCTTCACCATTTCGGTGCATCTTCTTGCCGGCGTTTTCGCTGCTCTTGCAGAAAGAAGTAACCTGCTCGGTTCATCTTCGTCGGTCGAGCTATCCCCATTACCAGGACAAGGCTCCCCACATTTGTTGGGGCACCTGTGCCCACATGCAAGTTTCCTCTCACACTTCTTTGGGCATTCATAGGAGCTCACATCAAGATAGCAGGAAAGTAGAGCAGTGTGATCACAATGCGGCAGCATCTTCCGTACACTGCGGAGGCATTTGCAAGGAATGCCACATAAGTTCATGCAGACGTGGCCGCAGGACAACTTCTTACCACAAATTTGAGAGCAGGATAAAGCTGAGACATCTTTGTGGCATTCCACTTCAGCAGTATGGCCACAACCAGGGAGCTTCTTCTCCACAAGTTCCTTGCACTTTGTTGAAAAGCTTACCAAGGAGGAACAATGCATTACGCCTACATCACTTGGACAGGGTTCACCACATTTGTTGGGACACATGTGACCACATAACAATTCCTTTTTGCATTTGTCTGTACAAAATCCAGAAAACTGTTCCCCCCACCTAGCATGAATTCTCAATAATGAATTGCTCAACCTTTCTTTCGGGCATGACTCTGAACATTTCCTAGGACATCGATGACCGCATGACAAAAGTTTCTTGCAGATTTCAGTACAAGGTACCTTAGCCACATCCTTATGACACGGAAGCTTAATGACATGACTACAAGAAGGATAAGACTTCTCCACAATCACTTCACAAACTTTCAAGTCATCCGTCTCTTCAAAAGCATCCAGATAAGATCTAGGCGAGATGTCAGAAGCCTCACACGGTTTCCCACAAGCATTTGGACACTGATGGCCACATCGAAGAATTTTGTTACATCTCTTAGTGCAATCTCTTGAATCGGGATCAATGTAGCAGGGCATAGCTTTTCGGTGCCCACAGCTCTTCCTTTTTTTGATCACAAACTTCTTGCATTCCACCTCTCCAGGATCCTCACAGCAATCGACCAGGACATCATGGCCACATGAAGGATGAGTTTTGGTCACAAGTCTTGTGCACTGGAATGCTTCCGGGTTTTCTCCACAGTCCATGACAACCTTGTGCCGACACTTCGACAAGATTCTCGTGACCTCAACCTTACAATAAGATGTGCAAGTCTCCTTACAAAGCTCTTCGCAGGAATGACCACATACCAGCTTCCTTTCACACTTTTCAGGACAGGCTTCCAAACAACTTTCACCACATTTCCTCCGGCATTGGTGCTGACAGCTCGAGAAAAGCTTGGGACACGGTTTTGGACAGGGAATCTCAGTTTGACTGCAGTCCATCGTGACTTCATGACCACACGTCTCCAGGATTCTCTTGACTCTAACTTTGCAGTATGTGTTACATGGCCTTCCGCACGGCTCCGTGCATGGATGGCAACAAACCAGTGACCTCTCACATTTCTCTGGACATGTCACATGGCAGCGCTGACCACATTTCCTCCGACAAGGATGGCAACAGTTAGTGTAGAGCTTCTCGCACGGTTCAGGACAAGAAATTGTTTCAAATTGAAAACAGGAAACCCGAATCTCATGTCCACAATCAGGCATCAATTTCTCAACCTCTTCCTGACAGGGTTTACATGACTCATGACATTTAAGCGGACAACTGTGCTCCACTCTTGAACAACTTTTCGTGCATGGTTTCTGGCATTGATAATTCTGATGCTGAGGATCGTAGGGGTGGCAGGATAAACGGCAAACATGGCCACACGGTAACCTATACTCGCACGACTTGTCACATCCACCACAGGGAGCCTGTTCCTTAAAGTCCTTTGCAGTGGCAACCTGGGAGATTTTGTCGGGATGATTTTGACACTTTAACGGAAGGGACGTGGCAATCTTATGCTCGGCCTCAAGATTAGCAATGATGTCCTTCCAGATTTGGGCCTTCTTCAGGATGTTGAAGTTGCCGATGCAGTAAAATCCCATCCGAGCTCTGGACAGTGCAACACAAACACGGTTTGGAGTGCGGAGAAACCCAATGGAACCCTCCTCATTGCTTCGTACGAGAGACAACAGTATGATATCATTCTCTTCTCCTTGGAAATTGTCTACAACAGACACACGAACCCCCTCAAAGGTTGCTCTATCCATGAGTCGCCTAATACAGAACAACTGACCCTTGTATGTGGTGAGTATAGTTATCTGGGAGTGATCGTAACCTTGATCCAATAGATACTTGCATAAGCCCACCAAGACCTCGGCTTCGTGCTGATTGGATCTCGTCCTGTCGTCATCAAGCCCATCCTCTAATCGTTGATGGTTGATGAAAAACATGTTGTGTTGCATCCCCATGACGTTCTCCATATCCAGTACACATTTATCATCGTACAGCCGTTTATAGAAATGTCTCTTCATAAGCTGTGAGATTTCAGGACGCATGCGGTGTTGATGTGACAGTGTCTTGCAAGGGACACCGTTGTTGATCATCCTCTCAAACAGGGATGTATCCAAGTTGAACAGCTTCGCCAGGCGGTAGACAGTTGGATTAGGCTTCAGCTGTTGGTGGTCACCGATGAGAATCAAATGCTCGCATTTTGCAGTCAGGGTGGTGATGATGTGTGCCTCCAGGACCTCAGCAGCCTCTTCTACCACAACAATTCGAGGACCTAGTCGCTGCAGAACATTCCGGCATCTTGCCGCACCAGTGGTTGTCATACCAATCACGTTAGCTTCTTGGAGAATCTCCAGGTCACCCTGAGCATTCAAAGTCTCCTGCTCCTTTAAAAGTGCCTCGTATTTCTCCCGAAGCTGACCCAGTCTCGTACCATGTGTATCTTTGTATCTTTTGACCCAGAGCCTGTAGAGACGCCAACGGTCACTTAAGTCAAGCTTCCAGATGCGTTTTAATCTGCCAGCCTGTTGATCCGTCATTACATCAGATTTTTGCATCTCTGTCACTGAATTAGAATCCAGACTACGCTCCAAGGCATGTGCAGAACTTTTACTGCAAATCTCCTGCTCCAGAGCTTGCCTTTGTATCTCACGGTCCTTGACAAGGTCATCAGAGTCGTCGATTTGACGCTCCCGCTGGATCTCCTCTCCCTCATCCTCCATCTCTGTAAGATCCTTGGCTTCCACAGCAGCATCCAATTCTTTCCGGTCTGGGTCTGCTACTTTTTCCTCCTTTTCATTTGAAGCATCACCAACCTTAAGCCACTTCAAAAGATTAGCTGATCGTGTTTCGTTCAATTTCTCTTCACTCTGCAGCTGCTTTGGAGAAAGTTCTTTAAAGTGACCCGGACTCATGAAGTGTATCAGTGCCATAACATTAAGAACTACCTTGCCTGGAAGTTGAAGCTGAAGGAGTACGCGTTGAATTAACTTATCCAGCTCTGCTAGTTCTTGTTCAACTTTTTTGAGTCTCTCCTTTTCTTGTGCATACTCTTTGAATGGTCTGTCTCTTCTCATACGGGCTAGGTTCTTCTTCTCAAGTTCCTCACTGGAGCTTCGGCTGCCAACACGAACCACATTCTGCTCACCGAAGTCAATGATACCCTTAAGGAACTGATCCAGTGCGTGATTTGTGTAGCAGACCACAAGGATCGGTGAGGTCTTAACCTCTTCAGGTTGGTTGCTATTCCAAGGTGCGTTATACAGAAGCAGCTCAACTATCTTCAGACCGATGTAGGTCTTCCCTGTACCTGGAGGGCCTTGGATGATGGCGAACTCCTTGGTCAGAGCTGTTTGCAAGGCAGCTAACTGAGAGTCGTCAAGGTGTAGGGCTTCTGCACTCGGCCAATTCCCTGGATCTAGGATTGGCACATAAGCTGCATTGACGATGTCTTGGTTATTATCGGACTCCTCATCAGAACCAAGAACAAGTGGTCTTAGATCATACGCAACTTCTTCATCACCTGCTAGATAAGCAGGTGGCTCTACCTTGGAGGCCACATCTACGATGTATTTCTTGAAGGCAAAGTTTCTCTCGTTCATTTGCTGAAGCCCCTGGAGTACGTGGCGATAAGCCTCGAAGTAAGCAGCTGATTCAGCCATGATGAAGGGACCTTTGTATTTACGAGGCACCTCGGTCAGAAAGCGAACATGCACCCTTCCATTTTGAAGATCTTTCAAATTCCTGTTCTCCACAGTGGCACACAAAATGCTATTGAAGTTATCGCTGGAAAGACAGACGAAGGACCCATACAAGAGACGCTTGCTGGTCTCCCATCGCTCAGGTCTTCGACGCCTCAACACAAACTTCAGTGTGTGAACAATTCCATTCGTTGCCATCTTCTGGGCTTCTAAAAAGACATCGTAGTACATACGGATGTCTTGGAGACGGCCACGGGGGTTGGAGAGAAATTCAGTTACTCCTTCCCGCATCGGCGCCACAAAGTCTTCCCTCAACAAGCGGAACTGAACGTCAAGGTAATGCTCAACACTTTCATATCTGCCTCGAACAATGTTCTTTCTCAGGAAGGGCTTGCCCATCTGGCGAAGCTCTGTGCTCTTTGGGAAGATGGGAATGTCCCTGTAATTGTCCGGAGGTGGTTTCTCCTTGACGCGTTCTCTAGCTGTCTTCTGCGACTCGTCCAAGGAGTGACAGCATTCCTTGACCTCTTCTACCTTCGCCATCCGAGAGCCCTCTGGGTCGAACTCACTGTTACTCAACGCTGCCGTGGTCACTACTTTCTGTAAGAAAACCAAAACTACGTTCACCGCTGCGCAAGCAGATGGCTTCCGCTGCAGGAACAGCTTCAGAATGTCCAACATCATGTTAACTTCCTCTGCAAGGTTCTTCGCACCTACGGTGTCTTCAACATCGCAATCGTCTGCTTGCTTCAAGGATAAACCAACTAGGTACCTAGTCAAATGCTTAGTGAGAAACGAGGATGATTCAATCATACTTAAAATCACGATTACTTCTCGAGTGTACATCGCCTCATAGACTTGATCTAAATGACACATACAGGACAAAACACGTATTGTTAACATTAGCGTGTTTTCATCTAGTTCATTAGCAGACAAAAGGGCCTCAAATTTCTTCTTCTGACTGACAAGATTCAGGAGAGCATCTTGGGAGTTTTCGTCCAGGAAGCTTTCAAGTTCTTGGTCCGTGAAGGAAGGCCCGGTGGTCTTGCGTCTCTGCTGAGTCTTGTGCAGATCTGATGCATAGGTTCGCCAATGCTGGCTTGTAGACTCATCTGCATAGCTTGCCGAGTTGGAATCACTGCAACAAGTAAATGAAAGAGCATAATTATGTTAGGCCCGTTCTGGACGCCGTGCCGAACTCAGTTAATGTGACAGTTTTCAATTTGGCACGGCGATACCACACGGCGTTTAGAACTATTTGGATCGGTAAATTGAGTTCGGCACGGCTGCCGCGCTATCGTCGGGCTGCCCCGCTGTCGCCCCGAACGGTCATCAGTGTGGCAGTGCCGTGCCGAACCCTATTCAATTTCAAGTAGGTTGAAACATTTTAGGAACGCGCATGCGAATATTTTGATCGCGCTGAAAGTTTATTGAACTGCTTGATCTGTTGCATTACTCTGGGTGCATTAAAGTTCCACAAATTTACGTTCGGCGTTTACAGCAACTACTGAGTTGTAGACGAGGGATCTTGCGGCAAATTAAAGATAACTGCGCGCGATCATTACTATGAACATCTGAACCCTTAAATTTTCGTTAAAAGTCCACTTCTCCTTGAAATTAATCTTTAAGAGATGTTTCACGGATATTTTCCTGGGCGCTTATAGGACTAATCATGTAAGAGTATTTTCACGTTTTTTTAATGACCCTGGCCACTGAGGATTATCATTGGTTATACATAACGGTACACTGGGTCTATCTCCATGGGTAAACAAAGGACTTCCTTAAGGGTGTTTTCACGATCCTTTTCCCCCGAATATGTTGAAAAATCCGTGAAAATTTAATTCACGGTAAATTCAAGGGAAAATGGCTCTTTAATGAATTTTTAAGGGATGAAGATGTTCATAATGCGTCTAGAACAACAGGCCTCATTTTCTGAACATGAAAATGAAGAATGAGTATATGTTCAATTTCTAATCGTTGTCTGCATTCGAAAGTTTTATTGAAGTTTGACCTTTAAAAATTCCTTCCCGATGCTATTATTTTTTTCAAAAGTGCTCTTTGAATGTTCGAGCAACATGCAGGCGGTAGACCCTTTGCACGGTACGCCATGACAGTGCACCTCTGTTTTGTTATTTAAATTCAGTTACAATGAAAGCACTAAGTGCCTATAAGCAAGTGTATCACACAGGAACAAAGACCTGCTCTCTGTCATGTCGCAACATGTAAAGGGTCTATACCTCAAACCGGAGGACAAAAAAGTATTCCGTTGCCTGCATGGATTACATCGTGTTTACCGATTCGGGAAACACGACACAATTCACAAAAAATACAGACAAAATGTATACATTTAAACTGATTCCAATTATTCAATAGATCTACTAAATCATTCGCACTGCTGTAACATCGACACTGCTGTAACATCGACACTGCTGTAACATCGACACTGCTGTAACATTGACACTGCTGTAACTCAAATTTTCTAACTTGACATAAAAATAAACAAAACAGCTACATGTCAGATCAAATTAACCAGATAGAACGCCATTCCATTACTAACGTGTGTGTGTGTAGTGTGAATGTACGTACGTAACACTCTGGGCCCCACATTATGTACAAACATACCGTTGTCACATGAAAATCCGACTCCTATGAAAATCGGAACCCTTTTTCCCTATTATTGGTTAATCCCTCGCACGTGACTGGTCACTCTCCAGCACTCTTTAGCATAGTATCGTACTCACGCGTGCGCAGTACTACCAATGAGTCCACATTTCATGGAGTCGGATATTCACGCTACACCGTCAATAATAAATTGGTAACCTTGAACCTTTGGTTGTCAACGGCTGTTTCATTCTGCTGCGAGTGAATAAAAATTCGAGATCTCGACGTCCGTCCGTGAATGACTTTTTTCTTCCTTTTTTTACCCAGTCCAACACGATACATGGTTGGCTTCAGTGAAGTGAATTAACATCGGTATCTCAATTTATTAATATGACGAAATAATTGTCTTGGAAAAAGCACCGATTGACGTAATATGTGACAGTCGTGAAACGAAAAAAAGTCGGCTGATTCTCCAATTTCTCTCCGCACACTTTTTAAAATACATTCATAACAGTTTTACACAAAAAGATTACCAAATGATGGCCTACTTACTGGTCTTCATCTTCAGTGAAGGTTCTAGAATCTTCATCTTCCTCCAGACATTCGGCTTGCTCACTGCCTTGTGATCCCCTTGTGTTTCTCCAACTAGCCACATCAGGACCATCTTGAACCTCTCCTGTGGTCTCCTCAGCAAAATAGGGGACGGAGTCTCCCACCGACTTGGTCTTGGCGGCTCCTCTTCCGGGCCTCCTGAAGAAGTCCCTCGTGATGCCTGCTGATTCTTGGTGCCTCCCTCTCGAAGGCACAGCTCGGTTCCTTTCGCCTCCTTGTGATGTTGTGTCTCTCAAGTTGCCGACTTCTGATCCTTCTCCGAGAGAATTACGTGTGGAATAAGAGGTTCTGCCTCGGTAGCTATCTGAACTGCTCCAGGATCTTCCACGATTTCCACGTCTGCCTCCTGGATTCCTCCAGTTTGAAGAGCCCCCTCTCGAAGGTCCTCTCCTGTAGGAATGTCCATCCGTGTTCCGAAAGTTTCGGCCGCGGGGGCCCCCTCGAGATCTTGCGTCTCCAGTCCCCAATGGCGTTGGAGAGCCGCGTCGGGGGTTTGCAGCACCTCCAAACCCGGAGCTGTCAAAAACATCATCGTCTTGAGGATCTCCTCTCCATCCTTCGACTCTTCCTTGTGATCGAGTGTATCTTCCAGACGAATCAGAAGACTGTCTGTCACGGGAATAACGTACTTTGCTGGGGTCGTACCCAGTAGCCATGACTGCATTTGAAGAAAAAAAACATGAAATCAGTTTCGTCTGCTATTTTTGTTATTGTATCAAATGGTAATACTGATTATGTCAAGTACGATAATCTTAAGGTTTCTACGGTGGTGCATAGTGCAGTTTGAATGTTTTTGTTGACAAATATAACACACATAAAGGGAATCAGTCTTACAATTCTGCAACAGGGGTAGTTTTTAAACCTTAATATTCCATTATTTTAGCTATACTAGCTAGTGCAACATGTCTGAATATTATTCCTGCAAGATTTTTCAAACAATGTTAATTAAAACGGGTCTTAGCTATTTGATCCAAGCATGATAGGTCTAAAAAGCTTGCAGTAATTAAGAATGAAATATCCCATTTGATAGTGGTTTCTGGAATGAAATCACGCATCGAAAGGGAGAAAGAATAATGTTCAGTTTTATTTTCAATGTAACATTAAGAGTTTTTAACCATTTATGGGACAACTATTGACACCAAAAGCAAATAACTTTGTGGAGGAATGACGACAATAAAATAAACCGAAGCATATGTGTCTAACTTCCGCTAGCAAGTCATGAAAAGGAGACAACACATTTTGTTTTGTGAATCTAAGCTTAAATATGAAAGGACTTATTTCCTTCAAACGATTACAAAATGGGAACATGACTCCCAAGCCGACCATTCCACATCATCACACTCACTGAACTTACCCGCAGTCGTTATTCATCAAGTAAAACTCGGCACGAGTGCTGTAGTAGGCTTATGCACTCCGCTAGCTTCGCCATTTTCAACACCTTGCCACTGTGTGTGATGAGGATATAGCTCAGGAAAATATTTTTTATAATGCAGACGAGCATAGATATATCATGTACACGTAGACGACTTACTGCACTATTATAGTGCGCAACATTCTGCAATGTCCATGAATTTGCTTTCGTAGACGTGTTTCAAGGTGTCCTGAACATTTTAACTGTCACAAACAAGGCATGTAATTGGCAGATACGCCTGGAACGGAGGTTAACGGCTGCCCAGTATGCAAATGTTACGACTGGATTACTCAGTTCGGGAATTCCCCACGCCGTGCAATACACTGCGCAAGTATTATGATAAAAAGCAAACAATAATGTGAGTCATTCAAACAGACATTTCTCTTCCTGCCGTTCTTAATCCGGGGGGGGGGGTAGGTTTTTTTAAATTCGTTTAAAGTGTGTTTTGTTTGTTGGTTTTGTTGTGTTTTGTTTGAAATTTGTCGAGGTTGGCACTTTGAAAACATTTAGAAAGAAGTCTGAAAAAGAGGACATTTTTGTTTTAAGTTTCAGTAATTGTTAAACAAAGATCCCTACGTACGGTCCACAACTGGCTGATTGCGTTCGCACGATAGGTCAATGGAAAGAAAGGGAGAAACAACATTTTTATTATTGACACTTAATTGACATTTACTGTTGCGTTTGGAAAGTATATACGCGAAACGTTTCCATGAAACCTCTATCTACTATCGAACCTGTACGACAGATGTTTGGACTGTTTCAAGAACGGCCAGAAGCGGTTTGGCCTTATCAACTTTATCAATCGACTGATGTCAACCATTAAATTTAATAATACTGTAGGTTGCAGGCCGGCAAAACAGGCCATTATGTTTCATTTCTCCTGAAAGTTTCACCCTTGTTGGGCTTTTTTTTATTTTGATGAGAAGTTTCCACTCGAGTGACACGCCATGTTGACTTTGTATGTCCCACAATGGTTGTGTGGAATAATGGTTATTTATTGCACTTTTTGGAAATTCCCAGGATGTGAAATGCAGTTTCCGAACTTGAACTCGACTCATTTGCATAGGCATTTATAGCCTCTGATCAAGGCGCCTCAACCAACCGCCGATTGTACGCCTCAGTGATGGGTATTATTCATAACATTTCGGCACCTTGAAACATGGCTAAGAAATCTGCAGCATGGGCGTTGCAAAGTTGCGCACTAGTTCATGTTGGGCCTATTCGAGTTCTGTGCGTGCAGACCTACGTGTACATACATTACTGGACGTGGATGATGATAAGGAAAGGGGTCCTTTTATACAACTGCACAAGTTCCTTAAAACTCTTCGCCCAGTGAAAATGCCGTCATCATGGCCAGTTTTACTTGACTTCTTTTGATGAATTGTCATCCATTGCAGGTAAGTTGTGCAGTTAGAAATAGTCGGCTCGGGAATCATGTTCCCATTTTTTTTAACCAATGTGTTCGTCCACCTGACGTAATAATTACACATGTAGGCCTAGTTCCATTTTGGAGGGAGTGTATATCCCAAATAGGTAATATACCTGTATCCCGACATAGATGTTCCGACACCGTGTTCCGACTGCTCAGCCTATGTAATTCCGATACCCCTGTGTTCAGACATCCCTATGTTTTGACACCCTAAGTAAATGTTCCGAAGCCCCCATGTTCCGACTGTTCCACCTTTGTTCTGACATCCCGATGTTTGACACCCCTATGTTCCGACATAGTGCATAGGCTGATCTCTGGCCCCAACGCAGCAGTCTAAACGGGCTAACACAATCTTATTATGTGCGGGTTGTCGGTACATAGGGGTGTCGGAAGATAGGTTGAGCAGTCGGAACATAGGGGTGTCGGAGCATAGAGCAGTCACACCCAAGAAGCTTGGATTCACGGCAGGCTCCGAGGGCAAAGTTGAATAAGTGGCAAGAAAAGTAAACGACAAAAGAAGAAAACTTTATAGTGTTATTGTAATGTACGTGGTGAGTAAAAAAAAAACCCGAAACCCAAATGTCGGGACCATTGTTTAAACGGAAGATACAACATTTGCAAGCATCATAAAACGAAATTATCAAATTATCACGAAATACCTTACTGGATTGTTAGGGAATGACAGTTTAAAGCATCCTGTAAAATCGTGGCTCCTGGTGTGCTGACATATTCAAGAAAAATGGTATTTTTCCAACGCTGGTCGGCCGACCAGCGTTGGAGAAAACTGGCTTTTTTTTTCTTCAAAAACTGCTCCGAATTTTCATAATTACTTATTCCACATTTTCTTTGCAATTGATTACACACATGTGAAGGGGTACAAGTCTGCTATACTGATTCTCTGACCTTACAATTCCCCCAAAGTCTATAAATTGCTCCATGTCATCTTAAGTGGGGTCAGGGAACAAGACTGCAAGAACAGATTGGTTTTCCTGGTTTTTCCAACATCTACAAGCCCAAAACATGGAAAAAAGTAATTTTAACAATATTTGTATAACATGATAATCCTCCAAATCCATTTATTTCTAAAAATTGCAGCAAAAGCAAATGTTGTACATTCCCTTTAAGTGAAGTTCTGCATGTAGCACTTTCAAAATCTAGAATCTGAAAGCCCAATTCATAAGCTTTCTTTTAGTACAAGAATCTTTTAAATCACTAATGTAATTTTCAAGTTACGGAATTTTAAACACAACCACCCTTTTAAAGTTCTGTCCACGGATCACAAAAAGGTAAGTGTTGTTTCACTTTCAGCAACACGAAAACAAATCACATAGGGATGCGTGTGAATTGTTTTCGTTTTGCTGAAACTACGCACACCTTATTTGCAGTGGCAAAGCCACGGGGGGGGGCGTGGGGGGCGACAGCCCCCCCCCCCCGAAACCTTGTCGCCCCCCCCCCCCCCCCAGTCGGCCCCCCCACGGAGATTTTGAGTTTCAAATTTTTTTTTATCATTGATCTACATGACGCCCCCCATGAAATGTTCCAGCCCCCCCCCCCCCAGCGCCCCCACTGAAAAATTCCTGGCTACGCCACTGCTTATTTGTGATCCGTGGACAGAACAGTCCGTAATTATCACTTTAAGCTTAGAAATCCATGCAATTAACTGCAGCAAATCCGAAAGATATTGAAAATGAAGCTCGTTTTCCCCGTCTTTTTATTTCAGCCATGGCAAATGGATTTGATCCCAGCAAGGAACTAGTCTATTCACATGAAAAACAGTCTTCTGATTCGTCTGCAAGAAACACTAACCCACAGGGAACATCTGAACAATGGAGAAGGCCTCCTGAAGACGATGATGTTTTTGACACCTTCGGGTTCGGGGATGATGCGAACCTGCGGCACTCTTCCAATCCGTGGGGTACTGGTGGCGCTAGAGGGGGCCAACGCGGTCAAAACTTTCGAAATACGGACGAAAGATCCTTGATGACAGAGGAGGCTCCTAGACGTGGATTTGATTCTTCAAACTGGAGGAACCCAGGAGACAGCCGAGAAATCGGAAGATCTTGGAGCAGTTCTAGTAGCTTCCGAGACAGGACCTCCTTGTCCACGCGTTATTCTCCCGGAGAAGGGTCGAATGCAGCTACCTGGAGAAACACAAAATCATCAGAAGAAGACAAAAGGATCGAAGCTGTGCCTTCGGGAGGGCGCCTTCAAGAATCAGGAGCAGGCATCTCCAGGGATTTCTTCAGGAAGCCCGGAAGAGCAGCCGCCAAGAATACCAAATCGGAGGGAGACGCCGACACCCTTCTTGCACTGGAAGTAGTGCAAGACGGCCCCGATGCAGCCAGCTGGAGAAAACACCGAGAACAAAAACTACAAGCCGAACCTTCCGAGGAAGATGAAGATTTTGGAGGCTTCACTGAAGATGGAGAAACATTTTACAAGTAAGTTATCAATACACCTATTAATGGGTGTAACGATTCCGTTATAAATCTGGTGTATTGATACTGTCAATAATTAATGGAAAGAATGCGCCGAAACCACAATACATGTTATATAAACAATAGAGAACATTTCAAAAGCAGTGCTTACCAAAGTAATTCCCAATCTTTCGGACATACGTCCTTCTTCATAGGTTGTTCTTGCATATTACATATATTTTCAAACAGCCGACATTTTGTTTGTATCACGACTGCCACGTTATGCTAATCGGTGCTCCTCCAAAACAACTTTGTTTCATTTGATATTTTAAAAGAAATCCTACAAATTTGTATTAATTAAACATGTCCGAGAAGATATTCATGCACGCATATTAATTCATAGCGGACCAAAAGAGTTACCAGTCCACGCGAATTCGCGGGACTTGCATGGACGATATTCAAACATGAGTTGTCAGGACAAATACATCCGAAAACAGCCGTAGACAGCCAAAGGTTCAAAGGTCACGAAGTTTGTTGACAAACGTAATCACCTGCATCGTCAGAAAACCTAATGGTGGCTTGGTAGATTTCTTAACGGAGCTGTTTCTGTCAAACTTGAACTATAATCGACAAAGTGCAGTGAAGTTAATGATTCCTATATATGAAATGTTTGGATTAAATGTTTTAGCGTTTCGTGGGAAAATGTACACGGTGCATGTGGGGCCTACATTTTGCCCTAGCTGTTTTACTAACTCGTGTAGTTGTGTAAGCAAAAATTACTTTTGGCCTTGTGAGGTGTACGTCTACATCGTTTGTGTGAAATATAAAAACCCGTTTCACTCAATTAAGAATAATGTTTTACTTGCGATAAAATATATCACCTAACAACAGAAAATAGATCATTTGTATAGATGGAACTCGTACTTTTTAGATTCTTCATTTTCATGATTGTTTCAAGTACTGGTCAGAGGGTAAAATCTGTTTAGAAAGAGTTTCGAAAGGGTGGGACATTTTACTGATGCTTTTTCTTGACTGCCGTCATGTAATTTGTTTTTTACAGTGATTCCAACTCGGTTGGTTACGACCGTTACGTAGATGAGTCTACAAGCCAGCAGAGGCAAACTCACGCACCATATCTGCACAGGACTCAGCTGAGACGTAAAACCACCGGACCTTCCTTCACAGTTCAAGAACTTGAAAACCTCCTGGACGAAAAATCCCAAGATGCTCTCCTGAAACTGGAGAGTCAAAAGGACAAGCTTGAGGGCATCTTGTCTGCTAGTGACCTAGATGAAAACACACTGTTGTTGATAATACGTGTTTTGTCCTGTATGTGTCATTTAGATCAAGTCTCTAAAACAGCGTACACTCGAGAAGTAAGCATAATTCTAAGTATGATTGAATCATCTTTGTTTCTCAGTAAGCATTTGTCTAGGTACCTAGTTGGCTTGTGTTCAAAGCAGGCAGACGATTGCGACGATGAAGAAACCAAAGATGTGAGGAACCTTGCAGAGGATGTAGACATGATCTTGGACATTCTTAAGCTGTTTCTGATAACAAAACCCTCTGCTTTCTCGGAGGTAGGCGTAGTTATGGTTCTCTTACAGAAAGTAGTGACTACGGCAGCATTGAATAACAGTGAGTTCGACCCAGAGGGTTCTCGGATGGCTAAGGTAGAGGTGGTCAAGGAATGTTGTAACTGCATGGAGGAGTCGCAGAAGACAGCTAGAGAACGTGTCAAGGAGAAGCCACCTCCAGACGATTTCAGGGACATTCCCATCTTCCCAAGGAGCACAGAGCTTCGCCAGATGGGCAAGCCCTTTCTGAGGAAGAACATTGTTCGAGGCAGATACGACAGTGTTGAGCATTACCTTGACGTTCAGTTCCGCTTATTGAGGGAAGACTTTGTGGCGCCGATGCGGGAAGGAATAACCGAATTTCTCTCCACCACCCACGGCCGTCTCCAAGACATTCGTATATATTACGATGTCTTTGTAGAGGCTGCGAAGACAGCATCAAATGGAATCGTGCACACACTGAAGTTTGAGTTGAGGCGTCGCCGACCTGAGCGATGGGAGACCAGCAAGCGTCTCTTGTATGGGTCCTTCGTCTGTCTATCAAGCGATAACTTTAAGCACATTTTGTGTGCTACTGTGGAGAATAGGGATTTGACGGATCTTGAAGATGGAAGGGTGCATGTTCGCTTTCTGACAGAGGTGCCTCTTAAATGTAAGGGTCCCTTCATCATGGCTGAATCAGCTGCTTACTTCGAGGCTTATCGGCACGTACTTAAGGGGCTCCAGCAAATGAATGAGAAAAATTTCCCATTCAAGAAATACATCGTAGATGTAGCCTCCAAAGTAGAGCCACCTGCTTATCTACAAGATGATGAAGAAGTTACGTACGACCTGAGACCACTTGTCCAAGGTCCTGTTGAGCAGTTGGATTTCCAAGACCCGCAGACAGTGAAAGACATCGTCAATGCATCCTATGTGCCAATCTTGGACCCAGGGAATTGGCCGAGTGCAAAAATCCTACACCTTGATGACTCTCAGTTGACTTCCTTGCAAACAGCTCTGACCAAGGAGTTTGCCATCATCCAAGGCCCTCCAGGTACAGGGAAGACCTACATCGGTCTGAAGATAGTTGAACTGCTTCTGTATAACTCACCCTGGAATAACAACCAACCCGAAGAAGCCAAGACCTCACCGATCCTTGTGGTCTGCTACACAAATCACGCACTGGATCAGTTCCTTGAGGGTATTATTGAATTCGGTGAACATAACGTGGTTCGTATTGGAAGCCGAAGCTCCAGTGTCAAACTTAAGAATAAGAACCTGGCCATGTTGAGGAGACACAGACCAGCCGATATTTATCGGGAAGAAAAGGAAAGACTCAAAATAGTTGAGGAAGAACTAGCAAAGCTAGACCTAGCAATTCAACGCATTCTCTTTATGTTTCATCTTCCAAGCAAGGTTATTCTTGATGTTAAAGCTCTGCAAGACTTCATGAGCATGGACAACTTCAGGGAACTGTCATCAAAGCAGCCGCAGAGTGAAAAAGAAGCTAAACTTATGAATTGGCTTGACGTCGGTGATGAACCAAATGAAAAGGTGGAGAAAGTTTCGGACAAGGAGTCGGAAGATACTGGTGATGTCGAAGATCCAATGGAAGTGGAAGATGAGGGAGCGGAAATTCAGCGGGAGCGTCAAATTGACGACTCTGACGATGACTTTGTCACAGATCGTGACCAGCACAGGCAAGCTCTAGAGCGCGCGATTTGCAGTGAAAATGCTGCGCATACCATGGAGCGTACTCTAGATTCTAAGTCAGTGGCAGAGATGCAAAAATCTGATGTAATGACAGATCAGCGGGCTGACAGATTAAAACGCATCTGGAAGCTTGACTTGAGTGACCGTTGGCGTCTGTACAGGCTCTGGGTCAAAAGATACAAAGACAGACACGGGGCAAGGCTAGTTGAGCATCGAGAGCGATTTGAGGCCTTTTCTAAGGAGCGGGAGACTTTGAAAGCTCAGGGTGACCTCGAGGTTCTACGCGAGGCCAACGTGATTGGTATGACGACAACTGGTGCGGCAAGATGTCGGAATGTTCTGCAGCGTCTTGGTCCTCGAATTGTAGTGGTGGAAGAGGCTGCAGAGGTCCTAGAAGCACACATCATCACCACCCTGACTGAAAAATGCCAGCATCTCATTCTCATTGGTGACCACCAACAGCTGAAGCCTAATCCAACTGTCTACCGCCTGGCGAAGCTGTTCAACTTGGATACATCCCTATTTGAGAGGATGATCAACAACGGTGTCCCTTGCAAGACACTGTCACATCAACATCGCATGCGTCCTGAAATCTCACAACTCATGAAGAGACATTTCTATAAACGGCTGCACGATGATACATGTGTACTGGATATGGAGAACGTCATGGGGATGCAACACAACATGTTTTTCATCAACCATCAACGATTAGAGGATGGGCTTGATGACAACAGGACGAGGTCCAATCAGCACGAAGCCGAGGTCTTGGTGGGCTTATGCAAGTATTTGTTGGATCAAGGCTACGATCGCTCCCAGATAACTATACTCACCACATACAAGGGTCAGTTGTTCTGTATTAGGCGACTCATGGATAGAGCAACCTTTGACGGGGTTCGTGTGTCTGTTGTAGACAATTTCCAAGGAGAAGAGAATGATATCATTCTGTTATCTCTTGTACGAAGCAACGAGGAGGGTTCCATCGGGTTTCTCCGCACTCAAAACCGCGTGTGTGTTGCGCTGTCCAGAGCTAAGATGGGGTTTTACTGCATCGGAAACTTCACCATCTTAAAGAAGGCCCATATCTGGAAAGACATCATTACTACTCTTGAGGCTCAGAAAAAGATCGACCGGTGGCTTTCATTAGTCTGTCAAAACCATCCTTCCAAAGTTACAAGGGTTGCCACTTCCAAAGACTTCGAAGAGAAGGCCTCTTGTGGTGGATGTGACAGATTATGTGGTCAAACACTTACTTGTGGTCACGTTTGTCGTTTATTTTGTCATCCATACGACCGCCAGCACAAAGACTACGAGTGCCACGAACCATGTCAGAGATTTTGTCAACGGGGGGAGCATAAATGTCCCCTTGAGTGTCATGAATCATGCGGGGCTTGCTACAAGAAGGTTCAGAAATTATTCCAAATGTGTGGACATGAAACGCAGGTTTTGTGTCATCAATTTGACACGGTCTCTTGTCCTGAACCCTGTAAGAAGGTTTTTGCCAGCTGTGGTCATCCTTGTCAGAGAAAATGCAGTGAGCGGTGTGAGACATGTCCAGAGAAATGTGAGGAGTCACTGGTTTGTTGCCATCCATGCACGGAGCCCTGCGGAAGGCCATGTAACACATACTGCGAAGTCAGAGTCAAGAGAATCCTGGAGACGTGTGGTCATGAAGTCACGATGGACTGCAGTCAAACTGAGATTCCCTGTCCCAAACCGTGTCCCAAGCTTTTTTCGAGCTGTCAGCACCAATGCCGGAGGACATGCGGTGAAAGTTGTTTGGAAGCCTGTCCTGAAAAGTGTGGAAGGAAGCTAATGTGTGGTCATCCCTGCAAAGAGCTTTGTAAGGAGACTTGCACATCTTATTGTAAGGTTAAGGTCACGAGAATCTTGTCGAAGTGTCAGCACAAGGTTCTCATGGAGTGCGGTGAAAGCCCTGAAGCATTCCAGTGCACAAGACTTGTGACCAAAACTCATCCTTCATGTGGCCATGATGTCCTGGTGGATTGCTGTGAGGATCCTGGAAAGGTCAAATGCAAGAAGTCTGTGGTCAAACAACGGAAGAGCTGTGGGCACCAAAAAGCTATGCCCTGCTACATTGATCCCAATTCAAGAGATTGCACGGACAGATGCAACAAAGTTCTTCGCTGCGGCCATCAGTGTCCAAATGCTTGTGGGAAACCGTGTGAGGCTTCCGACATCTCGCCGATACTGGCAATTTCTTATCTGGACGCTTTCGAAGAGATTGATGACTTGAAAGTTTGTGAAGTAATTGTGGAGAAGTCTTATCCGTCTTGTAGTCATGTCATTAAGCTCCCATGTCATAAGGATGTGTGTGAGGTACCTTGTACTGAAATATGCAAGAAGATATTGTCATGCGGTCATCTGTGTCCTAAGAAATGTTCAGAGCCGTGCCCGAAAGAAAAACTCAGTAGAAGAATGATATATTTTTATGTAAAGCACGAGTTCGATTTTTCTGGATATTGTAGAGACAAATGCAAGAAGGTACTGTCATGCGGTCATGTGTGTCCGAACAAATGTAGTGAACCCTGTCCTGGTGATGTACACTTGTTGTATGGTTCTTTCATGGTAGGCGTCTCGACAAAGTGCGAGAAACTTGTTAAGAAGAAGCTCCCTGGTTGTGGTCACACTGCTGAAGTGGAATGCCACAAGGATGTCTCAGCTTTATCCTGCTCTGAAATTTGTGGTAAGACGTTGTCCTGCGGCCACGTCTGTAAAAACAAATGTGGAATTGCTTGCAAATGCCTCCGTAGCGTGCTGAAAACGCTGCCCAATTGTGATCACACCGTTCGACTTTCTTGCTATCTAGATTTAAGTTCCTATGAATGTCAAGAGAAGTGCGAGAGGAAACTTGCATGTGAGCACGGGTGCCCCAACAAATGTGGGGAGCCTTGCCCCACTGAAGGGGCGTTGCTCTCCGACGAAGATGAACCGAGCAGCTTACTTCGTTTTGCAGCAACAGCAGCAAGAACTCCTGCAAGAAGATGCACTGAAATTGTGAGGAAAGAGTTTCTGGATTGTGATCACAGTGTTGACCTCCCATGCTTCAAAGATATCAAGACGGTATATTGCAGTGAAAGGTGTGAGCAGATTCTTCCGTGCGGTCACCAGTGTCCCAATACATGCAGTGACTGCTTCGAAGATGATACTTCGTCAAACGAAGATGAGCCAACAGTGCACCGGCCGCGCCATACAGTATGTGAAGCGAACGTCCGGAAGATCTTGACTTGTGGTCATGAACAAGATATGGCTTGCAGGTCTGCTGGTGACTCGGACCACGCGTGCTCTGAACCGTGCACCGGCGTCCTAGCCTGTGGCCACAGATGTCGTGGTAACTGTGATGACTGTGAGGAAGGCGAAAAACACGTACCGTGTGAAGAAAGCTGTGAACGGCAGCTTCTGTGCGGCCACACATGCCTTCACGAATGTGATACAGTTTGTCCACCGGACTGCATAAGCTGCAGGAGAAATTCCAGATCAAATCAGAGTCGCTCAAGTCGGCACGAGTCGCAGGATTTAGAGACTTACCGATGTACCCATCGTGGCATGAGAAACCGTCAACTGAAATCTAAGGCCTGCATACTTCGTTGCACCCAGCTCTGCAAACGTGGAAAACATACCTGCATCGGTGTATGCGGGGAACCTTGTCCACCATTATGCAATGTCTGTGACGAATTTAAATGGAAAGCTGATATGCCCAAAAACATTCGCCAAAAAGACACTTTCATCTACCTACCAGACTGCGGCCACCTTTGCGAGACTCGAACCCTCGACAGAATGGTAGCTAATATCCAAAGTCACTTAAGGACCGGATTCTTCGAAATTCGTTCCCTGCTATGTCCCAAATGCAAGGAACCAATATTGAGCTGCCCTCGTTATCAGGATACTCTTGGTATTATAAAGAAATCAGTTGATGCAGCCAAAAAGAAGTGCAACCAAAGGAGAACAATGTTCTCTGGGTTGTATATGACTTCTACTTCTTCGGGTAAGGGTGCTTCTTCAAGTGTGTCCTTCGCAGTAGGTAGATGGTTGAGATGCCCTCGAGGTCACGTGTTCTGTCTTGAGAATGACAAACAAGCAGAGCAGCAGGAACCAGCATGCCCCAAATGCTCCAAAGAGTAATTTGTTTACCACGTTATTGGAGTTAACCTTGCAAGAAAGGACAGTCTCATTACTAATGCTGTACCATCCAGTTTCGCTAACGGAACTTTCCCAACGCTTAATTCTTGATCGCCACAAAATCGAGCCGCTCTTTTCATGTGTTTAAATGAAGATTTTTTTCCTCACAGTCGAAAATTTGCGAGATGATAAAGGCGTAGAAACAGCAACTTTTCGTGTGTTTATTTTGTGTTTTTTTTTTTACATTACACGAAAAGATATTCGGATAATAATGTTGAAAAAGTATGATAGGGGCACCCGCGAAGCTAAAATGCTTGTCTTCAATATATTGGAATGTCATAAGCATTTATTTGAAATAGATAGCAAATTATTGTTAGCTTTCATACCGTAGCATTGGATAGAGCTATAATGTGTGGTATACACAGCAGTAAAAAGATTTATTAAGAAATGAGAACAGATTTGGCAAGGTGTTAAATCAGAAAGTTTCACTTTAACAGATATAGTTTCTTTAAAACATTGATTGGAATATCACCGTACGTTAAAGTACTTTTACTACTATGTCAAAAATGAAAATATGCAGGGATGCATTATAAAGCGAGTAACGGGATGGTTTTTGGTAAACGGAGATCCCATAGAATTCTCAGTAATAGTACACTATACATTTGTTTAAAAAAATATAGTCCGAAAATCTTTTATACATGTATACTATCATGGTTAATTTTCAAGAAGTAAGTACGATATTACATGCTTGTACGTTCATATAGTTTTCGTATATTCAGTAGGCCTATTGTTGGCTGCTTGTCTTGAGCGATTATATTTAAAATATGTTAGAATTATCAGCTTTAATGCTTTGTTTCTAAATAACCAAACATCATTTGAACATCCTCATTTTGACTGACTGTGAAAAACGATTTAAAGCATGTAGTGAGAGCCATAAGGGCCTAGAGCACAATGAACCGAAGATTGTAGAATAATGTACAAGCAGTAAATGTTTATGAGTGCAATGGTAAGAATAATTTCATGACGTGAAAGGTACAACATTCCTATATATCACTGAACGAAATTATTCTTTCCATTGCACGACTGTAAAATATTGATTATGCCTATTCGTTCAATGATACAACGCCCGAATATATCCTCGTCATCTGAACTTCTATTACCGTGGAATGGAACTTCTATTTTTGCGGTGCGGCTGGGCAGTGGGGAAATGGGACGAATAATTTGATCAACGACAGACGCTCCAATCAGATGACGGGGATATATTCGGTCGTTGTATAATACAGAATTCTTATCCTTGTTACAAAAGTGTATGTTTTGTTTATTTTAATACTATACCATATTTCATTTGGATGTCTGATTTGTGGAAGTGTCTATTTTTTAATGTGTAGGCCTAGTGATATCATTTTGGATAGCTCTAAACAGCCAGTGTCAAATATTTCAGCATTGTTCCTGTTATCGCCTAGTTATTTGTTTGCCAAATGTCAAGTCAAATAATGTAAGATTTGTCTAAGGGATGAATTGGGCCTTATCATTTAAAACGTGTAGTGATACTCTTTGTAGAAATTGCAACATGTTGTAGAATAATATCAAGTTATGTTCTGATGTTATCTATCTAGTACCATTTATTTGTTTTACCTTCATCCCAAATCAAATATGAATGACGGATTAGAATGTGTTTCACTATAATGTGAGCTTTATGTTCAATGGAAGGATTTTTTTGGTACGTTTGAGCAAGCAGTGACCTTTTCAAAAATATTATTTCAACATTATTGTAATTGTGAAAACATTTAAACACTTATAAACAATGTCCCTATAAGCTATCGCAGCTTCAAATCACTCCTACAGGTCGATACATCTCTCTTCTTTCATGAAATAGCCACAACTTTTAAAAATATACCTCAATTTTGCCAGAAACAGAAAATATATTCAGTGCATATCAGGACGACTGTCATGATGGCATTTGGAAAGCTAATAACAATAACCGAAGATCGTACATAAGAGAGGCATTCCCATTGTGTTGTGCACAACATTTCCAACTCTAACCTCAATTTTCCCTAATATCAAACCTCCACGAAGTTTGGTATACATGTATTTACGAATACAACTATAACTGTTTTGCAGATGAAAGTACGGTGTGTATAATCTCATCATTCTCTGGAAATATATACGTGTACTCTTAACTTCCTGATCATGGGAATGTTCCAGATGATGATGAATGATCAACATTATAACTTGAAGCGTGAATTGCAACAATAATTGTCTGCACGGAATTCATATATTTTGCCAAAAGCGAAGAAAGTGATGATCAATGAAATGGAACAATAAATTATTGTGTATATCTCTATATTTTCCACTGGAAAGAAATAACAATTGAATAGATTCAATAATACTGGCTGTTAGTGTACTATGTTAAAAGTTGTTGATTGATCCTTATAGCCATTCTCTGGATACTAGAAAGCGACAAGAAGCGTCTGAAATTTGGAATGAAAAGCATGGCTTTGCAAAGATGAAGACCGTCGACTGCATGAATAATAGTTTCGACGTTAGGCTTAATTATGCAGACTGCGCACAGTGCGCGGAACGGCCGGCAAAGTTCAACTTCGCGAGAGGGCGTTAAGCGGATCCGTTTGACAGTAATGAGACTGCTGCAAAGGTTCTTTAACACGAAAAGCCGGTAGATGATATCTCCAATCAGTTTGAAACGCGTGCGTATGCACCTAATTATTCACGAGGAGAATCTATTTTTGGTCGTGTTCCCTGAATGTATTTTATAGATTTTTTGTGAACAGTTGAAATGGAAGGGTGCCAGACTATTTTTGCATTTTTTTTTTAAATGTGGCTTAAAACATTAGGCTATATTAATCACAAATTTAAAATTATTCATCAGAGCAGACTGGTATTAAAGTAACTTTATGCCATTGCTTTCATTCCTATTCGCAAGTTCCAAAAAATGAAGATCCTACCTCGCTTTCAATTTAATATGGCTGACTCGTGAATAAAACCAATGTGTGGACCTTGTAAACTCTTTTGGAAATGGGATTGTGATTCGAACATGATTGTGATTCGACTGTAGTCACCAAGGTTCGCTTCCTGATTCAGTAAAATGCCCTGGATCCAACGGCCAAGGTTATGACGCTACAACCTCAACCCCAGTGCTTACTTTATTTCCAACCTCGTTTCCAATAGTAAGCCCTGGAGAGGAAACTTTCTTCCTGTATCCTGATTCGATACCGCAATTGGCTAGTAATGGATTTTTATCGTGTACTTGGTGTTGTTATTCACAACGTGCAGTACGTGTTTTCGCGAACATTCGTCCATGCCTTCTCGAAAATACTAATTTCCTTTCCAATTTGTTCACATTAATATTAAATATGATACTGCATGTTGTCTCGATAAGATCGTAACAGTTTAATTTTAAAAAAATCGTGTTATCGTAACTCCTGCCGTGCTCGCGCGCTGCGACGAATTAAGTTGGCTCTGTTTTTACCCCAGACACCGCATACAAAAACAATTCTGAGCATTTTGGATGTCATTGGGTGCGAAAGTGGCGCTATTTAGCCATGTTGTGGAGGGATCTATTTTTTTTCAAAATGGCTACTTTTCCAGTTTGGAAAATTCATTCCAAGGGTGGTCTTCTTATTTGGGTGAACATTTTTCAACTTATTAAGTCATTGTTTAAGAATGGAACGGAAATGAAAGACAACATGTTGATCGTCATTTTTCTGTGCAGCCTGAGAGAGTTTTGAGAACATTTAAAAGAATTGTGAACTATGGGGATTTTACCCGGATTTATCACTGGTCTCTGTGGGAATTTATCATTCTCATTCATTAGTCAACCAACCAAGAATTGAACGGAAAATGAAATACAACATGTGGATCATCATTTTTTTTCCTGTGCAGCCTGAACACCTATGAGTTTTTAGTACTTTTGCATACCGTACATAAATTATTACACCCGTTAAGACGACAAGGGCGGATCTGTGGGGTTTGCCAACGGGGGCCATCCCCCCCCATAAAAAAAACATTTGTCTTAAGTGACGTCGCAGTAAAGGCAGATACTGCGTACACCACCACCTTTTCCTCTTAATATTGGTTAAATTAAGCGGTCGGAAATTGCCTCAGATCACACCATAGAGCGTCTAGAATAAAAAAAAAAACCAATTTTCGGGGCCCTTAAGCGGCCCCGAACCCCACGCCGTAATTTTTTGGACCTATTTTTTGCCCAACATCCCCCAAAACAAACCCAACAAAATTGTGTTCTGGATCCGCCCTTGTAAGACGACCGCGCGTTTTTAATACAAGTATGCCTATTATGTGAGAGCTCTAAAAAATTATGGCACATGGCTGGGTTACGAACGGTCAATCTGTTGAGGATCCCTTTTACGTAAGATGTTGACAACACTGATTCGTGTACCAATTTGCTAGTGAACAATCTTTTGCTACACATGAAGTTTCAATGGTCGGTTGAATCATGATAGTCGTTTCGTTTGACCGTACGTTGCAATGGACTATTAAGCCTGAATATAATGTTCGAATGGTTCCATTATTGCATCCTTTTATACTAGCCAGCACCATCTTCTTACTGCGGAAATGTCATAGAAAACACATAACGAGTCATGCCTGCAGTCACAATCACACCAAGGAGCAAAATTTGAAGCAAATCCATTATTTAATTCTCGATTCATCAGCCTATAAGCCTTATATTGTCCAATAAAATAGGTAAAGATTCACTACATTCCCCAAGGACGTTTGAATCTCATAGCAGTGAGCTTTTAATGGTCACTAGTGGTCAACCATACTATTTCGGTGAAGTGCCCATTACAAAGCTTATACGGAAGCGTATTATGCCAAACCGCGTTACTGGGATGATTCGCTGAAATGTGGGTTTTCCCGATTTTGTTACCACTTAATGTTTTTATTTCAGTTTCAAGTTATCGGTGAAATCTGTGTTTTCGTGTGGCAGCTGTGTGTGTTTCTACGATACACTATCTCAGTAACTCGGTAACTTGGCTGGTCTATACCCTTCCGTACAAAGCTAACTGATAGTTGCCAATTACACAGCTCACCGTGGCGGTGTTTGGACAGGAACTATAAGGTACAAAATGTACTCGGATATATCAAATGACAATGTGTCCTTCACCGAATTACGGAGTTCAGGTTGGCTTCAGGAAAAATAAGCCTCTGTTAATAAGACGATAAAACGCTGTCGATAGTCTAGATAAGGTACCGGGCTGGATTAGAATTGGAAGATTCAAAATGTGACGTATCTCAAGGCGAAGTGGTTAAGAGAAGACGTTTCGGTCAGTATCATCTGACCGTCTTCAAAAGAAGATGGTCAAAAGAAGGGTAAAATCCAATACTCAATGTACATGTCTAAACGCATATTCCATCCTATACATATTTCGGTTGCAGCACCTCTTTATTTTATCAGATTCGAAGTAGCAGCCAAGGCAAGCTCGGTGGTCGAGTGGTAAGACGTCTGCACTAGTAAGCAGGAGGTCGTGGGTTCGAGTAAGCTTGTGAAGAAGGTTTTTCTCGCAAAGCCTGAGTATAATAGTTCTCTGAGTGTATATAGTGTTTAGCTTTACGCCTATAACTCTCTCATAGAGCCAGTCATCACTGCATTACACAATTTCTATGACAAGTTGCACTCTTCACCACACAATGTCTCAAATCACATTAACTACAGACTTTGGAACTTCAGTGTACTAAATGCACTTAATAAAGTTGAACAACAAAACCAACACACATTCCAGTTTTGATTAATTCTATTATCGTGGCAGAATTATTCAGCTTAATCCAAGATCCGATCCATAAACTTAAATGAGAGAAGACTTCGTTCACCAGAAATCAATAGCCGAATATTAACAAAACGCGAAACTTAACTCAGATATTTTAGAAATGTATTCTTTTGTGTGAGCTAATAGGCTTGCAATGGCGTATTAGAAATTGAGGGGAAGTTGGCTTGAGTTTCCAGGTAGAATTTCAAAGGAAGTTCCGCTTTTTCGGCTCTGTGTGGGGCCGCACGTGCGCCAGTCATGTCGGGACACCAAAAAAAGAAAACTTCCTTTGTGGGGAGCTGTTATGTACAGATAAAAAAACAAACCAGGAGGGATCTTTTGATTATTGTGTTTGTACGTTGGCTGCAGTTTCGTGTATTGTGGGGTGTTCGCGAATTTGCATGACCTGCCGGCACGCAAACCGCCGTACACACTTCGACTGTTCAAATAAAAGCACAGAGCTGTACTTGCCAACACTTAGTTATTACCAGGCAGTGAATAGGCCCGGGTCGCAATACGAAGCGCACTCCGTTTTGTACACGTGCGAGAAGTCACACATGAATGACAGTTTGGAGAACAATCGGACTTTATTTCAGTTCAACTTGAATCTTTGGTTCTGAAAGCCACGACTTTTATCATTCTGTCTGGTGGAAGGGTATACTTATTTGTAGGAGATGTGAGGATGGGGAGTTTCTTCATTCATGTGAGTTTCTTTTAGGTTATTCTGTGCATCAACTGATGCTCTGGGATTCGAAAATGCGCAGGAAAGGAACTACTGCATTCCAAGTTCGGGATGCGGGCATCGCAGTGCCGATGCTGATGCTATTGGTGGTCTTGCATGGGGCCGGGGTTGCCTGGTCCACCACACCCTGTGCTGACCCCCTCTCCGGTGGGGATCTGATCGTCCCCGCGGGGTCCACCTGCTACATCGACCCACCGGGTCTGTCGGGGGAGCTGGCGAGCTTGGAGGTCCGGGGGACCCTGCTGTTCCAGTCCACGAGCTCGTCGTACGTGACTCTGAGAGCGGCGAGCGTGACGGTCGCCAACACGGGCCGGATATCGGCGGACGGGGCCGGGTATGATGCCGGCTCTGGGCCTGGTGCTGGCAACTCGCTTGGGTCCGGAGGTAGGTATCCGGTTAACACAGTCTTGGGCTCCAGGAAATGTGACTTTGTAAAGGTAGAATTTTGTTCATTAGGCTTATAAACATTTCTGTCGGCTCCTCGGGATAAACCTCTATGCTGCCATTAGGCGAAAATTGCTAATTCAAACGATGGGAAGATGCAACATAATTGTGACAAAGTGCCTTGCCCTAGGACACACACCGCTCCCTCAGGCTGAACTCGAGCCCCGAAATGTGCACATTATACAACTCCTGCATGACTTAAAACGCACAGACTCGGAGACCACGAGGCTGTAGTCCTATGTGTCTCTGGCCTCGTCGATATGAGCCTCATTGCGAGGGAACATTTCAGATTTGACTGAAAGAAACCATGGCTTAGGCTATAACAAAAAAGGTAAGTGTTCTTT